AGACTCAGCACCCCCAGACCCCGCACTCCCAGGCTCAGCACCCCCAGGCACAGCACCCCCAGGCTCAGCACCCACAGCAGCACCAGAGTCACCAGTGACCTCGACAGGCTCAACCGCGTCTACCTAGGACACACCTGAAGGGGCTTGACCCTGAGGGGGGAGGGGGTCTACCGGGGGGGGACCTGGTACCAAGAAGAGCGGGGGTGGGGGTAGGGACTGAGTGCGGTAGGGGAAGAGGCGGTAGTAGGGTACTGACTCGTCGAACGTGACGTCCTGGGAGGACAGAACACGGCGAGAGGTGGGGTGGTAGAACTGCCACCCACGGGCGTCGGGGGGGAACCCCAGGAAGACGCAGGGAGCAGCGCGAGGGGACAGCTTGTCCGCAGACAAGTCGCGGACAAACGCCCGAGATCCCCATACCCGGAACGCCGACGCATCGCCAACCTTCCCCGTCCACAGCAGGGCTGGGGAGGTCTCCGGCCTGGAGACCCTGGGGTGGAGGTTGATCTGATGCGCCGCGTACCTGACAGCAAACGGCCACAGAAAATGGGGGGCAGCCGCATGCATCATAGACGTACGAGCGACGTCCATGACCATGCCAATGCGGCGCTCTGCAATCCCATTTTGCTGCGGTGAGTCCGGAAGCGTGAAGGTCGGGCAGATTCCTCGCGCACTACAGTAGGCACGCAGAAGGCCAGAGGAGAACTCTCCGCCTCTGTCCGAGTGCAGACGCAACACAGGAAAGTCGGAGCCAAAGCTCTGCCTGAGCTGGAGACGAGCTGCGCGGATCCAGTCGATCAACACCTCAGTGACATCACCCTTGCTGCGCAAGGGGAAGACTGTGGTGTAACGCGAGTAGTCGTCCACCACCAACAGGAAGTAGCGCTCGTGACCGAGTCCCCGGACGCGGGCAGGGCCCCACACGTCCATGTGAAGCGTCTGCAACGGGGCCTCTGTCGGAGGAAACTGGGAGGAGTGAGGGGCAGCCCGCTGGCGCCCCTTGACACAGGGGACACAGGCAGGGCCAGGGCCCTGAGGAAGGGGAGGGAGGGATCTGGGGAGACCAGACACAAGAAGACGGGAGCCCATGCCTCTGAGCCGAAGCAGAGAGGGGTGGCCAAGGCGGTGGTGCCAGAGGAGGGTCTCGTGGGACAGACGGCGACACGAACAGGGGGTAGACTCAGGACCAGACCTGGACGCTGCAGCAAACACCTGACCAGACGAAGAGATCCTACCAGACTCAGCACCTGGAGGAGAAGCAGTGGTCAGTGTGTACAGGCTCGACCCTAGCTGACGTGTAAACGTAGCCAGGTGGCGACCCGTGCTAGCCTCTGTGCAGTGTGTCACCCGCTGACGAGCAGGAGTGAACTGGTGGACACCCGCATCCTATAGGTCAGCACCACTCACCAGGTTCGTAGAGAACGAGGGGAGGTAGAGACCAGTCAGGGTGCCAGAGGGAGTCGCCGGACACGGGAGGACTGTGGAGAAACAAGACAGGACAGGACCCCCAGAGGGGTCAGCCAGGGACACCGCAACCGGCCGACTAAGCGGCGTGAGAGTGGTGCGGTCCCGAAAGAAGGAGCGAGACGCTCCAGAGTCAAGGGTGAAGGTGTGAGAGGCCGAAGCCGGCACAGTACCTGAGAGTGCAGACTCACCAGTACCTGAGAGCACGGACGCACTGGCACCTAGAGCAGCAGCCTCACTGGCACCTGACGCAGCAGTACCAATGCCCGGGTCGGGCGGGAAACACCGGTAACAGTCACCCTCGTCACTAACAGTCACAGCATACATGGCAGCAAGGATAGCATCAAAGTCAAGATCAAAGATAGCTACACCAGCCGTAGACAGCTCTCCCCAGCGGGTGATCTCAGAGGCCTCCGGAAACTGCTGGCGCCAAGCGTCGGTCAGGCGGGCAAAGCAGCGGCGGGCGGTGTGGGTGCCCCCACACTGCTCACCCGCGCGGTCGCCGGTGCGAAGGGCGTAGGTGCAGGGACCGAACGCCCCACCATGCTGACGCTGCAAGTACCACTCATGGAGCTGCTGAGGGGCGGGGACGTCGCGAGAGCGCTGCTGCTGCTGCTGCTGCTGCTGCTGCTGCTGCTGGCGCTGACTACCCCCAGTGCTGCTCCGCTGGGACGAGCCACTCTGACCACCTCCACCACCGCCTCCCCCGCCTCCGCCGCCACCGCCGCCACCGCCACCCTCGCCCCCGCCGCTCGCACCGCCACCTCCACCGTCACCTCCGCCACCACCTCCGCCTCCACTGCCGCCACTAGTACCTCCACCCCCGCCACCACCTCCACCGCCACCCCCACTCCCCCCGCCGCCCCCACCTCCTCCGCCACCGCCCCCGCTAGCTCCACCCGCTCCCTTGCCCCCCTTGCCCCTGCCAGAGCGGCGCCTACCGCTGGGGGCAGACGCAGCACCGACCGACTCCAAACCAACGAGGTCGGCCGCAGCAGCAGAGGCGACAGAGGGTAACAGGGGGGAGGGAGAACACCCCTCAAAGATGGGGGTGCGAGGGTCACCACGAGAGGCCCCTACAGCGACTTTACTCTTCTCAGCCGCTAGCAGGGACTTCTCAAGGAGGTTGACACTGAGGGTGGTGGGACAGACAAAGAGAAATTGGTCCCTAACGGCACGTAGGGACTCAGGGAGACGGGTGACTAGGTAGTAGAGAGTGATGTACATGGGAGGAGGGTTTGCGGCGCGGAAGTCAGCAGGAAGCGCAGCGCGGTAGCGAGTGTCACTAGCGCGGAGGTGGGTAAAGAGGTCAGCGACTGTGGGAAAGGCAGCGAGGTCAGGGAAGAGGTACGGTAGCATGAGGCGGCTAAGCGTAGCGGAGGAAGGGGAGGAGTAGCGCGCAACTACAGCGTCGTACAAGGCCTGAGCGGTCTTGCACTGAATAAAGTGCGCACGCTCGGAGGAAGGGAGGTGTCGACGCACAGCAAGACGTGGAGCATCATCGCGTGTGGCCCACTTGGAGCGAACAGTGGGGTCAGCATCAGCAGGAGGGGCAAGGACAGCGCCAGAGACAAAGTCAAAGAGAGAAACCTCATCTATCGCATCGCACAGTAAGTGCAGCTGCAGGTCCTCGACCCAGACTGCAAAGTCAATGGCGCGACCCTCAGCATCAAAAACCAGGACACTGGGGGTGGCCATTATAGCAGCTGACAGTCTCACCGGGCAGGAAGAGTCGGGTAGCTCGGTAGTACAGTAACACGGCAGTACAGCGGCTGCGCCGGGCCAGGAGCAGCAGCAGCCCCACAAGAGCAGGAGCTCGGCACCTCAGGTTGCTCGGGCGGCTCGGGCGGCTCGGGCGGCTCGGGCGGTTCGGGCGGCTCGAGCGGCTCGGGCGGCTCGGGCAGCTCGGGCGGCTCGGGCGGCTCGGGCAGCTCGGGCGGCTCGGGCGGCGCGGGCGTCTCGCTGGTGGCGCACGGGTGACGCGCGGGCGGCTCACGGGGGGCTGGGGCGGCTTACGGGCGGCTGCACGGGCGGCTGGGGCGGCTCGCAGGCTGCTCGCGGGCGGCTCGCGGGCTGTGCACGGGCGGCGCGGGCGGCTCACGGGCGGGCGGGTGGCTCGCGGACGGGCTGCGCACGGGCGGGCGGCGCACGGGCGGGCGGCTCACGGACGGGCGGCGCACGGGCGGCGCCAGCGGCTCACAGGCGGGCTGGTGGCGCACGGGCGGGCGGCTTACGGGCGGCGGCTTCGCAGACGGCGGCGGCGCACGGGCGGCGTCTGACGGGCGGCTGCTTACGGGCGGCGGCTGACGGGCGGCGCTCACGGGCGGCGGCTGACGAGCAGCGCACGGGCGGCGGCTGACGGGCGGCGCTCACGGGCGGTGCTCACGGGCGGTAGCTCACGGGCGGCGGCTCACGGGCGGCGGTTCACTGGCAGGGCGCGGGCGGCTCACGAGCGCTAGGGCGGGCGCCGGGCGCTAGGGCGCTAGGGCTGGCGCTAGGGCGGGCGCTAGGGCGGGCGCCAGGGCGGGCGCTAAGGCGCAAGGGCGGGCGCTAGGGTGGGCGCTAGGGCGCTAGGGCGCTAGGGCAGGAAAAAAATATTTTTTCGAAGTGGTGGGCCCTAAGCAAAGTCCCCACAGGGGAACCTGCTCGATACCATGAGAAGAAGTAAACGAGAGAATGAGTGAACTATGAACGAGGTGAGTACAAATAGGAAACCCTAATTGGGTTGTACCCCCTATGGGATACCCCACTATAGCCTACACAAATAAGTAAGCTATAATGTTCTGACATTAGGGCGTGCGGTGAATGGTGAACCGGGGGTGAATGCAAGCGCGCGTGCACATTCGCCGCCAATATGGAACGTCAACTCACTGTTGCCCGAAAACCCCGACGTCCACATCCGCACCCCCGCGCATCCGACTGTAGCATACGCGACTGGTGTAGGTGGGCAACCACAGGGGAACGCGGGGAACGCGGGGCGTGGAGCGGGTGCAAGCGGAAACGCGGTAAGGGGAAGAGGGACGGGTGCGAGAGGGAACGCGGGAGGAGGGACAGGGGAGAGAGGGAACGCGGCTAGAGGGAGAGGTGCGAGACGAAGGGGTGGGAGAGCGATCGCGGGACGTGGGACAGGTGCTGGAACGAACGAGTATAGTGCGAACGGCCAGGGAGCGCATGGGGTGACACATAACGGCGGCCGGGGTAGCGGTGTTAACGCAAACGGCGGGTCAGGTAACGGGCCAGTTAATAGACCGCGTATAAAGAGGCGGAGAGTCGATGTAGTGCCGCACACGGCACGCAATGGCTCCCGGGAGGGGAGCGAGGGGACAAGCGATGAGGATGACGAGGACGACGCGTACGATGCGGACGATAGTTGGAATGACGATGACGAAAACTACCTAACCAACTCGCTGTCCGCGCTCAACGAGGAGGAGGCGGAAGACAACGAACAGGTGCGGGGTACGCGGAGGGACATTGAGGTCCCTATCGCAGATTGGAACAGGCTAGGTGTGGACGACACGCCGGCCGCGAAACGAGAGATGTGTTACGGAATCCTCTACGGTGTCTCTGAGGCCACGCTGAAGAAGTATCGCGGTTGGGCCAACGAGTACAAGCGGTTCATGGCTCACGAGCTGCCTAAACTGGACGCGGGTAGGTTTGGTGATGAGGCCGCGCTGAGAAACGCGAACCCCGACGAGATTGGGGCCGCGCTCGAACAGAACATGGGTGGTGACTGGAAGATGGCGGAGAGCGACGAGCAGTGGTTCCACGGCCCTGAGACGAATCCGTGGCGCTTACGCAAATACGTGACCTTCCTCGCGAACGAGACAGTTGCGCAGTCGGACAGGATGGCCACACTCAAGCGGCCGCAGAAGACCTTGAAGAAGAGACGCCAGTGCACCCCGGCAATGCTGATGGGGCGTCTCAAGGCTTTGAACCTGCTCATCAAGCTGGACGGGGCCATCTTCAGGAAGCCCGTTCTGAACCTGCTGCGCGACTTTGCGGATTGTCGCATCTGGGTCCGCGTTCAAGTACGCGACCAATACAAGCGGTTTATCGCGTAAGTATACGTTCTTAGTGAACGCGTTTGATGCCTGACAATCCCGCGTCCACTAACACCCGCACTATCGTCCCAATCCATGCGCAGGGAACACATGGATCGCCATCGGGGCACGGCCGCGGACACGTACACCCCGGACGAGTTCAAGCATATGATGCGGAAGACCAGCATGGACACGATCTTGACCAGCTTCACACTAGCCAAGAAAGCATACACGCAGGCAATGCATCGCGACCTCTGCATCCGGACGATGACCGTGCTCGGTCATCACACTCTGGCCCGCGGATGCACGATCAGAAACCTGCAGCTGCCAGACATGATGATGTGGAAGCTAGGCGCAAAATCGGAGACCGATCCAGTTAGAAACGCGTTCATGTTCGTTTGCGCGTGCAGGACGGGCAAGACAAACAAGGACTTCTCGCTTAACTACATATCTGCTGTGAGGCACATCGATTGGACGCTGTGCGCGGTCGGAGCCACGCTGCTGTGGCTGCACTAGGTGTACGACTTGGTTCCCATCCTCTATGAGGACATAGCCCCCCCTCTCGACTTCACGGAACCCTCCACGTGGTACGATCAATACCTGTTCTTCCCCCTTCGCGCGGGCAACGAGAAGCAAATACCGCCCACGACTCATCACGACTGGGCGGCGAAAATACTCCAAGACGCGGGAATCACATGCTCGCGTGCGGTATACGCGACCAGGGCTGGGGGGGCGCAGCACGCGTCCGCGGACGGAATGCCTTCGGATCAGCTGGCGAGGCTGGGGGGTTGGCGCTTCATCGACGTGATGACTAAGCACTACCTCACAACCATTCCAAGGGAGGCCGTGCTGCTGAAGGCGGGCTTCACCGGGGTTGACGGTGACTACTTCCTGGGTCGCGCAACTGTTCCGGTCAGCGATAAGCTGGATGAGCTACTGAGGAAGCACATTTTCCCATGGGCCGCCGCGGACAAAGGACAGCAACAGGTATGTGTGGTCCGCGCATACGCGACCGCAAGCATCTTACATACCACTCTGGCACCGCGTTCACTACCTTGTTGTTTCATTGTCACAGTGCAAGGATTACAACCGCAGGATGGTGAAAACGCAGAAGCCGGAGAAGCAGGACACCGCGGGGCTAAACATACTGAAGGAGCTGGATGGGGACGCTAGGATGGCGGTCGCGCAAGACCTGGCGATGTATTACATCCACCAGCCGCGACACCCGTACGTGGTCAACAATCCGCTCTGCCAGACGGAGGAATTTGCGTCGTGGGCTGCAGATGTCTCATTGGCAAATCAACTTGCCATAGTACAGCGCAACACACCTACACTGACCCAGCCCGCAGTAAGTACTGAATGGTCGCGTTATGTTTCTTCCGTGATGTCAATGCCAAACCATAACAAGTTCGCGGTCGCTTTCTGTCCATGCAGGAGGTGAGTACCAGAATGGACGCGCAGAACCAAGTGACCGTCCTCACTGAGTACTTGACTCGTTCACAAGCGGAGAACACCAGACTGGGCCTAGAGTTGGTCGCGACTCATAAACGGGTGAAAGAGCTGGAGGGGCTGCTGGAGGATCGCGATCGGAAACTGGCCGAGAAGGAGGAGCGCGTGAATGATTTGGAGGCTCAGCTGTCGCGGCTCACCGTGAGCAGCTCAGGGCCGACCGCGGTTCCGAACCAGGCAACCACTCTTGGAGCCGCGGCCGCGTCGACCAATGCCACAACTCCCACCGAGCAGGGGACGCGGAAGAAACCCGCAGCGCCCACCAGGGAACAGACAATTCGGGACGCAATCGTCCTTCCATGGGTCAACGCCACCAAACCGTCAGACAGATGGAAGCTGTACAAGACAACGCACCCGCTGATCCTCGAGAGTCCAGAGTCGCTTCTGGCCCAGCCCTGCGGCGCAGTTACGCGAATGGCCGCGCTCATTGGGGAGGAGGGAGGCGGCCAGAACGCAATAAACCGTGTTAAGCGAATCATGAACTTCATCGCCCACAGGGTGGAGCAAGGAGGCGACATCGCGGTAGTGCTCGACAAGCTTGACCTCATGTCAGGTGCTGTGGGCATGTCGGGTGTATCGGAAGGGATCGCGGTAAAGAAGAAGAGTGTTGACCTGGAACTGAGCCAGCTGAAGAAGGGTTCTCCGGTGGAGGTGCAGTTGCGTGTGAAATGGATGCTTGTTCGCGACCGTCTCATCAATGCCTCACTTCCCGCTTCTGAGTTCACAGTCGCATGGCCCCAGTACTGTGCGCTGATGCCAGACTTGCAGTGTTGATGTTTTGCGCGAGGATTATGCTGATTTACATCGCGGCCGTGGTAATCGCGGGCTGCAGTTGCCTAATGTACATAGATTGTTCGGGACGTAGTGTGTACAATGATAATGTGTGGGAATACCTGAGACGAATGCAGATTACTACTAAAATGGCACACGCGCAAACACACGCACCCACTGAATCCTACAAACCTACACATATTGTTCCAAATGTCAACACTAGGTTCTCACTCGCACACGCACACGCGCACACACACACACCCACACACACAAACACACACGATTTACTACATGCACCAGCACAATCCACCGCGAGTAGAACTCAAGCATGGCGGACAGGCTGTGCACATGCTACTCGATACTACACGCACTCAAGTCCGCTTCTTCAGTCGATCCTTGGGCAGGGCAAGGTACAAACCCAAGGACTCCATCTGCTTCCCTGCCACCGAGCAGTCGCACCAGGTGATGATAACGTCCACCGTCTCGCAGGCGGCCAACTCAATGTGCCTGAGATCGCGAGACTTTGCCACGACCTCGTTCACGACTCCGGACACGATCGCGGCGGCGACCGCCTTCGGGTCCGCGACAACCTGTGGCTCATCTTCCTCGCGGCGATTGCGCTTCCGTACCGCATTGATGACGTACGCGGATACTACGGGGAAGAGACGGCTTCGCTCTCCATAGCAACCAGCAGCACGCGCGGCCAGGTTTCCATTATCCGCCGCGGCAGTGACGTTAGAACCGCGAGTGACCTCCCACACCATTGCAATGGCGCATGCGATCGCTCCCGCGTAGTCCGTCGGCTCCACGTCGCCGAGATCCGCTTCTTCTGCTGCAGCCTCCTTGCCTACCACCGCGGCCCATGCAATCACGTTGGTGGTGTGCATTCCGGGCTTGGTAAGCCCGCGGTAGGAATCGAACATGCGTTGCCACCTGCCACGCAGTGGGTTGGAGCGGTCAGAACATAATAACATACCAAACCGTGTGAACGCACTAGATGATGGTGGATTGGCACAGATCACCTGTCCTTGCTTGCCACGAGGTTGCGGTGGTGCATGGTGATTAAGAGGCCCGTATGTAACCCCTCTGCGATAGACAGGTCCGCGGCCCATTCTCGGATCTGCTTCTGGCTCAGGTTCAGCCCGGGGTCGACCTTCCCGTCGTAGGGATACATCGCGATCGCGGTCTTGTACTGCAGGTCTTCGCGGTCGCCGTGTCCGAGCCATCGCTTCTTCCCCCCGAGATGGGGTTCAGAAACCAATCCTGGCCCGCCTCTGGGTGGAGCGCGGATGCCGCAGCCCTTGCGCTTCGGGCCGGTGTCACCATGTCCTCCCGTTGTGCCACTTTCCACGATCACGGGGTCTCCTTCTTGCCCGCTCGCGCTCTCTCCGCTGCTATAAATATCGACCGCGGCCTCCCCATCCTTCTCTCCTCCGTCGCCCGCCTCGACCCACCTGCTCACTAGACCCTCCAGCTCCTCATCCGCATCGTCCTCGTCGATCGTGTACACGGGTGGAGTGGGCAACTTCTTGCCACCCCGTCCGCGTTTCTCCGCCTTGCCCTCGACCGAGGCCGCGATAGGACTTGCAGATGCCAGTGCGCTGTGCATATGTCCCGCGGTGATTGCAGCACGAGCGGGTGCGAGCGTGGTCTGCCTGCCCTCTGCCGCAGCACCCGCCGCGGACTGGACCTCACGCCTCGAGGCCAGCGAACGCGCAGCAGCCGGCGCCTCTCCATCCTCCGCCTTACCCTTGCCCCGCCCCACAGTACTTGTCACTGGCGCGGTTGCCCCGGCAGGGCCCGGTGGTTTGGGTGCAGCTTCTCCAGGTGGGATGGAGCGCGAGCTCGAACCCGGTTGACCAGTCGGTGCTGCACCTCGCGATGCAGCGCCCCACTTCTGCTTCAGCATGTCCTGCACGCTCGGATTGCGCACCGCGGCCGCTGCCTGGGGACCTCTCTGCCTCTTCGCCCCCCGTTGATTCTCTGCCTTCGCACCCGCTGCCCTCTTTCCATGCTCTGCATCCCCGAGCTCGGCAATCTCCGTCGCGGCCGTCCCTTCATTATCCGTGCGCGGAGGGGGGGCTCCTCCAACGAGCGCAGCGCGTTCGTGACCCCGCTGGTGGTGATTGCCCGCTCTGCTGTCGCGGAGACCGCGGTCGACATGTTGTCGATCTTCCGCGCAACCTCGTCCGTTAGCTTCTTCTGAGCGGCTTCCATGGAGTCTGTCACCACCCCCTGCAGATGTCCCAGCCTCGCGTCCACTCGCCCCAGCACCACCGCCTCCTGGTTACGGGTATCGACCAGGGCCGCCCTTTCCTGCGCGATCGCCCTCGCCTCCTTCTCCAACACCCGAACCGCATTAGCAAGCGCGGACGCAAGCTCCTCAGAGCCCACGACCGCGACACCACCAACCCCCGACTCCTGGCGTTTCTTCAGCCGTGCGTTCTCTTCGGCCAGCTCTGCAAGCCTGCAGTCGAGCTGCAGGATCTCGGCAGCAAGCTTATGCGATGGCAACGAGGACAGGGACGCGTAATCACGCGGACCTGTCACGGGACTCTTGCCCGCGACCTCACCACTCGAGCCCGCGCTTCCAGCACCGGGGGCCAAGTGCTGCGCGAGGTGCTTGATGCTCTTGCCGGATGTAGCGGGCCTGCTGGATGCCGCGGCCACTACCACATGAGCCTCCGCCTCCTCCTCGCTCGACTCCTCCCCCTCACGCGCAACAGCGCGGTCAGCCTCATCGCGGGTTGCACCCTTAGTCGCGGTATCCTCGGCCCCTTCGTCATCAGCGTGGACCTCCGTCCCCCCCCGAGCACCTCCGCGATTCGAAACACCAGCGGCACCTGTGAGAGCGAGAACACCATGGTCAGCAACCTGCGCACCCGTAGCCTCTTTATGCACATTCCCCGTTTCAGCACCTTCAGCCTCACCGCCGTGCATGGGTCGCGTCAAGTCCACGCTCAAGTTGAACGCGAGCTCTTCTGCGGTGTGGTACGCCTCGTGCCGCAGTGCATTCAGAGTCTTCGCGGTTGGCCTCGAGAATTGCAGCCCAGATCCACTGGCGGCGACCGCGTCCAACTGGGCAAGGATCTTGTCGAAAGCGAACAGACAAGCGATGTTGCCGCAGGAGCCCTTCAATGACGCCGCGTCCTGGAAAACATTACATGGGGTTTGTTAGCACCACTGCAACTATTGGCGGTCATCGAGAACACGAAAACAACACAGACGTACCAGATCCAACAGACGCTCGGGATCCTTAAGCTGGCGGGAGCGGGTGCACTGAATGGAGCCGCGCGCAAAATCCTCGTCGACGCGACCCTGAAACCACCTGCCCAAAAGCACATACATATCCACGCGAACGCACGGTTAGCGACATGAGCCTCGGAGCGGAAATGAACGTGGTACTGATGACAAACCAGAACGCGGTACTCACTCCACAATCGCATCAGCCGCGGTGACGTGTTCCGCACCACCAGTGGGAATAGCAACGCGAACGAACCGCGTGTTCCACATCTCGTCACCGTCAAGCGACAGGTGGTCGGGGTGAAGCAGAATGAGCATGCTCGCGTTCGAGCTCTTCTTGTCGACCACGTCCCTGAACGTGCCATTGACGACCGGGTTAAACCACTTAAACTAGTGCAATCCCTGTACAAGTGAACACTCCCAATGAAAACTCACTCGGACCAGATGCAGAAAACCACCAGGCTGCACTCCATCAAACCGGCAAAGGCTTGGTCCGCTTCATCGCGACCTGCGACTATGTCCGCGACAACACCGCTCGTCACTATTCGGACGTGCTCATGCACCTCCTTCTCCAGATACCTCCGGACAATCACGCTGTGTGGGACGGTGTAAAACAAGGCGGCAAAAGCTCAAACATCAACAACGCGACCTAAAAGCACAGCGGAGGTATGCCGCGGCCTGCACTTCCCACTAGTAACTATCGCTGACATGTCGCGAACAGCCTAAGCACCGCGACAATAACCAACGCGTGCACACTAGAGTCAGGGAATGGAACGCATGGATCTCACCCGGTGACAAAGTCGAACAGACGGGCCGTGAGAGGATGCTTATCCTCTGCGAGTTGCTTCCACTGTTCGGGGGGGAGGTCCACCGTGGTTCCCGCAACAGAGATGATGGCCGGACAGGAGGCGGCCTCCTTCGAGCCAGCTCTAAGCGCCTTCATTTCGCGGTTCATTACTGGTTACGACCGCAAAAGCGCGACCAAAGGAACGGTGTATCTAGGACGAAATGTACGCGAAACAGTGCTCGCGTGTATCTAGTACGAACGGTTCGCGAATCTGTGCTCGCGGCAGAAAATGAGAGCTACGCTAGACGCTACCAAGCGCGAACGCGGTCATACAGAGTCTCTGCTAGCACTAGGCGACGAGGACCTCAATGGGGAACGGGCGAGCAGGAAGAAAACAAGATGTGAAGACGGATAACGAAAATGAGCACCAGGTGCCCGTACCGAGAACCTAAGAGTGGGCCGGGATGGAAACAAGAGCCGGCACTCGCGGTCACACTGCGCGGGCCTCTCACCCAGCGGGGAGGTTCCGCAACATGCACGCTTGTGCATCCAACGTCCGCCACGTTGCACACCATCCGCGAGCCCCGTTAGGAGCGGGCTGCCAACTCCCGCGGAGAGAGAATTTTCCTCGTCGCGACCGCCGAGGTCCGAGGTCCGATCGGGCACACCAATTCGGGTCACCCGAATTAACAGTACACTCCGTTATATTACACGTAAACTCGCAATGCGTTAGAGAGATTTATAAGGAAAAAAATAGGATTTATTTCGTTTGATCATTTCGTTCGATCTTTCGAATGGCGTACACTCCGCTCCGTACATTTAATCTTTCCGCGAACGATCGTTCGCGAGGGTCCTGCGAGCATTCCGACGCTCGTAAACGACGGCAATTGGCCGGCTCCATTTCCGTCGCTCCGAAACCGGCTCCCATTGGCCGAATCCGTTTCGGCCAGCCCGAACTGCCATTCTCACGCGCGGATTCGCACGCGAAATGCTTCGCGAGGGTTCTCCCGAGGGACGGACCAGTCGGAAACGGCTCCGATTGGCCGGATCCGTCTCGGCGCGCCGGGGTTCGGCCCTCGCCCTCGGATTGGAGAGCGAGGGGTTTCGCGAGGGGTTTCGCGAGCCAGGGCTGGGCCCGGGGGGGGGGCCCGGGGTTGGGACCACGCTGCGTGGCGCTGGCGTGGCCCGGGCTCGGCGCGGGACCACCCCGCCAGCTCGCTCCGCCGCCCGGATCTCGCTAGGGACCTGCATGCGGGCGGGGGACTCCCTCTCGCGTGCCGATTCCCAGCTGGGGGTCGCGACACACCGGGCATCCGCGTGCGGCCCTGGTGGGAACCCCTTTCCACCAGGAGGGGGCCCTGGTGGGAACCGACCCACCAGGGCCCGGGTGGACTAGGAAAATGGTAAGTGGAGGCGCAATAAGTGTTCGCGGAATAAGCTCAGTTGGCATTTAGGAAAACAAAAAGTGCATTTGGCTGTTGGAGATCCCGAGGATCCAGCAGAGAAGCTTTCTCTTTGAGGTAGCTCCGTTAAAATTTAATAACGATGCCATAGATACACTTTTATCAAAGGCGCAATCTTATGTCCCATTCCCGTACAACTCCTTCAGCTCATCTGGTGGTTCGTATACGATGCCATTCAGGGTGTTGTTCAAGTCGAGACTGTAGACATGACTGACCGTGTCAAAGGTTTTCTGAAGTGGGTGACAAGCGGGGAGGAGGGAGGGGGAGGGGTGGGGGCAGAACGGGTGAGACCTTGACATAACGGCAAGCAACAAGACAGTAAAAAATCGGCTAAAAACACACACAGTCTGCCTCTGCCTTGCAACCAAGAGCATACCTGTCACGTGACCCCTGGGTTTCTAAACCAACAGCATACCTTATTGCCGAACGCATCGCTCAAGCGCCCCCGCGACTTGGTCTTCTGAAGCTTCTTCCCGAAGCTGAACGCATCGCCAGGCTCCCTCCCAAACCGCCTCATCAGTGTCATCACATCCTCATCCATGCTCTCAAACCTCCCCACAAAGTCATACTTGATCCGGTCCAATGCACATAGCAGCGTCTGCGGCACTATGTGCACATCTAGGTGAAACCGGTTTTCTATCTCCCACGCCTCTCCAAGATAACCCACAAACTCATCGAACGTGATTCGAAACCCCGTCCGCAGCTGAATCACCTCCCAGATGCTCCGCAGCCGGGCAGTTCCGGGGCCCGACCGAAACGTGGCAGCATCCCATAAGGAGTGTGTGATCAGCTGCCCGAAAAACGCCTGCGCCCAGAATCCTGCCCCGAGATCATCCGGGCCGCCCCCGCGAAGCATCTTGTCTAGATACGCCGACAGAACGCGGGTGTACGGGTTCCGGAGGAACACAAAGCGGGTGAAGTCTCGTCGTGTGAGGGAGCGTATGGCTTGTGGCTCGGTGAGGGAGTACCAGACGGCAGTGACGTTGGTGAAGTGGGCGGTGTGGGCGGAGAGGAAGGACTTGGGGAAGGGGTGGTGGTGCTGCTCCCGCAGCCAGAACTTCCAGCTCGTGCACCCCGCCTTCTGCACGTAGCAGTACACCATGCCCACATCCTCTGTGGGAAGAGGGGGGGTTAAGAAAGGGAAGCAGAGGCAGCACAGCAGGTCAGGTGCACTGGAGACCCCGCAGCCAGAACTTCCAGCTCGTGCACCCCGCCTTCTGCACGTAACAGTATACCATGCCCACGTCCTCTGGTGGGGGGAGGAAACCACGGGAATGGGAGCAAGGAGGGGTGGTGGGGCAGCAGGTTAGGTCACCTGAAGAGTGCTCCCTCAGCCGGACTGGACCCATAGTGGACCTAACAACTCATGCACCCTGCCTTTTGCACGTAGAGAAAAAAGGAGGAAGGGAGGTTTGGCAGGGCAACGTACCATCCACGATGAGTTGCCTGCAAATGCGGTGCTCTGTCACAGGCAGTATCCTCGGCGCATCACACAGCCAACAGCGAGGAAGGGAGGTTTGACAGGGCAACAAACTTCTATCCACAATCAAATTTGGCAGGGCCAGCCACGTACCATCCACAATGAGTTGCCTTCCAATGCGGTGCTCTGTCACAGGCAGTATCTTCGGCGCATCGCACAACCCCCTCTCCTCCTCAAACTCCCTCCCCTCGCCTCCCACCTTCCCGCCACTCCCCCTATCCCCCCCTATCCCTGGTGGCGTTTCCCCCCGGGGGAAGCTCTCTGGCGCCACTAGCACATCGCGCATGCGGGGGGAGCTGCCCCTGGCGGAGGCCTGCGCGCGCGCGCGGATGAGGTCCGCCTGGGGGGAGTGCTGCAGGTGAATGAGCCCCTGCGCGGATGAGAGGGCGAATAGCTCCGCTGCTTCCAGCTGCGCGCATTCTACCCATGCTGCTGCTTCATCTGAGGCTGCTTCTGCTGTGGTTGATGCTGCTTCTGCTGTGGTTGATGCTGCTTCTGCTGTGGTTGATGCTACTTCGCCTGTGGTTGGTGCTGCGTCCACTCTGGTCGATACTGCTTCTGCTGTGGTTGGTACTGCTGCTTTGTCCGATACTGCTGCTCCTTCGTCTGACACTGCCGCTGCTGCGGCTGATACTGCTGCTGCAGCAGGTGATAGTGATGGTAGGGATGCTAATGCTCCTGGTTTTCGCTCTGGGTATGCTTGGACTTCTAGCCAACGTCTTGTCCAACTGCTGCCACTACCGCCCTCTACACTACCAGACAAAAGCAGCCGCCTTGTTCCACCAGCCGACTCGCCAGTCCCATTCGCCCCTCCTTTCCCCATTTCCAGTCCCACTTCTCCTCCCACTCCTCCTCGCGCTCCTCCTCCCAACCCCCCTGTACCCATGGTGTAGTAATCTCTACCATCTGCCAATCCAAGCCACCACATCCACTTAGCCGTCTGCTGCCTCACAGTCATCCCGGGGGGGATAATAGGCGGCGCTACATATCCACCCCCAATGCGGTTACCGTCCTTCAAGCGGTTACCACTGGCTTTGCGGTTACCGCCTTCGCATTGCTGCGCACGGCGTCGCGTGGATTCTAGCAAATGCGGCTGGCGGTTCTCGTGGAAAGTTTCTGCCACGGCTACAGCCTGAGACGGCCAGAAGCCCACAACTGTAGCGTCGCCTTCGGGCTGCCCGAGAAAAAACCACATGAGGCGGCGCGTGGTGCAGTTGACCGCGAATTTAGGGTCGCAGCTAGAGCAAGGGTAGGAGGAGGGGAGGGAGAGGGAGATTGGCTCTACGTACACGGCTATGCTCTGCTGGACACGTGTCATGTTCTCCTTGGCTATCAGCTCCTGCACGGCTGCGGACGGCTGTAGCAGGCTGTAGCAGCGCTGGAGGGAAGTGCGGAGCTGGGAGGAGCCGTTCACGTCAGCAAGGGCGGAGGCCATGGGAGGGAGGGAGGCTGAGAGGAAGAAATTGACGTGCAGGCGGCGAGAAGGGTGGGAGGAGGAAGACGACGATGAGGATGAGGATGAGGAAGAGGAAGAGACATTCTGTTGCTCTTGCTGCTGCTGCATCTGCTCCTGGGAGATTGGCTGGGGGATTTTCGAGTTGAGGGTCTGTTGGAATATGCAGGGCCAGACAGCAAACGAGCAAGTGGATAACACGTGGTGAACATACACAAGCAACAAAATCACCCACACAGTATATCACTGCAAGAAAGGAGACAAAAACATTGAACACACAAGCTTGCGCATGCCAACGCCCCTCTACAGAAACACATACCCCATAGGTGTAGAGCGGCGAGTTGAGCCAACTGGGGTGATGCAGCAGCACCAGAGTCTCATCAGACGGGTCAGCTGCACCGGAGGATGACCCGTCTGCTGCTGCGGATCCCTGCTGCTGCTGCTGCTGCTGCCCGTCGTTTTGTGGCTGGGAGCCTTGCGGAGAGGAGAGCGCGCTGGGGCGAGGCAGAGGCCCGAGCACGTGGTTCAGCGTGGCGTGCGGCATGCCTGCGTCTGGCAGCCACAGCACGGCCAGCCGTAACGGTGCCTGCTGTGGTTGCTGTGGTTGATGCGATTCTTGTGATTCTTGTGCGGAGTTACTTGGTTCGGAGGGGGAGAGTTTGGACGATAAGAGCTGGTGCAGAGCGTAGCCCGCACACACCGCCTCCAGCCGCTCGTGAAGCAGACCCTGAAATTGGGAAGAAGACTGAAGAGTAGTTAGCTTATAATTGCAAGCAGTATGAGCGCGACAGCTTGCAACGAAATATCTGATCTTTAGGCGGGATCTGGGTATAACCTCCGACAGATTCAGTAGAGATGATATTTCATCGAATTGTCATCCACAACATCCTTGGAAGAATCTTGGTCGCATTTCCAACAAGAATCTTGAAAGATTCGGACGAACCTTCGCCCAGACAACGACATCTGGATGAGGAATGGTGTTGCTCACACTCCAATCCTCCTGATTCACTCCATGTCCTATTCTCCCGGGCAAAACCCGTAGAGAGAAAAACGAAACCGTTGTGCTGTCTTCTGTGCCGGTCATCCAAGCTTCACGAATCATGAGAACGATGCTAACGAATGTAACTAGAAGTAACCATGTCAACGTTCTTCGCCACGACCCGTTCTTCGAGCACATGCGTGAGAAAATAGACCTCACATTACAAGCAAAGCTTCTGTAGCCGCCTCGTGCATAAAACATCCAAGATTGATTCTTGCTCATGCTAGGACTGACCGTCACGTTTTGTTTCCTCGTAGGAACGGCATTCGCCATCACGCGAACCTGATCTTGCATTAGTCTACGCGATCTGTCTAGCGGGATAAAGAGATATCCCCATCACGTCAACCCTGCTCGTACGCAATCCGCCGTACGCATCACGAACCTGCTCGTCAGCACTGCTTACTGAACTTCACTCTCGCACACGAGTCAAGACAAACCTACTATGAAACGCACTCAGCAATTCAAGTCAGGAAAACTCGTCCTAAACATTCCCGCACTAGAATCTATCCAGCTATTACCAGGTACACGTATGTAATCAGGCAAAATTTAGGAGAGCCGGCTCGGGAGGGAGAATGGTCCTAAGTCTAGATTTGGGCCAAGAGAAGCAAGGGTTGGCTGGAGTTTGGAGCTCTGGTCTGGTGGCTGGTTCGGCTTACTGACAAACCTGCGATACGCGCCTGCCTGGCCAGGCAGGCGGGAAGCCCAAGGGTGACTGCCTGGCCAGCCTGACCCTGACAGGTTTCGGAACAGAACAAGCCACCGAAAGCTGGTGATTGGGCTGAAGGCCCTCTAGCTATGGCCCTAACCTTGGCCGAACTGCATCACCGTACTAGGAAAGCGCCGAACCAGCCTTTCACCGCAAAACCCCGAAATGAGCTGTGAAAGTTCGTTAGAGAACTCTAATTGCCTAGAAAGCTAGCCAACTACATAAAGAAGAATAAAGCTAGGCCACATGAATACACACAGGTGCCACATGGACTACCCCCCAATAGTCCACCTGTATCACCTACTTCATCTATGTCGCTCCTATCTCTGTTACATCCTTTTATTCACCTCTTTCCAGTTGGCTCAAATGCCCAATTCTGGCTTGGGAACATCAGCCGAACAGGTGACTGAGTTTAACAATCCAGCCGGTGTGCCTTCCACATTATTGCCTTCCACGTCAGCACCTTCTGCATCAGCGCCTTCCACGTCAGCACCTTCTGCATCAGTGCCTTCCACGTCATCACCTTCCGCATCAGCGCCTTCCACATCAGCACCTTCCACGTCAGCACCTTCTGCATCAGCAACTTCCACATCAGCGCCCTCCACAGCACCTGCATCAGCGATCGCTTCAGCCACAGCAACCCGATCTGCCATGTCAGCTGCAGGCAGATCGGGTTGCTTTGGCACAGCTGAACTGTGCGAGCTAACATCACCATGATCTCCCCTGTTGGCCGTGCCTTGGTTCGCCATGGCTTCTTGGACCGTGCTGTTTCCGAGAGCGTTGAGATAATCCTGGGTCTTTTCATTGCTCGCATCATCCTGCTTGCTGCATTCCCCATCCCTCTCATATTTCTCCCGTTGCTCTGTACCCTTCCCTCCCTCACTCTCCCCCACCTCACTCGCTTGCTCCTCACTCCCTCGCTCCTCCCTCCCTTGCGCATCAGTCTCTTCTTCGTCACTCTCTCCCTCCAGTCCAATGGTACCAACACTGCTCATGTCTAGTGTGCTCTCTTCCCCATCGCTCTCATTCTCACTCTCGTTCTCTATCAAACTCTCACTCCCACTCTCACTCCCACTCGCACTCCCACTCCCACTCCCACTCCCATCCCCACTCCCACTCCCACTTCCACTATCTACATCACTGACCCCACTCTCTCCACCACCGCCTTCCCCACTCCCACTTTCCTCCGCTTCACTCCCCAAGCTATCACAAGAATCAAAACCATCTGCCCCTTCATCCTCCTCATCAATCCCACTCCACTCGTCCTCTTCCCTCCCATCCTTCTTCTCACTCTGTCCCTCCTCCACCTCATCATTTTGCTCGTCCCTCCCAACCTCCTTCTCACTCCGTCCTTCCCCGATCGCTCGAGGCACCTCAGAGACAGGCTCGTCCTTTTGCTCTTCCAGCCCACCACCCTCCTCTGCTTCACCCTCGTCTATCCCACTCCACTCATCCTCCTCCATCTTATCCTCCTGCTGACTCTGTTCCTCATCGTTCCTCTGCGGCACCTCCGAGACAGGCTCTTCGTTTTTCTCTTCCGGTTGATTCTCCTCCTCTGCATCCTCCTCATCAATCCCACTCCACTCGTCCTCTTCCCTCCCATCCTTCTTCTCACTCCCTCCCTCCTCCACCTTTTGAGGCCCCTCTTCATTTTGCTCGTCCCTCCCAACCTCCTTCTCACTCCGTCCTTCCTCGATCGTTCGAGGCACCTCAGAAACAGACTCTCCCTTTTGCTCCTTCAGCTGATACTCTTCCTCTGCATCCTCCTTATCAACCCCACTCCACTCGTCCTCTTCCCTCCCCTCCTTCTCAGTCATTCCCTCCTCGTTCCGTTGCGGCACCTCAGAGACAGGCTCATCGTGTTCTTCCGACAGATTCTCCTCCTCTCCATCCTCCTCATCAACCCCACTCCACTCGTCCTCCTCCCTCCCCTCCGTTCCCATCACCTCCTCCTGCCCTTCCCCTTCATCCGCCCTGCTCCCAAGTTGATCCTCTACCGAGGGCTTTCGAGGCACCCCTTGAGGCGCCATTTGAGGCGCCTCAGAAGTCCTCTCAGAAGTCGCTTCCTCCTTCCCTTCCCCTTCATCAACACTACTCTCAGATTGGTCATCCGCCAAGGGCCCTTGAGGCGCCATTTGAGACAATCTGAGAGCATCAAAGATCTCCTCCTCCTGCCCTTTCCCCTCAACCATGATGCTCTCAGCCTCAGATCGCTCCTCCTTGACCAAGAGAGGAGGACCAATCATGCTGCCCGGCTCTTGAGGCGCCTCACAAATCATATCTACCGGGAAAGGAGAAGCTATCATGCTGCCAGGTGTCTGAAGGATTCCTGGTGGAGAGATTTCAGCCCCATTCTCCTTCTCACTTCGTTCCTCCTTGTTCTTCCGATACACCTCGGAAACTGCCTCCCCATTTTGCCCTCTCGACCCACCCTCCGTGTTCTCTATCCACTCCTCTCTTTCCTGAGGCGCCTCAAATGAATACCCTTCCTTCTGCTCCTCCGTCTGATCCCTCTTCTTGCTCCACCCGTCCTCCTTCCCCTCATTGCCTGGTTTTCTCCCACGCTCATCACTTGCATCATCGTTAGCATCATCAACATCACTCCACAAGTCCTCATCACCATCGTCATCGCAACCATCAGCATCAGCATCGCCATTGCCTGGTTCCCTCCCATCCTCGTCACCAGCATCACCGCTATCAACATCAACATCACTCCACAATTCCTCAGCATCATCATCACCATCACCATCACCATCACCAGCAGCAACATCCTCTCTCTCCGCCACTACTTTCTCAACTTCCTCCTCTTTCCTCCATTCCTCCTCTTTACTCCCTTCCTCCTCTTTCCTCCATTCTTCCTCTTTACTCCCTTCCTCCTCTTTCCTCCATTCCTCCTCTTTACTCCCTTCCTCCTCATTCCTCCCTCTCTCCTTATTCCTCCCTTTCTCCTCTCTCATCCCATCCTCCTCTTTCCTCCCTTCCTCCTCTTTCCTACCTTCCTCCTCTCTCCACCCTTCCTCCTCATTCTCGTTCCTCCCAGCCTCCTCCATTGTAGACCCAGCAGCATCAGCATCCTCGTTACTAACATCACCACTATCGTTATCAGCACTCCACGACGATTCATCCTCCTCCTCCTCCTCCTCCTCCTCCTCCTCCTCCTCCTCCTCCTCCTCCTCCTCCTCCTCCTCCTCCTCCTCCTCCTCCTCCTCCTCCTCCTCCTCCTCCTCCTCCTTCTCTTCCTCTTCCTCTCTCTCCTCCTCCATATCACTCCACCCTTCCTCTCCCTCACTAGAGCTCTCACTTTCCCTTGCTTCCCCTTTCATCGAACCTCGCTTTACCAACACATTTTGCACACCTCGTCCCTCTAAACCTGACTCACACTCTTCCTTCATCACAACTGCTGATGACCTCCCTAGCTTCTCAACTCCTCCTTTCTCCTCAACTCCTCCTTTCTCCTCAACTCCTCCTTTCTCCTCAACTCCTCCTTTCTCCTCAACTCCTCCTTTCTCCTCAACTCCTCCTTTCTCCTCAACTCCTCCTTTCTCCTCAACTCCTCCTTTCTCCTCAACTCCTCCTTTCTCCTCAACTCCTCCTTTCTCCTCAACTCCTCCTTTCTCCTCAACTCCTCCTTTCTCCTCAACTCCTCCTTTCTCCTCAAATCCTCCTTTCCTATCCTTTTCTTCTCCATTCCTAGGTCCCACTGAACCTAGCTTCTCCACTCCTCCTTTCTCCTCCATTCCTCCCTTCTTCTCCTCAACTCCTCTTTTCCTATCCTTCCCTTCTCCAGCCGCAACACCCAATCCGTTTCTCTTTTCTTGCTCCTCACTCCCCTCCTCCCCTGCAACAACCCCTCCTTGCTCCCGCTCCTCCCTCCTCCTCCTCTCCTCACTAGCAGCTTCCATCTTCCTTCTCACCTCCTGCACCCTCCTCCTCCTCTCCTCCTCTTTCTCCCTCTCCTTCGCCTCCCTTTCCCTCCTCTCCCTCTTTCTCTCTCTCAACGCTCTCTCTGCCTCTTCCCCTTCCTCTTCCAACTCCTGAGTCCACTCCAATACCACCCTCCTCTCTTCCTCTCCTCTCCTCTGCCCCGCCCCTGTCAACGTCTCCACCTTTTCAACCAACCATTCCGAAACCCCTGTTTCCGTATCAACAAAACTCCCCACAGTCACCATCCCACGATGAGGTCTGGCCTTTGGGGAAACCAACGGAGATCTACCTGGAAAAGCACCTGGCAAAACAGGACTGGTGGCACCGGGTGCACCAGCATGAGACCCAGCGCCAACACCTGTAGCAGCTGCAAGGGTGGTAGCAGCAGCCCTTGCCACAGCTGCTACAACCCCAGACGGACCAAGCAATGGGGAGTGTGACGGACCCACTCTGTCACCTGCTGTGCCTGGAGCACTAGCAGCAGCAGCAGCAGCAGCAGCAGCAGAGTCATCAACAGCAGCAACGGCGGCACCTGTCGCGGTTGCTTCTGCAACCGCAGGTAAAGCAGCTGGTGTAGCAGCGGTGGCAGCAGCAGTTGTAGCAGCGGCTGTAACCGCAGCTGTAGGAGTGGTTGTAGCAGCAGGCACAGCAGCGGAAGAAGAGCCAAACGTGAGGTGCGTGAGCGAATCAAATATCTGGATGCTGGCCCGCCGAACGTGGCTGACCGACGCTGACTTGGGCAGGAAACTTGCAAAGAGACCCGGAGCAGCAGCGGATGAAGACTTTTCCTGCTGCTGCTGGTGTTGCTGCTGCTGCTGCGGTCTCCTCTCATGCTTCACACGCACATTCCCTTCACCACTGTCCTCGACCTCCTCCTTACCCTCCTCTCCTTCCACCTCCCCTTCCTCAAGAATCCAAACATCTGCCCCACCTCCCTTCTCCTCCGCTCCTCCTCGTTTATCACCCAAACCTCGTCTATCCCGATAGGACCCCTCCCACAGATCCTCCCTTCCCATCTGCCTTCCTGCCTCTTGATCCTGCACCCTGCTGCTGCCCCACGGTTGCTCTATGCTTTCCTCTCTATCACCCATCCCCACTCCACCCAACCCCTCTCCTTTCTCTCCCATCCCCCAGCCCTGCCAGCCCCCTACAGAACGAACCCTGCCGCCCGCTGCAGCTGTAGCGGGCCTACGTGGCAGTGCTACAGTTCCTGCTCCTGCTGCTACAGACTCACGACCTGCTGCGCCACCTGTTGCCGCTGCTACAGCCCCTGCTGCAGCACTTGTAGCCCAGAAAGACACAATGTCTCGAACAGTGCCCTGTGCTGCTGCAGCAGCTTCGGATAGCAACGACTCCATCACACCGTCTCTACCACTCCCCTTGTGCGGCTCCTGAGAACTAGACGCGCCGTCCCGAACACTCCCTTTCCAAACCTGCCGGTTACTTGCCAAACCACTAGCCTCGGTCCCACCCCGAGCAGTTCGGTCCGGTACACCAGAGTCTATAGGTAAAAGAGCTGAATCACCCTGGTCACCCCTTCCTTGTATCCGTTCTCTTCCTGTGCCTGTGCTCCGCTCCTCCTGCCTACCAGCCCTCCCTCCTCCACTCCCTCCTCCCCTTCCTCCTCCGCGTCCCCCCGCACCCCACACTCCCCCTCTCTGACCCCCAGGTCTGTACAGCAGAGCACTCACCCTCCCACTCCCACTGCTATCCCCGCCCCCAACCGCTCTTCTAGCCGGCTCAAAAGTCGACCTGGACTTAGGCAGAGCGGTCATGGGGCGAGCAGGCATGCTTTGAGGCGAAGCGATCGCTCTATGAGTCCGCTCAGGAGGCACCTCAGACGCAGTCGCTCTTCTAGCCGCCTCTTGAGGCGCCTCAAAAGCGATCGCTCTTCTAATCAGCTCTTGAGACGTCTCAAGAATCGCGTCAGTCGCAATTGCTCTTCGAGCCGGCTCAAAAGTCGACCTGGATTTAGGCAGAGCGGTCACGGGGCGAGCAGGCAAGGGGTGGGCATCTAGACCATCCAGCCTTGAAGCTGGTTGGGAATACTCGTCCTCCAGGCTTTGATTCCTCCTCCCTCTATCCAGCTGGACAGGGGTTTTCCTATCCAGACTGGTAAACCCATCTCCCTCACGACCCCCCCACGCAAGCGGCTGTGGCTGGTATTCGCCCAAGCTTTGGCCCCTCTGGCCCCTCCCTGTATCCCTCCTCGCGGCTGCTGGATCTTGACTCCCCCACGGGTGAGCGTCCAGCCTGGTGGCTGCTGGCTGGTGGTATTCGTCTGGACTTTGGCCCCTCCCTGTATCCAGCCTCGCAGCTGCTGGATCGTGACTTCTCCAGGGGTGAGCAGCATCTAGCCTGGTGGCTGCTGGCTGCTGGTATTCGTCTGGGCTTTGGCTCCTTTGGTTCCTCTGTCCCCTCCCTGTATCCAGCCTCGCAGCTGCTGGATCATGGTGACCCCCCCAGGGGTGAGCTTGAGCATCTAGCCTGGTGGCTGCTGGCTGGTGGTATTCGTCTGGGCTTTGGTTCCTCCCTGCATCCAGCCTGGTGGCTGCTGGCTGGTGTCGACTCCCACTCCCACCACTAGCCCCGCCCCCAATCGCTCTTCTACCCGGCTCAAAAGCCAACCTGCCACTCCCATCCCTTGCTGCTGTGTGCTGGAACCGATCTCTCGGCTGAGCAGTCATAGGGCGGGCAGGCAACGGGTGAGCGTCCAGTCTTGAAGCTGGCTGGGAATAGTCTTCCTCAACGCTTCGATTTCTCCCTCTATCCAGCCGGGCAGCAGAGTCATGACTCCCTATGGGGCGAGCAGGCAATGAGTGAGCGTCCAGGCTTGAAGCTGGCTGGGAATAGTCCTCCTCCAGGCTTTGGTTCCTCCCTCTATCCAGCCTGGTAGATGCCTCACGACTCCCCCAGACATCACGTCTCCTTTGCTCGCCCAGCAAAGGATCGTCTTGTATCCTGCTCTGTTCCCTCTCTTGCTGCCTGGACATAGGACGAAAGAAAGGCTGCTGCTCCCCTCCTTCTTGCCTGATTCCAGGCGCCAGCACAGCAGGGGACTCTGCCATCAGGTCAAAGGCGTTAGCGTTCTGTTGAGAGTTCCCAAAAGTGGCATTGGAGTAGCTAGAAGGAGTGAAGGAGCGAGTGAGAGAGTCCGCATGGTGGTGTACCACAACACCTCCTGTTCTTTGAGGCGCCTCAAAAGTCTGCCCCAGGGGTTTGGGTTTAGGGGAAGCAGTTGTGAGGGAGCGAGTGAGAGAGTCTACATGGTGGTGTACCACCACATCGCCCGCTACCACCTCCCTTACAAACAAAACCTCCTCACTCTCCTCCTCTTCCCCTCTCTCCTCCCCCTGCTCCTCCCCTCTACCTGCCCCCTCCTCCTCCTCTGCCCTCCCGTCCTGCTCCGCCTTCTCCCCTTCCCTCAGCCTCAAAGGTCGTGCAACAGGAGTGTTACCGCCGCCACTAGTGGTAACCGCATGTGCGACAGGCGTGTTACCGCCAGTCGAAGCATCCGCAGTTACAGGGGTGGTTACCGGCGACACTTGACTGTTAGCAAACTGATTTGGACTCCCCAAGGCCTGGGCAATGGGAGTGTTACCAGCAGTGGAAGCAGCAGGTGTGTTACCAGTTGTAGAGTAAGCAGCACCAGGAGTAGCAGCAGGAGTAGCAGCAGCAGAAGCAGCAGAGGTGGCTGCAGCAGCTAGCCTTGCTGAAGCCATCCCGAGGAGACCAGATACATTGAACCCACTGACAAATGACGCGGTAACTGCATGCGCAACAGGAGTGTTACCAGTAGTCGACATCTCAGCCATAGACGGTGTCCTGTAGATGGTCAGAGCACTCAACCGCTCTCCACCCATTCCTCCTGATACACCACCCATCTGAACCGCTCCCCCTTGGGACATCGACATTCCTCCTGACATATCCCCTACAGCCCGAGCCACAGGCGTGTTACCATCCGTGGACATTCCCGAGGCTACGGAGGAGGTTCGGGCGATGGTAACCGCGTGCGCAACCGGCGTGTTACCAGCAGTGGAGGCCTCAGTAGTAGCCACCGAAGCTGACCTGTAGATACTTAGTGAGGCATTGTGTACCCCGACTGAGTAGACAACAGAAGGAGCTTCGGCAGCAGACACTGATCTACTCATGCTAGGAGTACTGGCAACAGAGGGACCAGCAACAGAGGGAGAGCGAGCTATAGCCAAAGCAGCCGACTGGAGACTCTGACCAATGCTCCACATGCCGTTGCCGCTGCTCACCCCCCATCCTCCTCCGCCACTTTTTTCTCCTCCTCTCCGCCCCTCACCCCCACTCCCATCCTTGACAAGCCTTCTGGGAGCAGGAGGGACCAGGCCAGCCGCATTTCTTCTCATGGCTGCCCGAGCCTTTGCTTCAACTGCCCGGACCAAAAGCTCGAGATCCTCTTTCACTGCAGCAGCAGCCGTTGCTGCTGCGTTCCCTTCCTTAGCCACCCCTCGGAATTTTCTCCTCACCCTGCCAACGCCATTCACATGCAACACGTTATGCACCTCCCTAAACACTGCTGATACCACCTGCTCCACTTCCCACTCCGCTTTCTCCCTCTCGGCAGCCGAGACAGCTGTAGCGGCAGCTGTAGCGGCGGCAGAGGCTGACACTAACTCGCTTTCCCGCTTCGCCACTGCCAGCTGTAGCATCTGCAGCAACACGTGGAGAAAATCACCCTGGTGCTTAGCTAAAAGCTGCTGCTTACTGTAAATAGAGTCACCCCAATTGTAGTCTTCATCTGCCAACCCTACATCTACTAACTCCTCCTCCTCCTCCTCTTCTTTTCCTCTCCCAGATTCTTCCAAGTCTTCTCTGTCATTCGCTCCACCTGTTGTCGTCTCTGTTCCTGAAAACTCCCCCCCTGATGGTCCCCCGAAGGTGAGCAGCAGCCCCACATCTGAACCAGTTCTGTTGAAACCACCTGAGTAAGACCCTGCTCTGTTGAAAGCACCTGAGTGCGAGTCCGCTCTGTTGAAACCCCCTGTGTAGGAAACCGCTCTGTTGAAACCCCCTGAAGGCATACCTGGGGCTTCCCTAGGAGCGGTTGTTATCTGACTGGCATAGGAAAAGGGCTGCCCTGAATAGGAGACTGCTCTAGCTGCGTTGGGAGAGGAAGCCTCATCAAGCGCTGAAAACGAGGTGGTGAGGGGCGGCAGTCCTTTAGCAGTGGGAGAGGGGGGTTCTTTGCTGGTGGGTGTGGGAGAGGAGGGCCCTTCAGAAAAGGAAATATCACGAGCAGAGTGGGAGGAGAGGAGGGTGGTGGTGGTAGAGGAAGAGGACAGGTTCGGATCAGGATAGGCTCGGCCTGAGTACGTGGAGGCTCGGCGGAAGGCCTTGTGGAGAGAAGAGCCTATACTGCCGGGATGGGGGCTTGCAGGAGCCAAGAATGAGAAGGCGTTATGGGTGATGTCAGGAGCTGTGTCTGGGCTGGTGGTATGAGTCGTCTCTAGGCTGCTGTAATCCGTGTGTGGGGTGATGTGAGCCACATTAACAGGTGCACACGGTGAGGCAACTACAACTGTCGCTGCTCCTGCTGCTGCCGATGCCACTACTGCTGCTCCTGCTCCTGCTGCCGCTGATGCTACTACTGCTGCTGAAACATCTTCTCTTCCCTCACTCGCATCCTCTTTTCCGCTCTCCCAGTCCTTCCCATCAACTTCACCTAAACCGTTTTCCATAGCAACAGCTGCGACGCTCCTTCCTCCTCCACCTTCACCCCCTTGCTCCTGCCCATCCCAATGGGCGAATTCCCCACTCGTCCTTTCCGCCTCCCCTTCCATTCCCCTCTTGACCTCCTCCTCCTCCGCCTCCTCCTCATGCTTATCATTATTATCACCACTGCATTCAGCCACACTAGCCAGACGAGACTTTACGCGACCACCAGGAGTGCCGTTTTCACCTGATGAAGCACCTGAAACAACAGAAACACCTGAACCGTCTCCATCTGCGCCGCCTGCACCCCCAGCGCCAGGTGCTGCTGCGGTCACCACCTCAGCATCCCCATCCAACTGCATCCCCCGTAAATGAACCAGGGGTGAGTGCAGAGGCGAGAAGTTGCTCATTCTCCTCCGCAATTCCGGCAGCTTAGCACTGAAAAACTCGTCCTCACGAGGAGAAGAGGACTTGTAAGGACCCTCACCAGTCATTCTCCTCCTCAATTCCGGCAACTTAGTGCTACAAAACTCGTCTTCTGCAGAAGAGGCAGACTTACAAGGCGAGTTTTGAGGGCCCTCACCAGTCATTCTCCTCCTCAATTCCGGCAATTTGGTGCTGAAAAACTCGCCTTCCCCAGGGGAAGAGGGCAGGCGCAGGGCCGTCTCCTTTTGAGGGCCCTCACCAGTCATTCTCCTCCTCAATTCCGGCAGTTTCGTGCTGAAAAACTCGTCTTCCCCTGGGGAGGAGGGTTGCCCCAGCGCAGCCTTAGCGTCTCTCACATAGGTGACTAAATCGGATGTGGCTCTAGGGAACGTGCGAGGGGGAGGGTGAATGTGCAGCAGAGGCCGGGAACTGCAGGTGTGACTTGGCTCAGGGTCGTGTGCATCAGTGAGACTTGGATCCTCACTAAATAGTCTACTCTCCTCCGTGAGTGACCTAGGCCAGTCCATCCGGCAAGACTGCCCTATCCTTCTTTCCTCCCTCTTCTCTGCCCCCTCCGTTTCCCTTTCCTGCCTCTGGCCTTCCCCACGCCTCTCCCCTTCCCCACGCCTCACCTCAAGCTCTTGTTCATCGTCTCCTTCACTCCAGATCTCATCCCAGTCACCGTCCTCATTCTTCCCCTCAACTCCCTCCCCTTCCCTTCTGTAATTCTCTTCCTTCTCTAAGCTCAGCCGCTCCACTACACTTGCTGCTCTGCTGGTGCGTGTGCCTGTGCTTGCTGTGGCAAGCGAAGAACCTGGTTCTTCTTCTTCTCCGGCTGCTGCACCCTCCTCCTCCCCACGCTCCTCTATTCCAAATAGCACCCTTCTCATCCCTCCCATCTCCCCCTCCTCAGCTCCCCCCTCTGCTCCCTCCGCCACCTCGCCACCACACAAATACGGCCAGCTTTCCTCCCCACCAGAACCCTCCAATCGCGGCCCGCCAAGCGGCGACACAAACACCCCTCCCACGCCCCCTCCCCTGCCATTCCTCCCCACCGCTCCCGACCCACTCAAACTCCCCACTAGCGGCGACATCGGCCTTCCATTAGCATCAACCACCACCCCCCCTTCCGCCACAGCCCCTCCAAACGCCTCCCCTAGCTGCCTCTCTAGCTGAGACAGCATTTTCACTGCCTCCTGTCGCCGCTCCCACTCCTTCTCAGCTAAAAGGCTTGCTTCAGCTGAGAGCTCCTGCTCCCGTTGCAACTCCAGGTACAAGTCCTCAAGCTCCCTCTCTAGGTCTCCTCTCACGGCGTGCAGTCGCTCGATCTCTGCTTCTGCTTCTGCAATGCTCCTGGTGGTGTTCGTGGCGGTGCTGGTACTGGCGTTCCTGGTGCTACAGCCGCAGCTACAGCTGCTGCAACACGTGCAGCCACAGGTGCTGTTGGTAGGCTGGCTGCTACTCTGGTCTCCCCCAGCTTCGAGACAAGCCTTATCCAAATCAGCAACAGGGGCCTGTGACTTGCAATCGAGTTGAATGCGTAGAGAGTCCAACTCCCTCTCCAGATCTTCCCGCAGGTTGCGCAGAAACTCAAGCTCTGCCTCGCGGTCCATCTCGGGAAATGTCTTTCCAGGTGGCAATTGTGCCTTGGGAAGCGACACTTCCACCTTCTGAGGCTCTTTGAAGCACTCCACTTCGGCATCCATGTTTCCCTCCACACTCTCCCTCTCTCCCACAACCCCCTTCCAGCTGTTCCCATGCTCCTCCTTCCTTTGTTCACTCCCTCTACCTCCCGCATTGTTATCACCGAATGAGTCACGCGCGGCATTCGCATTCAAACCCAGAGTGTCTCCTGCTGCTGACCTCTCTGCAACTTTCAGGCGACCCTCAAGGCCCTTCACTCTTTCCTCTGCGTCCTCTCGTCCCTTCTCCGCCTCCTTCCATTCCCGCTCTGCTTCCTCCTTTCGCCTCTCTGCCTCCTCCCTTTGTCTTTCCGCCTCCTCCCTCTGTTTCTCTGCAGCATCCCTCTGTGCTTCTGCCTCTTTCAACCTCTGTTCCGCCTCCTCCCTGCTCCCCCCCTCCTCCCTACTTCCACTCTCCCTCAATCCCTCTTCTCCGCACTTATCCACGCGTGCGTGTGCGTCCGTCTCCCTCAATGCCTCTTTCAAGCATGCCAGCTCAGCACTCGTGTCTGCCAGCCTGGCACTTGTATCTGCCAGCGTGGCATTCACAGCTTCCAGCTCACGCCTCAAGCCCTCCGCCTCTCCCTCTGCTCTCACAGCGTGCAGTTCAAGGTCTTTTAGTCGTGCACTCGCCTCCCTTTCATCGTCACGCCCAGCTACCCTTCCATCCGCCTCATCACTCCTGTCATCTGCTACACTGCTTCCATCCTCCCTTTCAACTCTTCTTCTATCAACTGACCCGCTTCCCTCCTCTGCTGCTGCATCAGCAAGCCCTCTCAGCACAGCACTCACCCCCTCGATCCTCTCACATTTGGCCTCAGCTTCCTCCAATCGCTGCTTGACACGTGCCAATTCCTCCTCCGCCTCTTTCCGCCTCTTCTTCTCCTCCTTCCGTTTCCCCTCCTCCTCCTTCCGCTTCTCCTTCTCCTCTTTCCGTTTCTGCTTCTCCTCCTTCCTCCCCTCCTCTTCCTCCTTCAACCTCCTCTCACACTCCTCCAACCTCCCAAATAATTCCCCTCTCTCCCTCTCTCTTTCCTTCTCCCTCTCCTCCAAACGCCCCTCCAGAGCAACCTTTTCCCTCTCCACGCACTCATACTTAACCAGCAAATCGGTTTTCGCCTTTTCTGCCACTGCGAGCTGCTCCCCTGCTTGTTGAAGTTCACCTTTCAACCGCTCTACATCCCCCCGCATCTCCTCCAATGCCTCTTTCTGTGGAAGGTAGGCGGAGGGAGCGAGTGCGCGGGGTAGGTCAGGTTGGAATGATAAGGGAGGGAAAAAGCGGGGTGGAAGGGGGGAAGGCAATGGGGATGGGGGGAGGGGGTGGATGGAGAGATGGTTGTAACTGGAGCGAGAAACAGTACAGGAGTTGTAACCGGGGTGCGAGGGAGATGAAACTGGGGCGCAAAAGGAATGCGGAATGCGGAATGAACACGAACTGAATGGAGAATGCGAGAGGACACGTGGACGGACCCGATGGCTCTTCTTCCCATCTTTGTGCTTCTTGCCCGTCGATTTGCCTTCCTCCTGCCCGTCCTGCTCACAAGGCATCACAAGGCATCACAAGGCATCAGAGTGGCGCGAGCTCAACAAAAGGAGAACAAAAAGCGCCTCAAGCGGAACGCCGCGGAAAGCTGGCGCAAGAAGGAAGGAGTAGCGGCGGAGCTAAAAAGAGTTTTGAGGCGTCTGAAATGTTGAGACGTCTCAAAACTCTTTCGAGACGTCTCAGAACGCCGCAGAAAGCTGGCGCAAGAAGACAGGAGTAGCGGCGGAGCTAAGAAGTACGCGCACGGGAGCCAGAGCGGGACCCCCCAAAGGAAAGAGTACCTACTGAGCCATTGCCGGGAACTTGAGACGTGAGCATTTTTTAGACTCCTCACTAACCGCATTTCGACCTGAAAAAACTTCCCCAGGTCCCAGTGTTCCCGGCAACGGCTCAGTGTACCTCTGAGGCTCTAGTATCTCCCTCAGATTAATCAGCTCACTGAGTCTAGCGTGGGAGTCTTCCGCATAAAAAGCATGCTTTCACTCACCTGTGCCTCCATTTCTCGCAACTGAGAACGCGCCTTGCCAACTATCCGAAACTCGCAACAGGCGTTTTTTTCGCTCGCATAAATACGTCGAATCAGCGGACGACCTCATCTGTGAACCTGCTGCGGTACGGACGCGCTGAGCAGCGGCTACTCCGCATATCTGCAGTCTGAATTAGGTGCCGATAATCGGTTGGTAGGTGGTTATCAAATTAGTCGTCAGGGCACGTCCCGAAAATACGTTTTTTGCCGAATACCCTATTCAACCATTCTGAAACATTACAAAACTTTCTAGATCGTATCAAGCCTCATCGAACCGCAATTGCGAGTTCGGTTGACACCAGGCGCGCGCCTCAGGGAGGGACCAAGCAAGGTTCAGGCCAGGCCCGGACGTTCTGTTCATGGGTACGTAGCTCACCGAACCGAAGTGTGACGCGGGGAGACGTAGGTACGAGACTGCAGAGAGCATCCAGTGTACGGCTCGGCAAAGTTTTCTCACCCAGGCCATCCAAACCAAGCCGCCCCTGAGGCCGCCACAAGCCTTCCCTCCACACCGTTTTCCCTGCCCGCCAGTCACCTTCCTATATTTTTTTTTACCGAACCAGCAGTATATAGCATTAGTGCTTTTTCTTCTGGTCGCTCTTTGTTTCCCAGACAATTTGCGGTGTATCAAAATATGGATATGCGACAAAGCTGATTCGAAAAGTTGTATTCTTATCCCAAAACTCAACCTCCGATTTGGGTAAATCCGTTCAAGCGTTTGTGACAAATTCCCCTAATCTGTTGAGTCCGCCAAACTAAACCACCCTTTCGAATCTTCTATTCTTGGTCAACTGCTCGCGCTAGCCTCGTACCCGAGCCAGGAAGCCCACCAAGGCTTGTTCTCCCATATAGACTGCCTAAAAATAATATACGAGCGTCGATGCTGTAGAACCACGAACAATCAAGCGTAAACGTTTGTGGAGTGAATATGAGCCCTTTGGAATTTGGAGTATCATTATACCCATCTCATCAGCCATGCTTGGAGTTTCCACTACATTCTCACAGCCTTCATTCTAGAAGCTCACACCATCCCAATTCTCACCCTTCGCCCCCTCTTACCTCATTTCCTTCACTATCTCCTCTCTTTCTTCTACCGATAAGGCTCTTGTAGTTTGCGTGTGATGGCATTTTAAGCCTTCACGTGTTGTCCCTTCAGCGTGTCATGGTCTGTCGATAGTCAAAAGTGTTACCTCCGCGCATCCTGATCGGATTTGCCTAGGATTCCTAGATCGCCGTCACATTGTAATCTGGTCGAATTCCGGTTCCTTCCGCCGAAATCCATGGTGTACCCAGCATAGCCCCGAGGGTGCCTAACGAGCGCTCGTTTCAGTCACACACCGAACCGACTCCAACCATCTGCAGGCATTTCCTGAGTGCTCATCTGCGCAATTGCCATTTTCGTTTCCCGCTGTAGTGTCTGATCGTTCGGCGGACGCTGCAGCTCAGCAGCTTAAGGTTCTGCCGATCACCTCTTTAATCACGGGCTGGAGCTGCGGATATGGCGCTGACCGCAGCAGATGCTGGACCCATCTACAACCTGTTAGAAGCAGCTCTTAACGAGGCTACAAGGAAAGAGGCGGAACAGGCTCTTAACGCGTACGAGACCCGCGTGGGTTTCTGCTCATGTCTCCTGGTACGACAGATGGAGGCCCCCTCTCTCTTGCCTTCTTAATTTTGAAGCGTTATCATGAGAGCTTGAAGCATAATCATCAGAGCTTGAAGCATTATCATGAGAGCTTGAGCGTTGTCCTGAGATGAGAGCTTTGTTGTCTTGTCATGCGACGGTTTCATTCACGAGACGGTTCATTTGACCTTCACTGAACCCCTCTTTTCCCCTCCGCCTCTCCCTAAAATGCCGGCAGGAGATCATATCGCGCAAGGAGCTAGATCAGAAGGGTGGAGCTAGGTGGCTGGCGGCCATCTATTTCAAAAACAGCATTAACAGATACTGGCGGGCGAGACGAGAGACACAGTGAGTCACACTCGATCGCCTATAAAAACATCTGGTCATTGACCAATTGCAATACAGGTGGCTGGCAGCCATTTATTTTAAGATTAGCATTAACAGATACTGGCGGGCGAGGCGAGAGATGCAGTGAGCCACACTCCCGTGTAAGCACATAATGTTCCTGTTTCCTCCTACCATCCTGTGGCCTTTCCATTTCCCCCACTCACCCCCCTCCCTCACACCCTCTCTCGCACGCTCCCACGCACCCTCCCTCACAACCTCCCTCACCCTACCTCAAACTCTTCCTCACCTCACCCTTCCTCACAACCTCCCTCACCCTCTCTCACCCGCACAGGGGCATATCAGACGAGGAGAAGCCGGTGCTGAGAGCGCGGTTGCTGGAGCTAGTAGCAGATGAGAACAGCCATGTCAAGTGGCCGTGAGAGTCACAGAGGAGAGGTGCAGAGTCAAGTAAACTTTTACCCTTTGTCTCGGCTCTCCCACCCGCATTGCCTCACCCGCACAGGGGCATATCAGACGAGGAGAAGCCAGTGCTGAGAGCGCGGCTGTTGGAGCTAGTAGCAGACGAGAACAGCCAGGTGGCCGTGCAGCTGGCCGTGCTGATTGCTAAGATCGCCCGCATCGACTACCCCAGGGAATGGTGAGGGAGGGACGGGCGTGAATGGTGTGAAGTGAAACGTTTTGACCTTGGCTTACGCACATCCAGCAAGGCTGTTGGATCCAAGTGCCGCATGGCCACTTGGCTGTTGGATCCAAGTGCCGCATGGCCACTTGGCTGTTGGATCCAGTGGCAGATGAGGACAGCCAAGTGGCCATGCGGCTCGCCGTGCTGGTTGTTAAGATTGCCAGCATTGATTACCCCACGGACTGGTGAGTCAGGCATGGGCGCGAGTGGTGAGGGATGGGCGTGAATGATGAGTTGGTGTATGTATGAGGGATTGGCTGGCATGGCAATAAAATGCACTACTCCATCGCAATTTTGTCATTGGAATTTCTCATTAGTGGTTGTCATATCACGACTCACCACGGTTTCCATGCAGTCACACCGATGGCCATGCAATGTGATGCCATACGATCCCACACGATGCCTTTTGATGCCTTGTGTTGCCATATGATGCAATGTGATGTCATATGTGATTCCATATGATATGATGCCATTCAATGCCATATTATGCCATGTGCTGCCACATCATGTCATGCCGTGCATGCAAGGTCAGGTCAGAGCTATTTCCCACACTCCTGCTGAAGCTTCATACTGAGGACCCTCTGCTCACACAGCGCACCTATCTTTTTGTGCTTAATCATGTGCCGTCTGATCCCATATGTTCCCATGTGCTGCCATGCGATCCCACATCATGCCACATGCATGTGAGGGCAGGTCCGAGCTATTCCCCACGCTCCTGCAGAAGCTGCAGAGTCAGGACCCTCTGCTCACACAGCGTGCCTATCTGGTTCTTAATCACGTACTTAAAGAACTCTCAACCAAGCGCCTGAGTGTGGACCAACGCACCTTTTCTCAGGTAAGAGCCGAGCTAGGTAGGTACTTAACCACATGCCTTAACGAACTTTCAACTAAGCGCATAAGTGTGGTGTGGTGTGGTGGATCAGTGCACGTTCACTCAGGTAAGAGCTAGCGTCAAACCACACTACATCTCTCCGTTGGTGAAGGTGAAAAGCTGTAAGACCAAGGATAGAAAATACCGAGGATCACCTTTCTCAAAAATTTCCCGCCTCTCCCCTCCCCCACATTTTTTTGTCCTTTTCTCAGGTGACCAGCCAGCTGTTTGAGCCCACCTGGGCGCACTGGGTGAGAGACACAGGGTCACTGCTGCAGGGCCTAACCGCCCTTGAGGCTGGAGGGTCAGACCCAGCAGCAGCAGCAGCAGGGGCAGGGGCAGCAGGAGGGGCGCTGATGCTGCTGTGTGAGCGGTGGCTGCTGTGTGTGAAGACTCTTCGTCGCATGCTCGTGTTTGGCTTCCCTTCTGATTTCAAATCCGTTCAGGCAAGTAAGTCGCTGCGTGCGTGGTGTGGGCGGCCTTCTTGTGTGTTACAGAGCACCTTCTGTCTATCACCATCACCGGCAACCTATCACCGTCTCTCATTTATCCTCCTTGCTTCCTACCGTGGGAGCAATTTCAACGAATATGGAATGGCATCTCAATATTTGTTTCGTTACTTTCAAGTGTTGAGAAGAATGGAGAATGCTGATCTTGAAGAGTATTGAAACAAGCAATGCTCTGCAGCCCTTTATTGTCACACATTGCGCTGACTGATAGCAACTTTTCCTTCAAGAAAGCGCAGTTACCTTTCCTCTTTCCCTGTGCACCTCTTATTTTCATCCTTCCCCTTTACAGGAGGTTCCGGTACTGGAACAAGTGGTGCCCGCATTTCTTGAAGCAGCGCAATCGCTTCTCAACTTCCGTAAGCCACATTTCTCCCCGCCACACAACAAACCACTTGGCATTGTTCGCAAGTTTTTGTCTTGGAAAAGGTACACAAACGCTCTCTCTCTGTGAATCGACGCTCTCTCTGTGAATGGACGCTCTCTCTCTGTGAATGGACGCTCTCTCTCTGTGAATCGACGCTCTCTCTGTGAATGGACGCTCTCTCTCTGTGAATCGACGCTCTCTCTGTGAATGGACGCTCTCTCTCTTTGAATGGACGCTCTCTCTCTTTGAATGGACGCTCTCTCTCTTTGAATGGACGCTCTCTCTCTGTGAGTCCTCATTCGTGAATTAGAACAGCAAAGTACAGTAGAGTTTTGGGAATTGAAAGACCAACCTATGATTTTCCATCCCTCCTCTTCCCCACCCCACTCTCCTGCCTCTCTGCTCCATTCCCTGCTCACACACAGGTAATATCTCACAGTAGGGATGAGCAAAGGGCGAACACGAACATGTTCGTCTTCGCCCCTTGTCGAACACCCTCTTTTGCCGAACCGAACACTGTTCGGTTCGGCGAACAGTTTAGGAAAAAACAGGTGTTCGCTGTTCGCCTGTGGAGGCGTGTTCGGGCGAACCTCGAACACTGTTCGTGTTCGTCGCGGGCAAATTTCAGCAGCGGCCCGAACACGAACGTGTTCGGGCGAACATCGAACACTGTTCGGCGAACGATTTGAGCTAAAAAACAAAGCCTGTTCGGTTCGCCTCGAACACGTTCGAGGCGAACCGAACAGGTGTTCGCCACCTTGCTCATCCCTATCTCACAGCAGCGCCCAGCCCTGCACCCCCTGCACACCTTCCTCTCCCGCGCCGCATTCAAGCTCCTCAAGACGCTCGTGGCCTCCCACGAGCTGCACCCCTTGCTGTGCGATACCTCATAGTAGAACAAACCGTCCCCTTCCCTTCCCCACACCCCTGTCCCTATGCTCCATTCTCAATTCCCTGTTCCCACCCAGGCAATCTCTCCCAGCAGCGCCCAGCCCTGCAACCCCTGCACACCTTCCTCTCCCGCGCCTCAGTCAAGCTGCTCAAAACGCTCGTCGCCTCCCACGAGCTGCACCCCTTCTCATTCGCCTCCAAAAGCGTCCTCCTGCCCACCCTCGACTTCTGCTACACACAGATCACCACCACCGACCCCACCGCCTCCTCCCCCTCCCCATCCCTCTCCACCCCTCTTGCTGCTGCTACCAGTCCACAAACCCCCGCAACCGCCGCCGCCGCCGCTGCTGCGGCTACTGATGCGTCCGCCTCCTCTTCAGCTTCCAGCCACGGCCTGTTTCTGATAGAGTGTATGCTGTTTCTGCAGAGTGTGCTGCGATGTGTGGCATACAAGCAGAACCCCACGGGGCATGTGGTGGGGGCGGCAGTGGCATCTGCTGAGGAGATGAGGGGGAAGCTGTCAGGCATGGCCCGGCAGCAGCTGCAGGGGTTCTTCTCGCAGGAGAAAGTGGTTACTCTGGGGGGAGTGCTCGTGCAACGGTGAGTCTAGCACCTCTCAGTAGTTTTGCATGTGCGATTTGATCAGCCTGGTGGGGAAGCTGTCAGGCATGGCGCGGCAGCAGCTGCAGGCGTTCTTCTCGCGGGAGGAAGTGGTTACGCTAACACTGAGACGCGTGCTCGTGCAACGGTGAGTCTCAGATGCGATGTGCGAAAACATGCTCAGGATGCTCATGCTCCACACCTCGTCTTCCCTCTTTCTCTCCGCACCCGTTCCGCTCCCCTCCTGGCAGCCACTTGGTTCTGACAGCAGCAGATTTGGAAGACTGTTGGTCGGAATCAGAGGTGTTCTATCACGAGGAGGGCGCCGTGCAGTGATAGGATAAGCTGCGACCTTCCTTGCCCTCTCTCTTCTTTCACTCCTGCCTGTTTCCCTCCTCTGTCTCACTCACAGCTACCTGGTGCTGACAGCAGGGGACTTAGAGGAGTGGGGGGCGGATCCAGAGGTGTTTTATCACGAGCAGGGCGCCGTGCAGTGGAAGGACAAGCTGCAGCTGTGCCAGTCCTCTCTTTTCCACCTCTCCCTCTTTCTCGCCCTGCCCGATTCCCTCCTCTGTCTCTTCTCGCAGCTACTTGGTGCTGACAGCAGCGGATTTAGAGGAGTGGGGGGCGGACCCAGAGGTGTTCTATGACGAGCAGGGCGCCGTGCAGTGGAAGGACAAGCTGCGACCCCCCTTGACCCGTCTCCTCTTTCTCTCCTGCCTGTCTCCCTCCTCCATACCCACACAGCTACCTGGTGCTGACATCAGCGGATTTAGAGGAGTGGGGGGCGGATCCAGAGGTGTTCTATGACGAGCAGGGCACCGTGCAGTGAAAGGACAAGCTGCGACCCCCCTTGACCCGTCTCCTCTTTCTCTCCTGCCTGTCTCCCTCCTCCATACCCACACAGCTACCTGGTGTTGACAGCAGGGGACTTAGAGGAGTCGGGGGCGGACCCAGAGGTGTTCTATCACGAGCAGGGCGCAGTGCAGTGGAAGGACAAGCTGCGACCCTCCTCGTACCCTCTCCATCTCTCCCTCTCATCATCTGTTTCCCTCCCCTGTCTCGCTGACAGCTATCTGGTGCTGACAGCAGGGGATTTAGAAGAGTGGGGTTTGGACCCAGAGGTGTTCTATCACGAGCAGGGCGCCGTGCAGTGGAAGGACAAGCTGCGACCGTGTGCTGAGGCGCTGCTGTTGTTGTTGTTTGAGCAATTCAAGGAGGTATGGAATGATGACATGAGATGCAGGTAGGTGTTCTATCACGAGCAGGGCGCCGTGGAGTGGAAGGAAAAGCTGCGGCTCTGTGCAGAGGCGCTGCTGCTGCTGTTGTTTGAGCAATTCAAAGAGGTATGGCAGCGCTGCTGCTGCTGCCGAAATTTTCTTGCATTCTCCCTATTTCACATATTGTGATATTTTATACGTCTCAATAATTTTCTCCTTGCGCCCCCCATAGTCCACAGTAATTAACGCGCCTCATCAAATCTGCCTGCTGCTAAAGACTTCCTCTTCACCCTTCGTCCTCCCTCCCATCAGGTGCTCTCCCCAGCCCTCATGAACATGCTACGGCAGTGCATAGAGGCATGCCCCCCGCCTGCTTCCCCTGATGCCGACGTGCCTGTCACCCCGGCTCTGCTACTCAAGGACGCATGCTATGATGCCGTGGGGGTGGCGTGTTATGATCTGCACGATGTTGTGGACTTCAAGACATGGTGAGTGCGCTGATGGTGGGTGCTGTGGGAGTGGTTCTACCTATATGTCGACGGGCCTGTCACCCCGGCTCTGCTACTCAAGGACGCGTGCAATGATGCCGTGGGGGTGGCGTGCTATGATCTACACGACGTTGTGGACTTCAAAACATGGTGAGTGAATTTTGTGTTGTGCGGTGGGTGGTGATGGGTGCTGTGCGGTTGACAGCTGACACCGACGGGCCTGTCACCCCGGCTCTGCTGCTCAAAGACGCTTGCTACGATGCTGTGGGGGTGGCGTGCTACGATCTACACGATTTGGTGGACTTTAGAACATGGTGAGTGAGTGATGGCTCTGTATGGTGGTTCACTGAACCCAGACGTGACGTGTGTGCCTGTCTCCCCGGCTCTGCTGCTCAAGTGTGCATGCTACGATGCTGTGGGGGTGGCGTGCTATGATCTACGTTGTAGACTTCAAGACATGGTGAGAGAGTGATGGTGCTGTGCTGTGGAGGTGCTGTGATGGTGCTGTGTGTGTGAATAAAGTCGGAACCCCCACTGCAGATATGCGTGCCTGTCGCCCCGGTCCTGCTGCTCAAGGATGATCCCGTGCGAGCAGCACAAGGACATGCGTACACAAGGAGCCGAACTCCATTTCTTTCTCTCACCCCTCGTACCCTCGCAGGTTCACCACAGCACTCCTCCCAGACATGGCATGCCGCCACCCCAACGCGCGGATCCTGCGCAGGCGGGCAGCATGGATGGTGGGGCAGTGGGTGGGCAAGGTGGAGGGAGATCTCTGTGTGCCAGCCTACCAGGCGCTCATTTCCCTGCTGCCAGATGAAGACCTCGTGGTCCAGGTGAGTTCAGTGCGGTGCAGCACGGTTCAGTGCAACCCAGTGCGATTTAGTGCGGTTCAGTGCGGTGCTGGCTGCACAGGGTGTGGGCTAGCAGCGTGGATGGTGGGGCAGTGGGTGGGCAAGGTGGAGGGCGACCTGTGTGTGCCAGCCTACCAGGCGCTCATCTCCCTGCTGCCAGATGAAGACCTGGTGGTCCAGGTGGGTTCAGTGCGGTGCAGCGCGGTCCAGTGCGGTGCAGTGCGGTGCAGTGCAGTGCAGTGGCGGTTTAGTGCGGTGCAGTATGGTGCAGGCTGTAGCATCTGCTGGTGGGAGGGCAGCGTGGATGGTGGGGCAGTGGGTGGGCAAGGTGGAGGGCGACCTATGTGCCAGCCTACCAGGCGCTCATCTTCCTGCTGCCAGACGGCGATCTGGTGGTCCAGGTGAGTTCAGCGCGGTGCAGTGCGATCTAGTGCGGTGCAGGCTGTAGCATCTGCTGGTAGGTGGGAAGCGTGGAGGGCGACCTCTGTGTGCCAGCCTACCAGGCGCTCATCTCCCTGCTGCCAGATGAAGACCTGGTGGTGCAGGTGAGATGCGGCGCAGTGCGGTGCAGTGCAGTTTAATGCAGTAAATTCACCTCATTGCTGTCTCGGCCTTGCGCGTGCCTCTTAGTCGACATGCATTTTTACGAGGACCAGTTCCCTTCTTCACACATTGTTTCCTTCTTTTCCGCTCCCCCCACTGCTCTTCCCGCACATCCCCGCCGTCCTCAGCTCACAGCAGTGTCCTCTCTCCGCACGCTCATAGACGATGTGCATTTCTATGAGGACCAATTCGCCCTCTTCCCCAACGCTTCCTCTTTCCTTCCCCCTTCCCTCGACACCTCCCCCACTCTGCCCATCCATCAGCTCACAGCAGTGTCCTCTCTCCACACGCTCATTGACGACGTGCATTTCTACGAGGATTAATACGCTCCCTTCCTCAATGCGCCTCCCTCTCTTCCACCCCCATCCCCCACTCTGCCCACCATTCCCCAGCTCACAGCAGTGTCCTCTCTCCGCACGCTCATTGACGACGTGCATTTCTACGAGGATTAATTCGCTCCCTTCCTCAATGCGTCTCCCTCTCTTCCACCCCCATCCCCCACTCTGCCCACCATTCCCCAGCTCACAGCAGTGTCCTCTCTCCGCACGCTCATTGACGACGTGCATTTCTACGAGGATTAATTCGCTCCCTTCCTCAATGCGTCTCCCTCTCTTCCACCCCCATCCCCCACTCTGCCCACCATTCTCCAGCTCACAGCAGTGTCCTCTCTCCGCACGCTCATTGACGACGTGCATTTCTACGAGGATTAATTCGCTCCCTTCCTCAATGCGTCTCCCTCTCTTCCACCCCCATCCCCCACTCTGCCCACCATTCCCCAGCTCACAGCAGTGTCCTCTCTCCGCACGCTCATTGACGACGTGCATTTCTACGAGGATTAATTCGCTCCCTTCCTCAATGCGTCTCCCTCTCTTCCACCCCCATCCCCCACTCTGCCCACCATTCCCCAGCTCACAGCAGTGTCCTCTCTCCGCACGCTCATTGACGACGTGCATTTCTACGAGGATTAATTCGCTCCCTTCCTCAATGCGTCTCCCTCTCTTCCACCCCCATCCCCCACTCTGCCCACCATTCCCCAGCTCACAGCAGTGTCCTCTCTCCGCACGCTCATTGACGACGTGCATTTCTACGAGGATTAATTCGCTCCCTTCCTCAATGCGTCTCCCTCTCTTCCACCCCCATCCCCCACTCTGCCCACCATTCCCCAGCTCACAGCAGTGTCCTCTCTCCGCACGCTCATTGACGACGTGCATTTTTCTACGAGGATTAATTCGCTCCCTTCCTCAATGCGTCTCCCTCTCTTCCACCCCCATCCCCCACTCTGCCCACCATTCCCCAGCTCACAGCAGTGTCCTCTCTCCGCACGCTCATTGACGACGTGCATTTCTACGAGGATTAATTCGCTCCCTTCCTCAATGCGTCTCCCTCTCTTCCACCCCCATCCCCCACTCTGCCCACCATTCTCCAGCTCACAGCAGTGTCCTCTCTCCGCACGCTCATTGACGACGTGCATTTCTACGAGGATTAATTCGCTCCCTTCCTCAATGCGTCTCCCTCTCTTCCACTCCCATCCCCCACTCTGCCCACCATTCCCCAGCTCACAGCAGTGTCCTCTCTCCGCACGCTCATTGACGACGTGCATTTCTACGAGGATTAATTCGCTCCCTTCCTCAATGCGTCTCCCTCTCTTCCACCCCCATCCCCCACTCTGCCCACCATTCCCCAGCTCACAGCAGTGTCCTCTCTCCGCACGCTCATTGACGACGTGCATTTCTACGAGGATTAATTCGCTCCCTTCCTCAATGCGTCTCCCTCTCTTCCACCCCCATCCCCCACTCTGCCCACCATTCCCCAGCTCACAGCAGTGTCCTCTCTCCGCACGCTCATTGACGACGTGCATTTCTACGAGGATTAATTCGCTCCCTTCCTCAATGCGTCTCCCTCTCTTCCACCCCCATCCCCCACTCTGCCCACCATTCCCCAGCTCACAGCAGTGTCCTCTCTCCGCACGCTCATTGACGACGTGCATTTCTACGAGGATTAATTCGCTCCCTTCCTCAATGCGTCTCCCTCTCTTCCACCCCCATCCCCCACTCTGCCCACCATTCCCCAGCTCACAGCAGTGTCCTCTCTCCGCACGCTCATTGACGACGTGCATTTTTCTACGAGGATTAATTCGCTCCCTTCCTCAATGCGTCTCCCTCTCTTCCACCCCCATCCCCCACTCTGCCCACCATTCCCCAGCTCACAGCAGTGTCCTCTCTCCGCACGCTCATTGACGACGTGCATTTCTACGAGGATTAATTCGCTCCCTTCCTCAATGCGTCTCCCTCTCTTCCACCCCCATCCCCCACTCTGCCCACCATTCTCCAGCTCACAGCAGTGTCCTCTCTCCGCACGCTCATTGACGACGTGCATTTCTACGAGGATTAATTCGCTCCCTTCCTCAATGCGTCTCCCTCTCTTCCACCCCCATCCCCCACTCTGCCCACCATTCCCCAGCTCACAGCAGTGTCCTCTCTCCGCACGCTCATTGACGACGTGCATTTCTACGAGGATTAATTCGCTCCCTTCCTCAATGCGTCTCCCTCTCTTCCACCCCCATCCCCCACTCTGCCCACCATTCTCCAGCTCACAGCAGTGTCCTCTCTCCGCACGCTCATTGACGACGTGCATTTCTACGAGGATTAATTCGCTCCCTTCCTCAATGCGTCTCCCTCTCTTCCACCCCCATCCCCCACTCTGCCCACCATTCCCCAGCTCACAGCAGTGTCCTCTCTCCGCACGCTCATTGACGACGTGCATTTCTACGAGGATTAATTCGCTCCCTTCCTCAATGCGTCTCCCTCTCTTCCACCCCCATCCCCCACTCTGCCCACCATTCCCCAGCTCACAGCAGTGTCCTCTCTCCGCACGCTCATTGACGACGTGCATTTCTACGAGGATTAATTCGCTCCCTTCCTCAATGCGTCTCCCTCTCTTCCACCCCCATCCCCCACTCTGCCCACCATTCCCCAGCTCACAGCAGTGTCCTCTCTCCGCACGCTCATTGACGACGTGCATTTCTATGAGGACCAATTCGCTCCTTTTCTCGACACGGCAGTGCAGCTGCTCTTCCGATGCCTGCAGCAGGTGATGCGCATGACACTCACACACACATGATGCACAAGATGCATGCACATGGTGCCTCCAGCATCATGCATTGTATTGTATATATCGTGGCTTGTGAGCGCTGTATACACCAGCAGCATCAACCGCTCTTCCACTGCCTGCAGCAGGTGATGCACATGATGCCTGACATCCACCCAAAAACCGGCAATAGTAGATCGATATAGACTCATGCAGGGCGCCTCATGCCAGCTATTGTGATGCACGCAGCCCACGTGTACTCTCTCAGATGCCTCATCGTAGGGTTTTTTTGAGAATTCTCAAAAACACCCTACATTGCCAGCTATTGTGATGCACGCACGCAGCACACGTGTACTCTCCGATACGTGTACTCTCCGATACGTGTACTCTCCGATACGTGTACTCTCCGATACGTGTACTCTCCGATACGTGTACTCTCCGATACGTGTACGCTCGGATACGTGTACTCTCCGATACGTGTACTCTCCGATACGTGTACTCTCCGATACGTGTACTCTCAGATACCTCATCGTATCACAAACCACGCACCACGTATCGGCATCCTTACTCTCAATATGCACCACAAACCACCTCCCTTCTCTCTTTCTATCTCCCCTTGCATCACTGACAGGTATCCGAGTTTGATTCGCAGCTGCGGATAGTGAACGTGGTGTCGCTCATCATAGAGCGACTTTTGAGTCGACTCAAAAGCTGCAGATAGTGAACGTGGTGTCGCTCATCATAGAGCGACTTTTGAGTCGACTCAAAAGCTGCAGATAGTGAATGTGGTGTCGCTCATCATAGATCGACTTTTGAGTTGACTCAAAAGCTGCAGATAGTGAACGTGGTGTCGCTCATCATAGAGCACATGGGGGAGATGAATATCGTTCCTCTGGCCGACAAGATCACTCCTTCCGTCACTCTCTCTAATCTCTCTCTCTCTATTTATGTGCCTCCCTTTCTAATCTCTCCTTGCGTCACTCTCTCCTTGCATCTCTCTCCCTCCCCTTCCAACAGGTATCGGAGTTTGATTCGCAGCTGCAGATAGTGAACGTGGTTTCGCTCATCATAGAGCGCATGGGGGAAAAGATTGTTCCTCTGGCCTGCTTCTTTTAAAAGATCTAAAAAACAGCCTGGATGATCGTCCACTAACCTGTTTTTTGAGGCGACTTCCCCTATACTCTCTCCTTGCATCACTCTCCCTTTGCATCACTCACAGGTGTCGGAGTTTGATTCGCAGCTGCAGATAGTGAACGTGGTCTCGCTCATCATAGAGCGCATGGGGGAGAAGATCGTTCCTCTGGCCGACAAGATCCTCTCGTGCTTGCCTCAGGTGAGTGTGATGTAACACGTGTGGGATGCCTTGTGATTATCGTGATCATGTCAGCCTTGGGATTGTCGTGATCATGTCAGCCTTGGGATTATCGTGATCATGTCAGCCTTGGGATTATCGTGATCATGTCAGCCTTGGGATTGTCGTGATCATGTCAGCCTTGGGATTGTTGTGATCATGTCAGCCTTGGGATTATCGTGATCATGTCAGCCTTGGGATCATCGTGATCATGTCAGCCTTGGGATTGTCGTGATCATGTCAGCCTTGGGATTGTCGTGATCATGTCAGCCTTGGGATTGTCGTGATCATGTCAGCCTTGGGATTATCGTGATCATGTCAGCCTTGGGATCATCGTGATCATGTCAGCCTTGGGATTGTCGTGATCATGTCAGCCTTGGGATTGTCGTGATCATGTCAGCCTTGGGATTGTCGTGATCATGTCAGCCTTGGGATCATCGTGATCATGTCAGCCTTGGGATTGTCGTGATCATGTCAGCCTTGGGATCATCGTGATCATGTCAGCCTTGGGATTGTCGTGATCATGTCAGCCTTGGGATTGTCGTGATCATGTCAGCCTTGGGATTGTCGTGATCATGTCAGCCTTGGGATTGTCGTGATCATGTCAGCCTTGGGATTATCGTGATCATGTCAGCCTTGGGATTATCGTGATCATGTCAGCCTTGGGATCATCGTGATCATGTCAGCCTTGGGATCATCGTGATCATGTCAGCCTTGGGATCATCGTGATCATGTCAGCCTTGGGATTATCATCTCATCGTGTCACTCGGCCCGCAGTCCCCGATCTCCTACCCACTGCTCTTCCCTTTCCAGATTATTTTGCACCTACCCATACCAAACCTTGCTGCTCTGTACCCTATGCCTCCGCTCTCACCAGGTGTGGGAGCAATCAGAGGGGCAGCCGCTGCTACGCATTCAAGTCATGCAGGCGTTACAACGGCTTATACTTCCCCCTATTCCTCATGCTTCTGCTCCCAACATGCCTCCCCTCTCACCAGGTGTGGGAGCAATCAGAGGGGCAGCCGCTGCTACGCATTCAAGTCATGCAGGCGTTACAACGGCTTATACTTCCCCCTATTCCTCATGCTTCTGCTCCCAACATGCCTCCCCTCTCACCAGGTGTGGGAGCAATCAGAGGGGCAGCCGCTGCTACGCATTCAAGTCATGCAGGCGTTGCAACGCCTCATCGTGTCGCTCGGCCCGCAGTCTCCGATCTCCTACCCGCTGCTCTTCCCCATCCTGCGCTACAGCACCGACATCTCCCAGCCTGATGAACTCAATATGTTGGAGGACGGGCTTCAGGTAAACCTCTTCTGTATGCATCATTTGAGTGTACTGGAAAGACTCATCTCCTACCCGCTGCTCTTCCCCATCCTGCGCTACAGCACCGACATCTCCCAACCTGAGGAGCTCAACAGGCTGGAGGATAGGCTTCAGGTAAACCTTTCTTGTGTGTATCCACTCCCCTCCCCGCCTACTGTGTGTCTTTTGATCTCTCCTAACCTCTGCTGCTCTTCCCCATCCTGCGCTTCAGCACCGATATCTCCCAACCCGATGAACTCAACATGTTAGAAGATGGGCTGCAGGTGTGTGTGTGTGTGAGCGCACGCTTGAGTTCCCCATACTGAGGGGCAGGGAGTAGGCATACACTAATAGAAAAGGCGTATTCCTCCTTTGTGAGAGTCTCCTACCCACTGCTGCTCTTCCCCATCCTGCGCTTCAGCACCGACATCTCCCAGCCTGATGAACTCAACATACTGGAAGATGGGCTTCAGGTGTGTGCGTGTGTGTGTGAGAAAGTTCCCTATAGTAAGGGGTACATACTGCCTCCGCTGCTCTTCCCCATCCTGCGATACAGCACCGACATTTCTCAGCCAGATGAACTCAACATGCTGGAAGATGGGCTACAGGTGCGCATGCTTGTGTGTGTGTGTGTATCCATTCCCCATAATCCAGGGCAGGGGGTAGTCATATTCCTCTCTCGTAAGAATCTCGTACCCGCTGCTCTTCCCCATCCTGTGCTACAGCACCGACATCTCTCAGCCTGACGAGCTCAACATGTTAGAAGACGGATTGCAGGTAAACCTTTCGTGTGTGTATCCAACCAGTTCTCCTTCACCTGTCCCTGTAACATTTGTGTAAAACCACTCGAACGGCACGTCTCCTACCCGCTGCTCGTCCCCATCCTGCGCTACAGCACCGACATCTCCCAGCCGGATGAACTCAACATGTTAGAAGACGGTTTGCAGGTGTGTGTGTGCGTGGACGTGTGAGAAAGTTCCCTATAGTAAGGGGTACATACTGCGTCTGCTGCTCTTCCCCATCCTGCGATACAGCACCGATATATCCCAGCCCGATGAGCTTAACATGCTGGAAGACGGTTTGCAGGTAAACCATTCCTTTCCACATCCTCCATCTGTGGTTAGTGTTGATGCACTCATGGGAGAGAGCACTGCTCTTCCCCATCCTGCGCTACAGCACCGACATCTCCCAGCCAGATGAACTCAACATGCTGGAGGACGGGCGGGCTTCAGGTGAGTGTCTCTCTAGGACCACTTTCTCTACAAACCACAATCCAACAGCTTCTTTTAATTTGTCTCGTACTGTCCTCTTGCTCGTCTTTGCCTCTGACTTACTTTCTCTTCCTCCTCTTGCACCTCACTCACACCCCTCCACTCCTCGCAGTTATGGCAAGCCACACTACGCTATAGCGAGCACCAGCCATGATGCCGGAACTCATGTTCACCCCCCGCACTCTCTCTTCATACCCCCCCACTCCTCGCAGCTATGGCAAGCCACACTGCGCCATGCACCAGCCATGGTACCGGAATTCATGACTCTCTTCGCCAACCTCGTGCCCATCATGGACCGCAGCTTTGAGCACCTGCCGGTAAGCCATTTGCATTGCCAGGTGAGCCATTGACATTGCCAAATAAGCTAGTGAGCCCTTCCCATTGTGTCCCCTTGTTGGTGAACTCATGACTCTCTTCGCCAACCTCGTGCCCATCATGGACCGCAGCTTTGAGCACCTCCCGGTAAGCCATTTGCATTGCCAGTTGAGCCTTCGGCATTGCCAGGTCATTGTTGGAGGGAGCTGATCAAGCATAAGGTTGGCCTTGCTCACTTGAACCAAGGTGCGCGCGTGAACCAAGGTGCGCGCGTGGACCAAGGTGCGCGCGTGGACCAAGGTGCGCGCGTGGACCAAGGCGCGCGCGTGGACCAACGTGCGCGTGGACCAAGGCGCGCGCGTGGACCAATGTGCGCGTGGACCAAGGCGCGCGCGTGGTCCAAGGCGCGCGCAGACCAAGGCGCGCGCGCGGACCAAGGCGCGCGCGTGGACCAAGGCGCGCGCGTGGACCAAGGCGCGCGCGTAGACCAAGGCGCGCGCGTGGACCAAGGCGCGCGCGTGGACCAAGGCGCGCGCGTGGACCAAGGCGCGCGCGTGGACCAAGGCGCGCGCGTGGACCAAGGCGCGCGCGTGGACCAAGGCGCGCGCGTGGACCAAGGTGCGCGCGTGGACCAAGGTGCGCGCGTGGACCAAGGTGCGCGCGTGGTCCAAGGCGCGCGCAGACCAAGGCGCGCGGTAGTGACCGCCATCATGGAGAGCTATGTGCTGGTTGGTGGGCCAGTTTTCCTGAAGCAGCATGGTTGCACGTGTGTCTACCGCCTACATGTTTCTAATGTTTACCCTACCTACGCCACTCCCAACGGCCAGGTAGCCACATTAATCATGGAGAGCTAAGTGCTGGTGGGCGGGCGCGCGTTCCTGCAGCAGGAGTGCATTCTAGCGTGATACCGTATGGGTCCGTATTTCAACTCGCAGGTGGCCACGGCAATCATGTTGAGCTTTGTGCTGGTGGGCGGGCCAGTGTTCCTGCAGCAGCATGCTTGTGTGTCTACTGCATGTTACTAATGTGGTACACTACTCTACCCTGACTGTCCATTCAAACTGCCAGGTAGCCACAGCAATAATGGAGAGCTATGTGCTGGTGGGCGGGCCGGCGTTCCTGCAGCAGCATGCGGGGAGCCTCACGTGTTGCCTGTGCATGCGTATGTTCTTAACGTGTTCCATGCCTTTGCCACTCGAACTTGCAGGTGGCCACAGCAATCATGGAGAGCTATGTGCTGGTGGGCGGGCCGGCGTTCCTGCAGCAGCACGCAGGGAGCCTCGTGTCAATGATTGATGCGGTGGTGGGGAATGTGAAGGAGAAGGCGATGCTGCTGGTGGCGGGGCTTGTAGACCTCATCATCCAGGTGAGAGACAAACTTGTACGGCTAGCGTCTGTGTAGTGAGTCGGGCAATGGCATAGGGGAAGGCTGGCCTTGTGGGGATGATTGACGCGGTGGTGGGGAATGTGAAGGAGAAGGCCATGCTGCTGCTGATGCGACTGCAAGGAAGCAGTGTTTTTTTGTGCGTCTTAGTAATTGTGGTTTGCATTGCCTTGTGTCTCTTTTTGCAGTGTTATCCATCAGAGGCCCCTCCTGCTCTCGAGTCCGTCCTTCAGGTGACAATCAGCAATAAATAGGAAGAACGGTGTAGGCCACTTGCTGATTCTGCTGCTTCAGTGTGCATTAGAAGCAAGAAGCAGGAAGAATGGCGTGCATTAGAAGCAACATTCCTATTTGTTGTTTGCTTTCTTGTGTCAATTTGAGGAGAAAATGCAATCACTCATGCTGTTGATCTGTTTTATGTCGCCTATCCTTCCTTCTCTTCCCCTCCATCGTGCCCATTCCTTAGTCTTTTTCCATGGCCTTTTTCCAAAGTTATATTCCTCCTCCTGTCCTTCACCCCGCATTGCAGAAACTGCTGCTGATAATCATCGGACCAACAGAATACTCTGACCTCGTTAGAGGCACATGCGCCACAGTGCTCGCACGGGTGGTGCTACAGAACAGCTCCTACTTCGCCCAGTTCATATCCGCCGACTCGACTCGCCACCTGCTGCAGCAGCAGTCAGCAGCAAAGGGCAACGCCCCTCCCCTTGCGCTATTCCTGGATGCTTGGTTGGATAAGGTGGGTGCTACCACTGCTCTCTCCCTCTCTCTTTCTCTGGCAAAACGACCTCATTCTTACCATCTGTCCACAGTTGCCCTTTCGTCTTCTCTCCCTTACCTCCCTCTCTGCTCCCCTCCCTCCCTGCTCCCCTCCCTTCCTGCTCCCTTCCTGCCCTCCTCCTCCCCCACAGGTCGACTCTGTCTCAGTTCCAGCAAAGCGGAAACTTTCCACTCTGGCCCTGGCATTGCTGTTGACGATGCCACAGCCGCAGATACTGGAGAGACTCGACCTCATTGTCTCTATCTCTATTCACCACTGCTCGTCGTCTCCCCTCCCTCCCTCCCTCCCTCCCTTCCACAGGTCGACTCTGTCTCAGTACCAGCGAAACGGAAACTCTCCACTCTGGCCCTGGCAGTGCTGCTCACAATGCTCTCTTCTCTCCGTGTGCACTGGCTCTTTATTTTCCTCCCTTCCCCACCCCCTTCCTCCCCCACAGGTGGACTCTGTCTCAGTTCCAGCGAAGCGGAAACTTTCCACTCTGGCCCTGGCAGTGCTGCTGACGATGCCTGAGCCACAGATACTGGAGAGACTCGACCTCATTCTCTCCGTCTGCACGGGCTCTCTTGGGGAGGACAATCCCGACAACACGCCGTTGCTGCCAGACATCTCCACCGTTGGGTGAGTTGCTAACTTCTCGTGACAGCCCTAGTTGGGAAAGGTGAGACCTCATTCTCTCTGTCTGCACAGGCTCTCTGGGAGAGGACGATCCCGACAACACGCCACTGCTGCCAGACATCTCCACGGTTGGGTGAGTTGCCGGCTTCTCGTGACGGCCTTCATCAGGAAGGGGCTCGACCTCATACTCTCTGCCGGTAGCTTTTGAGTCGACTCAAAAGGGGCTCGACCATGTTTTTTGAGAATTCTCAAAACGTGTTTTTTGAGAATTCTCAAAAGGGGCTTGACCTCATACTCTCTGCCGGTAGCTCCCGTGACTAGAAGGCCAAGACACAGAGGCGTCCATAGTCCCCGTGCACTGGGTGGGGGTGCGTGGGGAATATGGCTGGCTGGCACCCTTGTACCCCGTGCAATGTGCTGCCTTCCTGCTCCAATCTCTGTTCCCCAACCAACCCCGGTCCGCCCACTTCCCCACTCCACACCCCTCTTCCCCCCTGCAGTCACGACTATGCGTCTGTCTCGGATTACAAACAAGGAGGAGAAGGAGCTCCAGTGGAGTGGCAGGCGCTGAGGCGGCGCCAAGTAGCATCCATAGACCCCGTGCACCGGGTCACCATGGGTGGGCGATATGGGCCCTTGTGTAGACCCCATGCCAGGTAGCGTCCATAGACCCCGTGCACCGGGTAGCAGTGGGGCCGTTCCTGAAGGCAAACCCCCTTTTGCCCCTCTCCCTCTCCTCTCCCCACATCTGCCCCCTACAGCTACGACTATGCATCGGTATCAGACTCGATTCAGGGAGGGGAAGGTGCTCCCGTGGAGTGCGAGGCTCTGAGGCGGCGCCAAGTAGCATCCATAGACCCCGTGCACCGGGTAGCAGTGGGGCCGTTCTTAAAGGAGAAGCTGCAGGCGTGTGTGGCTGTGCATGGGGAGCAGCAATTCCAAGCCGCCATGGCCCGCGTTCCCCCGCCTATTGTGTCTCAGTTGCAGCAGCTCTAGTTCCCGTTCGTACTCGGCCTTAAGAAGGATACATGTTGTGTTGCAGGCGCCTCAACGTTTGCTGTATTGAGGCATAAATGGTCGTTTATAAACCCTTAGTTATAGCAGATGTAGTCCTGTCCTGGGCTTCAAGACTCTTGAGTTTGTTCTCATAACCTCTGAATTTAAAGTCAGCTGGATTAATCCACCCATGAGCAGGGTATGAATTTTAGAGATGCAGTTAACTGTGGCGAAATAAGATAATTTTGAAGCATGGACTAAGAACATTCTTTTCCTGACAAAAAGAAGGGAGTTTAAAGCCCAAAACCTGAATTACAAAAAAAGAGGGCAAACTGTGCACAGTTTGCCTGCCGCGCCCCAGAGTTTTGCCTGCAGTTGACTTCCGTTGAACAATTCAGGTTTTGGGTTTTAAGATAAGTCATGAACAATAACCTCAGGGGTTTGGCTGACAAATTGTGTTACAGGTCATTTTCACCAGTGCACGAAAATGGTTGCACCTGATTCGCAGCTGCCCAGGCAGGGACGCCTACGATTAGATGTGAAAGTTCTTGTTTTTTTGCGACTTGCACTGCCCTTCAGCTGATATTTGGTGAGCGAGAGTATGTGGTGTTGCTTGAACTCGCCAGGGAGTCATTTTTTTCCGCGCATAAACTTGTAGAATACGCCCGTGTCAGGTCAGATGGTCATTTTTAAAAAGAACGTCCGCCGTCACTTCGTCGTGGCTGACGGCTGCCCGAGTCCAGTCCTGGAGCGGCTCCGTCAAGCCTCAGCATTTCTCGATGTACATCGCCGTAAGACACGGAAATTCCTAGGCAATGGCGGCGCGCTGCGAGCGCTCTGCTCCACCAGACCTGGCCCATCAAAGTGACGGTGGAACCAATCCCAAAGAGATGCATCTCAGGGTTCACTCTGGTGTGCAATGGTCTGAAGCTTGGAGATTTGAAAGCAATTGTACGGAGTTGGAGATAGCTACGCAACGCAACCCAAAAAACTACCAGCAATTATTGTACTGTGAAGTCCGTGGAATGGAACCACAGCAGCAGCAGTATCGTACCTGGCTGAACAACTAATAACGCCGTGTTTCACATCACACCAATAATTCCGTTCCGAGCACACGGAGGAGATAAGGTTGCCATAGAGAATAAAGCTATGAGCTTAGAGCTGACGTATCCCGTCCCACCATGAACTAGTTAAACGGTTCATCGAAGACCTCTTATCATTCTTGATACTATCTGACCTTTTAGAAGTTGCCTCATCTCGTCATTCTCAGCTGACTTATCACCATCTTGCTGCACCTCACTGCACCTCGCTGTACCCAGACGCTCTGCGATCTGTTACGCATTTCGCTTACCTGAAGCTCTTTATGCTGCGGGACGCTGCGTCAAACTAGCACTGAACGCGGAAGTACTAGCACTTAAGGCGGAAGCGCTGATTTAATACTGCTCGTCTCGTCGTCAGGATACAAAAAACATGCGGAAAGTTGCGACGTTTCTGTTAGTAGCAGTTCTTCTGGTTGTCGGCTCAGGCGATGCAGAAGCACTCCACTCTTTAGGTAAGATCCAACGGCAGTGTTTTATGCGAAATGCCGCCTTATTATTTCAGGTGCTTCTCGGATGGTTCCTGTAGCTAAGATCCTCGAGTAGATCAAATCCCAAGGTTCTCGTGCGAACATGTGCAGGAAATGAGCGACAGGGTCAGCGACGGATTCTGTCGCAGGGCTCGTCAAACTTCATCAAGAAGCCGACGATCTTCGTCACCGCGAGCGGCAGCAACGCGGAGTCGACCATTCGGAGCGCGATAGCTCAAGCAGGCTCCAAGGTAAAACCACGAGCAATAATAACCTTCAGCGTTCAGTGCTGGTTTTTCCAGGCCTGAAGTTTCAGCATACAGTCTGCTGGTCGGATGAATGAAACAACATATCAGCATTACAGCCTGGTTTTATCAGTCTGTTGAGCTCGCCGCTCGTGTCATGCATCGACCCCCTTGATTATAGCTTTCGACGTTGTTTTTGACGACGTTCTGACTGGCATTCTATCTTGCACCCATACCCCGCATTCTCCGTAACTGACAGACAGCCATGGTGGAGGTGACACTCAAAAGTGACATCACGCTTACCAGGCAAGCATACATGTCAATGCTACAGTCCCCCCTCCAATGCAGTATTTTCCATGTCAGTGCATTATAGTACCTTCTAACATCTCAGTACTACCCCTCAATAGCACCTCAGCGAGTTCCAGTAGCCGGTTTCTGCCCAGGCTCTGTTACGTGGTAACCTCACCTCATTCTTTGCGTTCGTGTCCCCTCCTTTCGCCTCGCTTGCTCCGCGCAGTGGGTTCCCTGCCATCGGGTTCGCTTCCGGAATCATCCTGAAAGGCGCCTGTGACAACAGAAATAATAAAGTGTGAGTAGTGACATTTGCTCCTTGGATGCTACTTACTGTTACGCTGAGGTGATTTCTGAGTGGTGTGAGTTCGTCTTTTGAGGCGCCTCAAAATTGCGGGTAATGAGACGACTTTTGAGACGCCTCAAAATGTTCCTTACTGTTACGTCGAGGTGATTTTTTAGTAGTGCGAGTATTGACCTGCGTCGAGGAACAAACTCAAGGAGTCAGCGTGTGTCGTCTACCCTCCTCCGATTGTAAATCAGCGTAGTAGGAAGTTCCTACTACGTCGAGTGCGCGCAAATCTTCGACATTCGTGATAGTTACATAGTTACCATTCAAGACTGGTACTCACTTGCTCATGACCTCCCTGTCAGCTCTCGCGCCTCGTTCACTCCGTTTACCTCACGCCCTTCCCCCTCAAGCGATCCGTTTTCCCTCCCGTCACGCCCCTCGCTGTCCTTCTCTCCCACCCCCAACCCCTCTCAGTTGCATCGTCGACGGTAACAAGAAGTTTCGCATATTCTCGGGTAACTTCGCGTGCGGCATCGTGCTGGAGAACCTGGTGGTGCAGCACGCGCTCAACGGCGTGCACGTGGGCGCCTGCCAGTTCGCTGCGCGCCGAGTCACCTTCCAGCACAACGTGGCGGACAAGAGCTCCACCGGCGGGGCGGTTTTCAAGTGAGTGCTTGTAACGAACTAGATCAGCCCAGTTGTTAGATCAACGGATCATAAACGAGCTAACAGCTGCGCGCCGAGTCACCTTCCAGCACAATGTCGCGGACAAGAGCTCCACTGGATGAGCGGTTTTCAAGTGAGTGTCAGCTAGTGAGTGCCTGAACGCTTCAGCTAGTAGATGCGCGCCGAGTTCCCTTCTTCCAGCTTTAAGGACAGCTCACCTACCGCTGGATCGCCCCTGCAGTTCACCTGCTTCTATCTCAACACGTTTGCTCTGCCAACAGGAGAGTGGGCAGGTCGATCACTCACAATCTCTCGCTCCCCTCACTGTCCTTTGTATCTCCCTCTAACCCCCCGCCAGCTCGAGGGACAGCTCACCCACGGCTGGCTCGCCCCTGCAGTTCACTACGTGCGTCTTCCTCAATAACACCGCCGTCACACGTCTCTCTTCCCTACTGTCCTTCTCCCCCATCTCCCCTTGTCCCTTTTTCCTCTCCAGCTCTAGAGACAGCTCACCCACCCCACGGCTGGCTCGCCCCTGCAGTTAACTTCCTGCTTCCTCCTCAATAACACCGCCCTCACATGTCTCTCTTCCCTACTGTCCTTCTCCCCCATCTCCCTTTGTCCCTTTTTCCTCTCCAGCTCTAGAGACAGCTCACCCACTGCTGGCACGCCCCTGCAGTTCACTACGTGCGTCTTCCTTAACAACACAGCTGCCGGCAATGGCGGCGTTATCAACGTGGGGAGGGACCCCACGGGAGGGCCCGATGTGAAGATCGCTAAGTGCACTTTCAGTAAAAACTCAGCGGGACGCAGTGGAGGCGCGATTTATTCCGAAGGGAGTGAGCTTTACCTGCGCCAGTCGACGTTCTCCCAGAACACTGCTGGTAATTACAGTTGCTCATCTGCTGGTTTTTGAGGCTCCTCAAAGACAGGCCACAATTTTTTCCGAAGGGAGCGAGCTTTACCTGCTCCAGTCGACCTTCTCCCAGAACACCGCTGGTAATTACACTTGCTCATCAGCTGCTGGTAACGCATATGTTACACATGCTCGCCTTTTGACCGGCTTTGCGGCGTAACAGAATCTAATCGATCTGTGTGCAGAACACTGTTGAAAACCACACACACAGGTTCGTCTTGGTGTTACTTTTGAGAATTCTCATAACACACACTTAGGTTCCTCTCAGACCCGATGCCACATTCTCTCTTGAGTCGACTCTAAAGTCAAAAGTCATTTTGAGTCAACTCAAAAGTCAACTGTGTGTAGAACGCTGTTGGCAACCACACACACACATAGGTTCCTCCCAGACCCTAGGCCACTTTCTCGCGTCCCTCCTTCTCTACTTCCTCATTGCCCCCCTTCCCCATCGTCCCCGTTTCCCTCAGCTCGTGGCGGCGGTGCTATCCTCACCACCAGTCCAATCCTCACCTCCATCGGCACTAGATTCTCTGCCAACGCAGTGGTATCCACTGTCCCCCCTCCCTTCCCCCCCCCCCCCACATCCCCCCGTTCCCCTCCTCAGCTCGTGGCGGCGGTGCTATCCTCACCACAAGTCCAATCCTCACCTCCATCGGCACTAGATTCTCTGCCAACGCAGTGGTATCCACTGTCCCCCCTCCCTTCCCCCCCCCCCCCACATCCCCCCGTTCCCCTCCTCAGCTCGTGGCGGCGGTGCTATCCTCACCACAAGTCCAATCCTCACCTCCATCGGCACTAGATTCTCTGCCAACGCAGTGGTATCCACTGTCCCCCCTCCCTTCCCCCCCCCCCCACATCCCCCCGTTCCCCTCCTCAGCTCGTGGCGGCGGTGCTATCCTCACCACAAGTCCAATCCTCACCTCCATCGGGACGCGCTTCTCAGCTAACGCAGTGATGAACGGGCGAGGCGGTGCCATCTCCATACAAGCGCAGGGCGCGGTGGTGCAGTTCTGCAGCTCCAACTTCCGACGCAACAGGGCGCCGGTGTATCCCGTGTCGAATGACATGAACGCCGGGACGAGTGACGGCACGGTGACTGCGTGTGGGAGCACTGGACCCAGGAGAATAAGGAAAACGCCTGCCTTGAAGGAAGTCCAGAGCTGCAGGTGAGACTTCTGAGCCCGGGAAGTAGGGTTCAGTGTTGTGCAAGAGTAGCTTTTGGCGCAACAGGGCGCCGGTGTATCCCGTGTCGAATGACATGAACGCCGGGACGAGTGACGGCACGGTTACCGCGTGTGGTAGCACGGGGCCGAGGAGAATAAGGAAAACACCTGCCTTGAAGGAAGTCCAGAGCTGCAGGTGAGACTTCTGAGCCCGGGAAGTAGGGTTCCTGTTTCACAGGAGAAACTTCCGCCGCAGCAGGGCGCCGGTGTATCCCGTGTCGAATGACATGAACGCCGGGACGAGTGACAGCACCGTGACTGCGTGTGGTAGCATGGGGCCGAGGCGGATCCGGAAAACCCTAAACCCTGAAGGAGGTTCAGAGCTGCAGGTAAGGCGTCTGCCCTTGCATGTGAGCCTCCTCTGCCTGTAAGGCTCATGCCCTGTGTTAACCTCCTCTCATTCCTCCTACCTTTCCCCCTATCTGCTTCCCCCAAACCCACTCCCTTCCTCCATCCCTCTCCCTCCCAGTGGCTGCACCGGCTGCTCTAACGACTGTAACAGCCGCGGCACCTGTGCACTCGACTCCGATATGAACCCCTATTGCAAGTGCCAGAACCAGTTCGACCCTGCCAAAGCCTGCACTGTGTGCAAGATGGGGTACACGCTCGAGTCCAAGTGCGTGGCCTGCTCCCCGGGGTTCTTCTCCGGTCAGAAGGGGCGCTGCACAGTGTGTGGCACCGTGGACAAGGTGGGTAGCAAGGCAATGGGGATAAGGTGGTTTGGACTTTCATTTTGCAGGCAGTGGGAGAGTGTATGTGAGAGGGAGGGGCAGGGAGCACTGTGTGCAAGATGGGGTACACGCTCGAGTCCAAGTGCGTGGCCTGCTCCCCGGGGTTCTTCTCCGGTCAGAAGGGGCGCTGCACCGTTTGTGGCACTGTGGACAAGGTGCGTGGCTGTGAGAATAAAGCATGCGACGATAATGCATGTGATGATTAAGTATGTGAGAGGGAGGGGCAAGGAGCACTGCGTGCAAGATGGGGTACACGATGGAGTCCAAGTGTGTGGCCTGCGCTCCGGGGTTCTTCTCAGGGCAGAAGGGGCGCTGCACCGTGTGTGGAACCGGATAAGGTGCGTGGTAGTGTGGACAAGGTGTGTGGCACCATGGACAAGGTGTGTGGCACCGTGGACAAGGTGCGTGGTAGTGTGGACAAGGTGCGTGGTAGTGTGGACAAGGTGCGTGGTAGTGTGGACAAGGTGCGTGGTAGTGTGGACAAGGTGCGTGGTAGTGTGGACAAGGTGCGTGGTAGTGTGGACAAGGTGCGTGGTAGTGTGGACAAGGTGCGTGGTAGTGTGGACAAGGTGCGTGGTAGTGTGGACAAGGTGCGTGGTAGTGTGGATAAGGTGGGTGTCAGGGACAATATAGCATGTGAGAGTGAGGGACTCAAGGAGCACTGCCTGCACGGTGTGCAAGATGGGGTACACGATGGAGTCCAAGTGCGTGGCCTGTGCCCCAGGGTTCTTCTCAGGGCAGAAGGGGCGCTGCACCGTGTGTGGCACCGTGGACAAGGTGGGTAGCAAGGCAAGGGGGATAAGGTGGTTTGGACTTTCATTTTGCAGGCAGTGGGAGATTGTGTATGTGAGAGGGAGGGGCAAGGAGCACTGCGTGCAAGATGCGGTACACGATGGAATCCAAGTGCGTGGCATGTGTCCCAGGGGTTCTTCTCCGGTCAGAAGGGGCGCTGCACCATGTGTGGCACCGTGGATAAGGTGCGTGGCAGGGAGAATAGGGCGAGTGGGTGTGAGAATAAAGCATGTGAGAGGGAGGGACAAGGGGCACTGCGCACTGTGTGCAAAATGGGATACACGATGGAGTCGAAGTGTGTTGCCTGTGCTGAGGGGTTCTTTCTCCGGCCAGAAGGGGCGCTACACCGTGTGTGGCACCGTGGACAAGTTGCGTGGCTGCGACTATAAAGAATGTGACAGTAAGGGACACAAGGAGCACTGCACTGCCTGCACTGCCTGCACTGTCTGCCCTGTCTTCACTGTGTGCTGTGCAACAACGCCACACAAGCTGCTTCCTCCAAGTGCTGCCAGCAGGATGTGCCAGAGGGCCCAGAACCTCATCCCATTCCCCCCATCCATAACCCTCCTCTTTTCCGTTCCCCGCCCCCTGCCTCTCTCCCCTCCCACAAGCAGATTCAAGAGCTTACAGGCGAGCTCTCGAGCCTCAACAACGCCACACAAGCTGCTTCAGCCAAGCAGTGCCAGCAAATGCGCCAGAATTCCCAGGCATGGCCCCCACCAGTGTACGAGCCCCACATTTCTCCCTCTACCCTTGATCCCCTTCTTCCTCTCTCCCCTCCCACAAGCAGATTCAAGAGCTTACAGGCGAGCTCTCCAACCTTAACAACGCCACACAGGCTGCTTCCTCCAAGCGCTGCCAGCAGATGCGCCAGAATTCCCAGGCACGGCCCCCACCAGTGTACGAGCCCCACATTTCTCCCTCTACCCTTGGTCCCCTTCTGCCTCTCTCCCCTCCCACAAGCAGATTCAAGAGCTCACAGGCGAGCTCTCCAACCTTAACAACGCCACACAGGCTGCTTCCTCCAAGCGCTGCCAGCAGATGTGTCAGAGGGCCCAGACACAGACGAAGCTGTACAAGAACTACTGCAACCTGTGGGCCTTTGTGGAGAACAGGTGAGAGATCCAGAAGTAACGGTGTTGATGTCTGGCACCTCTTCTCCAAGGAAGAGCCAGCAGATGTGCCAGAGGGCCCAGTCACAGACGAAGCACTACAAGAACTACTGCAACCTGTGGGCCTTCGTGGAGAACACGTGAGAGGCATGTTCACATCCCCTGTTGGATGTGTTGTGCTGGTTTAGGATTTCCAGAAACATCTGCGACAAAGCGGTGCCAGAAGATGTGCCAGGGGGCCCAGGCTCAGCAGAAGCAGTACAAGAAAGAACTACTGCAACCTGTGGGCCTTTGTTGAGAAGAGGTGCAAAATGACATTCTTGCACCTTGCTATTGCATGTGTCGTTACAAGTTTTCACCCTGCCGAGGATTTTTTAGGCGCCTTAAAAAAACCACTCTTTAATGTGCCTTGCTTTTGTATGTGCAGTTACAAGGTTCCTTCCTGCCGAGGCAGCTGTCTACTTTTCAATGACGAGTCGGAGTGCGGGGTGCGCAATGTAACGCGGGACGCGAAGAGGAACGTTGTCTACCAATTCATGGAGCCCAGTTTCCTTAACTGCGACTAGTAGGCATAACCTCGCCTTCGCCCATACCCTTGGGGTATTGAATCTAGTGATCCTCTCATTTCTCCACCGGCCCATTGTTCCACGAATTATGATGCTATATATGGTGGCAACACCATAAGAAACCTAAGTTTCTTATGGTGCTTCCCTTCTGAAAACATTGGCGTTATATTTTTTGCCAATGTGTAGATTGAAACGTGTGGATGGAAACCTGGCCACAGCATAAAAAAATAACGTTTCTTTTGGTGAAATTGCAAATGGTCCAGATGTAGAAAGCGATAACCACGCATGGGTGCATTGAGTAACGAATAATGTCCAACTCGTTGATGAGGATCTATCTCTTGTTGAGTGGGAGTTGTTGAAAGCCAAGCTTTGCGAGCCTCTTCCCCTGATGCAAGGCTGGCAGAGCAACAGATGGGATGCAGCGATCCCACAGTCATCAACAACTTACAACTTATTTCGCGTACGAATGGGTAACGCTCACGAGATATTTGAATTCGCAGGCACAGTAACTTGGAGTGTCGTCATCCGGTCGTATTACAGTATGTGTAACAGGCGGCTCGTTGGAACCAAGGCTTTCGCCGGGCAACGACTGCTCTGCTCTCGATTCCCTGTGATGTCTGACACACCACCGCCAATGCCCTCAAGAATTTTGTGTGGTGGATTGGTCGAGCTATATGAGTGGCCATCCGTCTTCTGCTGCACTGATGTTTCAAGGACTGGCGTAATTGTCCATTGGTCATCCAGTGCGGTTCGGTCGAATTCGAGACGTTACAAAACGGTTATTGTCTATCACCGTGTTAGACCGTAACGCACCTCCTCATATTTTCAGTGAATTTCCCTGCTGCTTTTCACTCCCTTCCATGTCACTCGCATTCTTGCTCCTAACTTTCACTTCAATAGTTCCCTCTACTATAATAACTTCAGCTGCAAAGGTCGTTCTGTCATTTGTGTCCTAGATATTCAAAAGGTTTACGTACGCGACTGCAGACGATAGGGAAGATCGTCCAGTAGATTGTAGTATTTTAGCAGTTTAGCACATGATCAACTAGTGTGCTAGTGGATAATGTTTCTTATTACCGCTCTCGCATACAATAGTCCCTTTCAGCTATTATTGCTGTCTTCCTTGTTTACCTTTAGGCAGGAAGGCTTGCGCTGCAGGCGATGACATATCTAAGTACTGATTCGTCAATTCTTACAACTTAGCGGGCATTAGTAGCCACGCGCCTTCTTTTCGCGTTTCGTAATTTTCTCCGGCCACTCGCTTGAAGCCCGCCACTCAATTGTATGCGTGCTCTGAAAATGGCGGAACTTAAGACTCAAGATTTCGAAGCAGATGGAGTCGACACCATAGTTACAGCAGACGACCGACCTTCACCGCGCAGCAAGCCTGCTTATGGCACGTTTCTGCGAGGGATGTGGCCGTTCAGTCACAGCGCCAAGTATCACTCCCACAATAGTCACACTCCCAACGATCACAATTTCGCGCACACTCGGTCTCTGAAAGAGACGATCAAGCACCACCTTTCTCCCGACCCTAAACCATCCGAACCTGCAGCCGTACCTTCAACCGAACCTCTAGCCGAACCAGGCACGCCGGAGCTACAGCAAGCGAGCCGCTCCCCTGGGAAACGAGGCTTTCTCGGCCTGCTACAATCCCGATCGCGCCGAGACCGAACCTCGTCCCATACCTCGTCTATAGGCTCGGAGTCGAGCAGCGGGACAGGTGGGAAGTCTGTATCTGGACCGACGACAGCCAGACGCAAAACTGCGTCAAGATCGTCCTTTGGGATGGAGTCGGGAAGCGAAAAGGAACTTGAAGCGGTCCCTGGCAATGTCACTGAAGCTGCTGACAGCGGCGCTTCTGCTGCGGCAGACCCGTTGCTGGACATGTCGCACGCGTCGCCATCCCAGTCGCACACGTCGCCGTCACAGTCACACACGTCGCCGTCGCAGTCGCAGTCGTCGGAACTGCTGCTGGGAAACCCGCTCAAGAAAACCAACGTCAAGGTTTTGGACGATGACGAAGTTCGCCAGACGTTCGCAGGCCCTTCGCGAATGGAGGTGGACGAAGGGCCAATGCATCAAGGGCCCGCGGTTTCACTAGCGGATAACACGGAAGACGAAGTGACTAGTGCGAATTCTGTTAGCCATCTAGTCGGAGACAGAGAAAATTCATCAGTTGTGGAGGAGGAGAAAGAGGCTTCGGCGTTTGCTGCAGGTGCTGCTGCTGCTGCTGCTGCTGCTGCTGCTGCTGCTGCTGCTGCTGCTGTTGCTGCCGCTGCTGTCGCTGCTGCACCTGCTACTGCTCCCCTTGTTGCTGCTCCTCCTCCTGTTGATCCTCCTGCTGCCGTTCCACTTGCTGCTGCTCCTCCTCCTGCTACTGTTCCCGCTGCTGCTGTTCCTCCTCCTCCTGCCGCTGTTCCCGCTGCTGCTGTTCCTCCTCCTGCTGCTGCTGTTCCTCTCACTGAGGCCAAGGCTGTGGAGAATGGCATGCAGGAACTGACCATGAATGAAGTGCCAGCACACAGCAGCACGGAGGCTCCACACAACAGTGATGGCTTAGATGACGTTGGTGGGTCTTCACTGCTTGGGTCTTATACATCTGAAGGGCTGCTGCTCGTGACTGCTGCTGCCCCTGCTGCTGTTGCTTCTATTGCGCCTGCTGCTGCTGCTGCTGCTGCGCCCGCTTCTCTTGCTCCTGCTGCTCCTGCTCCTGCTGCTGATGCGATCCCGTTGGGGGTTACGCTTGCAAATTTTATCCCAGAGTCTGCTGCTGCTGCTTCGGCTGTTGCTGCTTCGGCCGCTGCTGCTGTGGAGGAAGTAGGGCAGGAGGGAGAGGAGCAGGATGATAGGGGGAGGAAGGATGGGGAGGAGGCGAAGGAGGAGGAGGACATGGGGGAGAAAGAGGAGCAGGAGGAAGGGGGGAGGAAGGTTGAGGAGGAGGGTGAGAGAAAGGAGGAGATGGAGGGACCGATGACAACAGAGATTGTCAAGGAGGAGAGAAAGAGGGAGGAGGAAATTGAGGTGGTTGAGGAGGAGACGAGGGGGAAGGAGGAGGGGGAAGAGGAGGGCGGAGGGCCTGTTACTGTGAGCATGGATATTTCAGTTGGTGGGGACGATGGAGCATGGGATGAAGGGATGATGGAAGAGGAAAGTGCCACAGAGCAAGGGGGTGCAACCTCTGCTGCCGCTGCTCCTGCTGACGCCGCTGCTCCCTCTGTTGCCACTGCCGATGCAGCAGCTGCTGCTCTTGAGTCGACTCAAAAGTCACCTGCTGCTCTTGATGCCCCAGCACACCCCTCACACGAGCCTTCCACGTCTCTTGATGCCCCAGCACACCCCTCACACGAGCCTTCCACGTCTCTGGACGCATGTCTGCACCTGCTGATGAGCATAGACGAAGCTGACATGGCGGCAGGCCTGGTAGCTGCAGCAGGCCACGTGGCATGCGGGGACGCTGACGTGGTGCATGAGGTGTTTGACGCGCTGCCCTTTCACTTCGTCCGATCGCTGCTGGAAGAATCAGTGGGGGAGAGGCTTGAAGCAACAGCACTGGGACCAACGCAGGATCCACCAACATCAGCGTCAGCAGCAGGAGCAGCAGCAGCAGCAGCAGCAGCAGCAGTGTCTGTACTCGTGGTGGTCACTGAGCAACCGGAACTAGCCTGTCTGCCTCCTGTACTCCACCTGCTGGACCCTCTCAGCCAGATTATTCTCCACGGGTGAGTGAACGTTTGAGCCGTCTCAAACTCTGTTTTGGAGTCTCTATCCTGCTGCTCCTTCCCCTCCTCCCTCCCTCCCCACAACCACATGCGCACTGTTTCTCTCTTCCAAGACGCCTGCCTGTGTGATCTTGCTTGCCTCTCTTCCTGTGTGTATATATATGGTTACACATACATACACATTTTGATCCTTCCCCTCCTCCCTCCTTCCCCACAACTACCAGGCGGACAGTGTCTCTCGTCCGAGACGCTTGCCTATGTGTGCTGGCGGTGGCGCGGGGATCAGAAGCGGGCATGCGGGCGTGCAGGGAGCAAGGCATGCTCGGGGTGGTCGCTCGCTCTCTTGCTGCCATCACAGGTATCGACACACCACTTGTGACTGGTCCCATATTGAAATCACTTTTGAGAATTCCCAAAAGTGATTTCAATATAGCCGGGGTGGTCGCTCGCTCTCTTGCTGCCACCACAGGTATCGACACAGTGACTGGTGCCATTGCTGCCATGACAGGTATCGTGATGTGGCACATGCATGGGTGGGTGGTAAAGCATGTGAGGTCATGAATGAACGGCTCAGAAGGAGGCATGAGGGCATGAGGGTAGGAGGGCAGGGCATGAGGGAGAAGAGCCTCTTGTGACATGGTCACATGGTCACATCACATGGTCACATGGTCACATGGTCACATCACATGGTCACATGGTCACATGGTCACATCACATGGTCACATGGTCACATGGTCACATCACATGGTCACATGGTCACGTGGTCACATGGTCACGTGGTCACTTGGTCACATGGTCACGTGGTCACACCACATGGTCACATGGTCACGTGGTCACATCACATGGTCACGTGGTCACATGGTCACATGGGCTGGTGTGCAGGGAGAAGAGCATCTTGTGTTGGCCGCACGCTCTGTTAGCTTGTGTGGTGTTGTCACCATGGTACTGTGTTCACCCTTTTCCCCTTCACACATGTGTCATTCATACACCCCTTGTTGTATAAGATTTTTCAATCAGACTCCCTCTTCCCCTCCTCCCCCCCTTGCCCCCCTTTTCCCCCGCCCCCGCCTTTCCCCACCCTCCTGTTGTTAACGCTTCTCTCAACTCTCCCCTTTTCTTCCCTCCTACTCACAGACCCTTCCTGTTCAGCTCTTAAGGTCTCTTTTGAGGCGCCTCAAAGAGGTCGTTTTTGAGGCGCCTCAAAGAGGTCGTTTTTGAGGCGCCTCAAAGAGGTCGTTTCTGAGGCGCCTCAGAAACGTCCTGTTGTTAACGCTTCTCTCAACTCTCCCCTTTTCTTCCCTCCTACTCACAGACCCTTCCTGCTCAGCTCTTGCAGCGGACCTGCTAAGCGTTCTGGTCAATGCTGCATCTCCCCTCGATATCTTCCAACACGGAGACTCGCTTGCTGCTGCTGTGAGTTCCCCCCTGTCCCCCATCCCAGTTCCCGTTTCCCCCTCCCCCCCGTCACCATTTCTTGTCTCAAATTCACCAAACTGTTCCTATCATGCTCCTTATGCAAGCAAGTGCTAAGCTTTCGTGTTGCCTCTGCCCCTTCTCTCAATAGTTCATTCGTTACCATCTGCTTCTCAGGTGCCAGCCCTAGCAAGGCAGCTCGCATCAAGCGAGTTTTGAGACGTTTCAAAGTTTCATTACCATCTCCTTCTCAGGTGCCAGCCCTTGCAAGGCAGCTAGCCTCAAGTGAAGACAGCAGCAGCAAGCACAAGATAGTGACCCTGCTGCTCATTCTTGTCTTGATTACCACCACTCTGTTCTGTTACCCTCTGGTCACCATACCAGGTGCCAGCCCTAGCAAGGCAGCTAGCATCAAGCGAAGACAGCAGCAGCAAGCACAAGATAGTCACCCTGCTGCTCGCTCTGCTCTCGACAACTCAACAGCAACAGAACCACCGCCCTGCATTGTCTAGCGCTACTCAAAGCACCGCTGAGCCGGAGCAGTTAGAGGGTCTGGTTCAGCAGGGCGTGAAGAGGCTTGAGCCTGTTGTGGCTGGTCGAGTGTGGGCAGCAGACCTTCGGGGTGGCATTCAGTGCATTCTCTCTTCCACCACTGGTTAGTACTGCTTCCCTGGCCTCCTTTCCTGTTCTCTGGTGAGGTTCCTGCTCTCAGGGTACTGCCTCAATGCAAGGTAGCAGAGCAGCCAGATGGTTTGGTGTGCTGCAGAGCGCGAAGAGCCTCGAGTCGAGCCTGTTGTGGCTGGTCGGGTGCGGGCGGCAGATCTTCGGGGGGGCATTCAGATTATCCTACTGTCTTCCACAGGTTAGTAGTGCTGGCCTATTCCTCCTTTCTTCCTTGCGGCTCCGAAGGTAGTGAGGCTCCTCAAGGTATCTTCTCAGGTATTCTCAGTGCGAGTTCAGTTGCACTGCCCTCGTTTTCCTTTGCTGTGGTTTTGGCTCATTGGGTTGATGCCACCATGAAAGACACCTGGCACCTGCCTTGCCCCCGCAGGCTCTGATCTGTCTGGAGGGCCTTGATTGATTCCCTGCTTGCTGTCTGGTTGTCGGCAGCCAAAAACACGCTCTGTTCTCCTTCTCTCCCCCTCTTCCTCCCCTCCCGCTTCCCTCCCCGACGCTTCCCCTCTGCCAGTATCGAATGAGAGTCAGCAAGACGCTTTTCACCTGGCTCATGTGGTTACCAGCATTCTTGGAGATTCTTGGCTCGCCGGGCCTCCTGAAAATACACCTGAGAATTTCCCTGGCTCTTCTCCTCCGGAAAATATTCTAGACTACAGGTGAGACTCTTCGAGTCTATATTACCTTGATCTCTCTTTGGCCAGGTGCTTAAATCTACAACCTGCAACCTTTGTTTGTTTGTTTGCTTTTTGTGTTCTTTTTCTGTGATTCCAAGGAAAATATTATTCCCTGCCCGCCTAACCTCGTGCCCTTTCCTACCCTCGTGCCCCCCCCTTCTCTCACTCCAACCCCACTCCCCATCCCTGCTCCAACCAGCTTTGTGCTGGCCCTCTTGCGAATAGCAAAGCAGGATATTCCCTGTCTTCTCGACACCCTAGCTCGCCTTACAATTGAAACTGACCCCGTCACTGACCCCAATGCTGACCCCGATACTGACCCCGGAACTGACCCCGAGACTGACCCCAGTTCTGACCCCATTACTGAAACCATCACTGACCCGCATCAACCAGAGGACAGCTTAAAGCAGAACAGCATGCGAGAGAGGAATGGGGAAGACTGTAATGGAGAAGCAGCAGAGAGTGCAGAGAGTAACACTGATAGTGGTAACCACATGCTCAATGGTAACCGCACTCTCAGTGCTGGTAACCACACATCCGCAATGGATACAGAGGATAGCACTGGCAGCAGAAGCAGCACTACCAGCACGGGTAGTAGCACAGGGATAACCAAGCTGCATGGCACTGGTAAAGCCGAGAGCAATCTGAGCAAGCAGAGCAATCTGAGCAAGCAGAGTAAGCTGAGTGGCAGCAGCTGGGCGGATCAGAGCAAACTCAATGCGGATGCTGCTTGGGTTGCCCTAGGAGGCAATCTAGACCGTTTCGGGCCTGGAAACGCAGGAGTTCTGGGCGGTATAGGGGCCAGTGCAGGAGGTGGAGGAGGAGGAGGGGGAGGAGGAGGGGGGTTGGGGAGATCTGGAGGGTTGGCGAGAGGAGGGGGTGGTTTGGGTAGGTCTGGGGGAGGTGGGCTTATGAGGAGTGGAGGGCTAGGGGGAGGCGGAGGGGGAGGGTTAGGGGGAGGGGGGGGGGGGAGGTTTGGATAGAATGAACTCTATAGTGCCTACGAATGAGGATTGGAGATCTGTAGTGAAAGATATGAAGGATGCGATATGGGAGCCTCCTACTAACGCGGATGGGGGAGGAGGAGGTGCGGGGGGTGGGGGAGGAGGTGGAGGAGGAGGAGAGGGAGGGGAGAGTGGTCTAGGGGAGCTCAGTATAGAAGAGTTTGCAGCTATGGAGGAGGATGCAGGAGGTGCGGAGGATGCCGGACCTCCGGATGAGGTTCGGCAGGCACAGCAGCAGCTGGATCGGTGCTTCAGACTGGTTGAAACGGCTGTGGGCTTACTAACGAGAGCTGGAGAAAAGGCTGAAGGGGGGGAGGCTGTATCAGCTGAAAGGCAGACCAACGGGGTGTCTCTAGGGCATCTCTCTGAAAGGCAGCTCTCTGTAAAGGAGCTATCTGTAAGGGAGCAATCTGAGAGGCTCAGGCTATGTACAGAGCTGGTGGATGGAGCATTGAAGGACGTCCTAGTGTTTCTGCAGCTGGCCCAGCAGCGGGAGTGGTGGTGTGGGGAGGCGGTGGTGGCGTGTGTGCGCGTGGCGGGGGCGTGCCTGGCTGCTGCGCCCTCGGCTCACAGGAAGAGAGCTGGGCGGCTGCTGGGGTTCCTGCTAGCAGTCACAGGCGCGCAGGAGGAGAGGTGAGTGGGGGACAGAGAGCGCATGGATTGGTTATGTGAACTCTGTGCCTGTCTGCTGCGCCCTCGGCTCACAGGCAGAGGGCCGGGCGGCTGCTGGGGTTCCTGCTAGCAGTCACAGGCGCGCAGGAGGAGAGGTGAGTGGGGGACAGAGAGCGCATGGATTGGTTATGTGAACTCTGTGCCTGTCTGCTGCGCCCTCGGCTCACAGGCAGAGGGCTGGGCGGCTGCTGGGGTTCCTTCTGGGAGTCACAGGCGCGCAAGAGGAAAGGTGAGCACAGGGCAAGGGAGAGGCTTGAACGGGGGTTTGGAGGAGGTTTAGGAGGGAAGGTGGGGGAGGTAGGGGTGGGTTCTTTCCTTACCATTCCTTGCCTGTTCTTATCAATCCCTACCAATCTTCACCTCTCCTCCCGCTCTGTCCTTCAATCCCAAGCCATTCCTCCTAGCTGTATGTTACCTGTTGTCTGCACTGTTGTCAATCCTCTGTGCCTGTGGTACCACTCCTTACATTTTCTTACCTCTCCGTACCACTCCTTACCTTACCACTCTATACCTTCTTTCCTCCCCTTGTCGCACCTCCTCCAGGCCACTCCTAGCTGTGCAGTACATGCTGCCTGCGTTGGTGCACATCACCAGTGAGCCACGTGGCTGCACATCATTGGTCAAGAGAGGAGGCCACATCCACGTGAGCAAAAAAACGCACATAGAAGACACAATAGAAAACACTATCTTGTCTCCCTAGATCTTTTCTCATAGAGCATTGTAGCAATGTAGGGATGCTCAATGTAAATAGAGCAATGTACATTGAGAGCTACAATGCTCAGCTCACTCATTGAGCTTGCCCAAAACATGGCCCTTGAGATTGCCCAAACCAACATACATAGACTGCAGCAGTATCCTCAGACTGTACTGTACTGTACTGCAGCAGTTGGGGCTGTACTGTACTCACCAACTGTACTGCAGTTGGTGTTGGGCCATCTGTGACATCACATGCATGCATGCATGTCTCCTTGTCCCTCATGGCGGGAGGGCAGCAGCTGCAGCACTAGAGAAAGGCTTTAGCAAGGATGAAAGAGAGTGGAAAAAAAACCCTAGCTAGGAGAACTCTGATCGCAAAAAGCTGTACTCGCCAGCTGTACTGCAGTTGGTGTTGGGGCACCTGTGGCATCACACACATGCATGTCTCCTCCCCCATCCCTCCTTCCTTTCTCCCCTCCCGCCCATCAGCTCATAGACTACATGGTGGAAACAGCGCGCACCAACATGCACCACCAGCTGTGGTCAGGACCCGAGGAGGGGCAGACGAGCCTCATGCCTTATGTGTCCTCCCACCCGCCCGCCTCCCTCATCCCCTCACCCCCCTTTCCCCCCCATCAGCTCATAGACTACATGGTGGAAACAGCGCGCACCAACATGCACCACCAGCTGCGGTCGGGACCCGAGGGGCAGACAAGCCTCATGCAGGCTGCTGACGTCATCCTCAACATCCTTGCATGTGTACGTGCATGTGGCTCGAAGCACTGTCAGACACCAAGCACTTTTTACACCCCAAAAAACGCATCAAAACACCTCAGAATTCCTCGACACAACCGGAGCATCTGAAACCCTTTTTGAAGCACCGCAAACACCTCAAAACGCCTCCAAATACCTCAGAAACACGTCCATGGTTTATTCTACGATAGTGCCGCCGGTTCATGGGAGATGTGTGTCTCCCCCAATCATATGCTGCCAGTCCTCTCCCTCCGTTGCCCTCTCCAGCGGCAGGGCATGCGAGTTCCCTTGAATCCGCTTTTGAGTCGACTCAAGGGCATGCCAGTTCCCTTGAATCCGCTTTTGAGTCGACTCAAGGGCATGCGAGTTCCCTTGAATCCGCTTTTGAGTCGACTCAAGGGCATGCCAGTTCCCTTGAATCCGCACGGCTTGTCATCCTCTCTCCTTCTGTGTCCCTCTCATCTATCTTATCCGCCTTTCTTCTCCCTCCCTCTCCTCTCCCCCGCCCTCTCTCCTTCCCCCCTCTTCACCCTGCAGCGGAAGCAAATGCGAGTGCCCTTGGATCCACACGACTTTGTGTCGCTGCTGCCTGCCATGGCTGGATGGAGCAGCGTCAAAGGTGAGGCAGTAAGATGAGAGGTGAGCAGCCCTCCGGTAGGTGGGCCATGCCATGCCATATGAGTGGGTTCATCGCCTTACCTCTGGATCCGCATGACTTTATGCTGCTGCCGCCGGCCTTGGCTGGGTGGAGCTGCAAAAGGTGAGGCAGTAAGGAGTTGACAGGTAGGCAGTGGGGTTCCAAGGCGAGCAGCTCTCGGGTGGGTAGTTGGCCCATGCCATGCCATGCCATGCAAGTGGAGCGATCCCCTTGCTCTGTCCTTGGATCCTCATGAAGTTGTGCCGCTGCTGCCTGCCATGGCTAGATGGAGCACCGTCCAAGGTGAGCAGTGAGTGTGAAAACTATGTATTCGCATAGCATGTAGGCATGCTAGGGATGAGCAGAGGGCGAACACGAACATGTTCGTCTTCGCCCCTTGTCGAACACCCTCTTTTGCCGAACCGAACACTGTTCGGTTCGGCGAACAGTTCAGGAAAAAACAGGTGTTCGCTGTTCGCCTGTGGAGGCGTGTTCGGGCGAACCTCGAACACTGTTCGTGTTCGTCGCGGGCAAATTTCAGCAGCGGCCCGAACACGAACGTGTTCGGGCGAACATCGAACACTGTTCGGCGAACGATTTGAGCTAAAAAACAAAACCTGTTCGGTTCGCCTCGAACACGTTCGAGGCGAACCGAACAGGTGTTTGCCACCTTGCTCATCCCTAAGGCATGCCATGCCATAGCGTGTGAAATGTGAGCAGTGAGGGAGGGTGAAAGTTGAACTGGTGGGAAGTGGGAAGCGGTTCTTACCCACGTTCTACTCTTCCCCCCCCCTTTCCCAGGACCCCTTCCTTCCACCATGCAACCCCCCTTTCCCCTGCACCTACTCAACCTCTTTAATTCCACCTGACTTTCTCCCTCGACCGAGCATCGACCCCCGCACAACCTACAAGACGCTGGCGCTAGCAGCGTGCGTAAACGCGTCAATCCTCGAGCTCTCCTGTGAAGACGTGGTGAAGTCGCTTGTAAATGCTACCTCTCCTGTAATGCATGCCCTGCCCTCCTCATCAGGCAACGACCCCCGCACCACATACAAGACCCTGGCGCTAGCAGCATGCGTAAACGCGTCGATTCTCGAGCTCTCGTGTGAGGATGTGGTGAAGAAGCGACTAGACCTGGCGACCTACAAGAAGCTGCCCAACTCGTTTGGCGTCATTGTCAAGTTTCTGGAGTTCGGCCACCGGGTGAGTGGGTGGGCAGGCCTGAGAGCTTTCAGGTAGGTGGGTGGGTGGGTTGAGTCGGTGTGTTGGCGGGTGGGTTAGGCCGGGTGTGGGCTTGAAAGACCCAGTGTAGTGGGAGCTCTCATGTGAAGACGTGGTGAAGAAGCGACTAGACCTGGCAACGTACAAGAAGCTGCCCAACTCGCTCGGCGTTATTGTCAAATTCCTCGAGTTTGGCCACCGGGTGGGTGGATTGGTGGGGTGTGCCTTGTATTGGGTGCATGCTGGGTGAGTTGAGGGTTCTGGGTGGATGGGTCGGTGGGTCAGTGCGTTGTTGGGTCGGTGGGGGGTAAGGCCAGGTATGGGCTTGCGAGGATGTGGTGAAGAAGCGGCTAGACTTGGCGACCTACAAGAAGCTGCCCAACTCTTTCGGCGTTATCGTCAAATTCCTCGAGTTTGGCCACCGGGTAGGTCCGTGTGATGAGATGAGAATTATGTGGAATTCTCTCGTGTGCTGGTGTTCTGTATCAGGTGCTCTTTGAGTTTCTGTTGTTGTCATCCCATGGCATGGCTAACCTTTTCCGTCGTCGTGTTTCCGGTCATCTATTGCCCCGCTTGTGTTCGGCGTGCTCGCTGCTCCTGCCGCCTTGCTCTTGCAGAATAGCGGATCATTCAGTAGCGAGACGGAAATCAAGGAACTCTGGGACATCACTGTTGCATGTGAGTTTAGGGTTTAGTTTGGTTGATTATGTTATCAACGTCTGTCACTTCAACAGATCCTGTGAGTGTGGTGTGTTGCATGGTCGTCATTCAACTCTCTGTTATTCAAGCAACGCTGCTTGAACCTTGTCCCTGTCATTTTTTTCCCTGCCAGCATGCACGGAGTGCCTGTCCCTGTGGCCCCAGCTGAAGCCAACTGCACTGTTCATGCTCCCTTCACATCCTGCTCCTGTTCACCATCCGTTCCCCCCACCCACTCGTCCCTATCCCCCTCAATGCACCAGCATGCACGGAGTGCCTGCCCCTGTGGCCCCAGCTGAAGCGAGCCATGGTCAAGTCGGAGTATTGGGGCAAGGTGTCGCGAAACAAGTGAGTCAGACGGGGTGAAGTGAGTTGAAGTGAACTGCCTTGGAAACAAGGTGTGTATGAAGTTACAACAGAGCTGCCTTTGAAATTCCCAAGGCCCAGCTGAAGCAACCCATGGTAAAGTCGGACGGAGTATTGGGGCAAGGTGTCGCGAAGCAAGTGAGTCAGTGTGTAAGGATGTTATATATGAGCTGCATCTGAGCATTCTCTAAGGCACAGCTGAAGCGAGCCATGGTCAAGTCAGAGTGTTGGGGCAAGGTCTCGCGAAACAAGTGAGTCATTGTGTATAAAGTTACCGCAGAACTGCCTTTGAGAATTTCTTCCTCTGCACCTGAAGCGAGCCATGATCAAGTCGGAGTATTGGGGCAAGGTCTTGCGAAACAAGTGAGTGCTTTCCTGGATGTGAGTTTGTGTGAAGCTCAATTGGAACTGCCTCTGGAGATTCCCAATCGGAACTGCCTCTGGAGATTCTCAATTGGAACTGCCTCTGGAGATTCTCAATTGGGACTTCCTCTGCACCTGAAGCGAGCCATGGTCAAGTCGGAGTATTGGGGAAAGGTCTTGCGAAACAAGTGAGTGCTTTCCTGGATGTGAGTTTGTATGAAGCTCAATTGGAACTACCTCTGGAGATTCTCAATCGGAACTGCCTCTGGAGATTCTCAATCGGAACTGCCTCTGGAGATTCTCAATCGGAACTGCCTCTGGAGATTCTCAATTGGAACTGCCTCTGCACCTGAAGCGAGTCATGGTCAAGTCAGAGTATTGGGGGAAGGTCTCGCGAAGCAAGTGAGTCATTTTTGGTGAAGCTCACTTGCAACTGCCTCTGAAGTTTTTCAAAGGCGCAATGAAGGCTGGTAACCCGGGAACGCCTTAACCAGGTGTGCAAGGATGCGAGGCTGAGGGAGCTGCTGACAGTGGTGGCCTTCAGCCCTCAGCCCGCACTTCACTCTTTCCCCTGCTACTTTTCCCCTCCAACACCTTCCCCCCACCCTGCCCCCCCCACCCCCTAGGCTGGTAACTCGGAAGTGGCTGAACCAGATGTGCAAGGATGCGAGGCTGAGGGAACTGCTGACAGTGGTGGCTTCAGCCCGTAAATTCCCTGGATTCCACTCCTCATTCCCCATCCCTTCCCACTCTCATCCACTCTTCCCCGACACTAGGCTGGTAACTCGGGAGCGTTTGAACCAGGTGTGCAAGGATGCGAGGCTGAGGGAGCTGCTGGCAGTGGTGGCCTTCAGCCCATGAATGGCCCTCGTTCTGCTAACAAGGTTTATCATTTCGAAAAGACAACCTATTCATTGGTTCTTTTGAAGATTATTCATATCTTATCTTGTGGGAGACGTAGTGCAAGCCAGTCATTGGTTGCGGAGCAAGGAGAGTGAAGTCTCCTGGCTCTGACACAATTGATGGAATATAATAGAGATGTAGTTGCTAATTGTAGCAACTTTTAGCCACTAATCATGGCAACTTTTGGCAATATTCATTTGTGCTAGGAGCACAAGATCTCTAACAGGAGCAGAATCAACTCCATCCCTGGTTGGTCCGCGTGCTGGTTCAACACGAAATGGTTGAACCGCGATTTCATTAGTCCAGGAGCATGTGCAGTATTGAATTACATCCACTGGATTTAAGATAATAATGCTACAGTACAACTGCATTGCCGGAACAATCTGTGTTTGCCCATGCAACCACATCACAAGCAATCGCGGAACCAGGGCCCAAAATTGGTTTGGCCCACCCTGTCAAATCAGAGTTCCAGGGTGGGCCAACCCTGACTCCTAGGGTAAAAAATCTCGCACCCTGATGAAAACAGGGTAAAAAAAAACTTCCTCTGATTCCATGAATAATGATATAATTTATACGAACAGAGCAAGTTCAAATGTCTCACTTGGTTAGGGTTGATGCTGTGAGGCGAAAGGTCACCAGTTCGGCGAACTTGTTGCGAAGCAAGCGTAGTGCATTACTCGCCGGCGTCATTTTGCGCAACATCCACCGTATCCTCGCTACGAAAGACTCGGTATCAGTGTAACAGGTTTAAAACACTGATGAAAGTCAGGGGAAACAATCTATAACTCGGATTTCATAAGGGTACAAAACTTCTAACTCTTTATGAGTCCGGGTAAGAAATCCGGGAGCCTGACTGGGTCAGGGTAACCCCAAAAAAAGCGGCCGCCAGTCAGGGCAATCAGGGTATTTTACCCTGACATTTTGGGGCCTGCGCGGAACAGCTGTGTGACGCACTTTCTACTGGTCAGGACAGCTCCCGGGATAGTCGGGAGCGGTACAGGGCACAGCGTTGCTAACTGGGGCAGCCTCAACTCCTCGTCGGTTCAAAAGGAACCGGCCGGCGGAACACGGAGGTGATGAGCCACACCACAGTACCGTACTCCTCCGCAGGACCATACTCTTCTGCTGGACCATACTCGCATGGTACCCTTAAGGCATTTTCTCTATTATTGATCAAGGCAGCCCCCGGGGTTTTCGGGATTGGAACGGGGAACTGCATTGCTCACAGGAGCAGCCTCAACTCCCCTTCGGGTCAGAAGGCATCGAAACACGTGCAATCGTTTCTCTGCCTCTCCGCTTGCTAGTGCAGCATCGGCATATGCTTTGGTGCTCCATAATCGCTCTGATAGGAGGGAGGGAGAAAAACATCAACAAATTAAAAGTCAGATGAGTTGACCTTCTCCCCCCACATGCACATCTCGCCCCTTTCCAGTAGCTAACAGGGTGCAACGCTCTTCATACTGCAACATGATGGTACAGCAGCTTGCCCTTCATCTCACCAGCAGCAGCAGCAGCTCGTGGCCAGATGGTCGGCATGAAGTCGGACGAGTCAACCTTCTCGCCCCACATGCACACCTCGCCCCCTTCCAGTAGATGCTCCGGTACAGAGCCATCCACTACAAGGTGTTGTGTTGGGTCTGTACTGTACACTCTATTCCAATCCTGCATAAAGGATGAAAGGGAAACGGACAGGGAAAGGAAGAGGAGGTAGTGAGAGCCTCGTTATATGCTACTGGATGGATGGTTGTTGCTCAGTTTCCTATTATTGAGTGCCCCAATATATAGCACTTCTCGTGCCCATATAATGTACCCGCTAAAGTAAATTCCTGATACACATTGCTGCAGCTAATTTAGAAGACTTCACATGTCCTGCTTCAAACAATGTCCTCTTTTTTAAGTGCTTCGCCATAAGCCACTCACCACGTCCATAGAGTCGGGGTACCATCCGCCATACACATTGCTGTAGATTATTCGGAACCCTTTAAGCATCATGCCCTCAATGTTATCCTCGATAAAAAGCTTTTCGTTATAAGCCGCTCACCACATCCATAGAGTCGAGGTACCATCCGCCATACACATTGCTGTAAATAATTCGAAAGTTGTCACGAGCCATGCTTCCAAGGATGTCAACATTCAACCTGACACAAGCGAAACAATGATATATTCTGTCAGAGCCAGGGCAGAAGCAAGGGTAGCATGTCAGACGAAGAAAAGAGAAGAACGTGGCATTTTCTTGTATTCTAAACATGAGAATTTTTTTGCTATCGACCTAAGATAGATATTCTTTTAATCATACCAGTTTTGAAGGATGGTGGTCGTCTTGTTAAGGTCCTCTGAAAAACCCTGGTATGATTCCTCCCTGCACATGTGAAGGGAAACAAGCAGAAAGGTGACTTAGAAGTTCACTCCAGAATTTTTTGAAAGTTTTGAAGAATGGCGGTTGTCTTGTTGAGGTCCTCTGAGAAACCCTGATAGGATTCCTCCCTGGATGCAGAGGGGGAAGAAGCAGAAAGGTGCCTCAGAAGTTCACTCAGGAGAAGGTTGAAAAGTTTTGAAGGAAGGCGGTCGTCTTGACTAGGTCCTCTGAAAAAACCTGATAGGATTCCTCCCTGGATGCAGAGGGGGAAGGAGCAAAGAAATGAGGAGGAAAACAACAAGGTTAATCCCTGCCAAGGGGTAGGAGGGAGACGTGAACAACTCGGCTAGAGAATTAAGATGAGACCATAATACCGTGGGACATGTGAGCTTGGATGGGAGAAGTCCATGGGATGAGATGACACGAAACCATAATTACCACAGCACACATACCATACAATAGTCTTCTCCCATCCCAACTCCAAGGCAATGGATCGAACTCGGTTGGAGAAGTAGCGGACGGCATCCCTTGGCTGCATTCCCTGCTGGTTCATCCTGTGGTGTGGAGGGCAAGCGTGAGAGGTGGGGCAGAGAGAACAGACATCTTGAGACGTCTGAGACAAAATGATACATCATAGCAACTTCACAACAAAATGACGATTCAACATTCTTCTGAGACGTCTCAAGGGACATACGTAGCTAGCTTGTGGTATCACTGACTGACACAATGATACATACATCATAGCAACTTCACAAGAAAATCATTGGGAAGCCTTGTGCTGCTTGAATTCGTAGCTTACCACTGGGAAATCCGTTCAGACTGTATCCAGCAGTCTGGTGGAAGGGAGGCAGGTACAGGATCAAGGGGGAAGCGGGGGAGAGAATGGAAGAGGTAAGCGAGAATGCACTGCACACCACTGGAATATCAGTTCAGACTGTGTCCAGCAGTCTGGTGGAAGGGAGGCAATGGAAAGAGAGAACAGGCGAGGCGAGTTTAGGGTTATACCTATTCGACTTTGAATATTTCATTGAGTTTGAATATTTCAAATAAGTATAACCCTAAACCCAACCCCCTTTCCCTTCTCTCACTCTCGTCCCATCCCACTGCCACTCATGTGCCCCGTCCTGTTCCCGCCCTTCTCTCATCCTGCCTCTCTCATTTCCCCTTCCAAATCTCTCTCTCCCTCCCCCTCCCTGTCACTTACCTTCCTTCACCTCATCCCCGCCTATGTGTATTCTGCTGCCTGCCAACACTGACCATAGATCTACCTCCCTTACCTCCTTCTCACACTCCCTCCCCTCCCCCGCTCCCTCCCCCTCCCTATCCCCTACCTTCCTTCACTTCATCCCCGCCTATGTGTATTCTGCTGCCTGTGAACACTGACCGCAGGTCTGCAGGGGAGGTTGATTGGGGGTGTGGGGCATGAAGAGGGAAAAGTGCAGAAGGGAAGGGGAATGGAAGAAAATTGGAGTGGAGTGAAGAGGAACGAAGGAGAATGAGGGCGAATGAGGAAAATGAACGGGAATGAAGGGGAACGAAGGGGCAATCAGCTGGGTAAAATTCCACTCCAATGTGTATCCTGCTGCTGGCAGCAAACACTGACAGGGAAAAAGAAGAGAAAGACGAGGAGGAATTGAAGCCCTATCTTTAACGTACCTGTGAGCACGCTTTTGATCAGCTCAAATGTGAAGTCGTTTGAAACATCAAGAGGCTCCTTGCATTGCATGTGGGGTTGGGGTGACTTTTGGGTCGACTATGAATATTCGGCCTTTTGGCGCTCCTGTGAGTGAGGATAGGCATGTTAGGTTGTAACGTACCAGTGAGCACGCCCTTAATCAGCTCAAATGTGAAGTCGTTTGAGACATCAAGAGGCTCCTTGCAGGTGGGGCTGGGGTAGAGCACAGGGTAGCCCACTCCCCTGTAAGGACGGATGGGAGGGGTAGGGTACGGAGGCAGTGACAGGAAGTGAGGCAGAAGAGGCAGGGAGGTTCTACAGGCACACCCTGAGGCTCTTTGCGGGTGGGGCCTGGGATAGAGCACGGGGTAGCCCACCCCCCTGTAAGGACGGATGGGACAGGGGGTAAGGAGGCAGCGACAGGAATTGAGGAACGCATAAGAGGGAGGGAGGTTGTACAGGCGGGACTCCTTGCAGGTGGGGCTGGGGTAGAGCCCGGGTATCCCACTCCCCTGGGAGCACGGATGGGATAGGGAGAGGGGAAGGAGAAGGGAAGGTGTAATCAGAGGCGGGCGGTGTGAGCCATGTCTCTAGGCACATGCAGGGACAATGAGAGGCCCTTGCAGGTGGTGTGGTGTTGGGGTAGAGCAGAGCACGGGATAGCCCACTCCCCTGAGGGTATGGATGAGATGGGGTAAGGATAGAGGATGGGACTGGCAGGGAAGGGAGGATTGGGGAAAGTGTGAGTCATGAACCTAGCCTAGGAGCATAAAGAGACTCCTTGCGGGAGGGACCTGGGCTGGGATAGAGCACGGGGTAGCCCACTTCCCTGGGAGGACGGATGGGTTGGGGCAGGGAGGGGGGAAATGGGTACGCATGGATGGCCTGGGCAGGATTCAGTCAAGTGTTGAAACATGTCAAGATTTGACTGATCGCTACATGTCTTCATGAAAAAAGGCATGGTCAGTAGCCCAGTCAGACAAAATGTCTCACCATGAGGTCGCATGGGCGGGAGTGTCGATTTCAGGGATGACCACGATGCCACGTGCTGCTGCATACCTGGTGGGTGGAGAGGGGTGCAGAGCAGTGCAAAGGGGTGAAGAGGCGTGAATATCGGCGCAGTAAAGCACAAGCAGAGTGTGCATCATTCCGCCTGGGAGAGACTCCCTCCCAGAGGAGAGGGAAAAAGGAAGTCCTTTCACAATCACCTGAAAAAGCACCTGAGTATTCACCTGACAATGTGTTTGGCGTCCTTGAGAGTGTATCGCTCTGCCTGGGAGAAAGCTCCCTCCCAGAGGCGAGGGAAGGAGGGCGTCTCAATGGGGAAGGACTGAGCGTCCACCAGGTGCCAGTGGCTGGAGAGGGGTGGATAGGGGTGGAGAGGGATGGAGAGGGGTAGAGAGAGGGGTGGAGAGGGATGGAGATGTGTGAATGTAAGAACTGAAGTGCATGTGATGCATGGTGGTGTAGGAAGGGGTAGAGGCGGAAGGGAGAAAGAAGCCGCTCTGCGGAGGGGCTGGAGAGTGGTGGAGATGGGTGGAAAGGTACAAATATCAGGCGATGTAAACACAGGGTATGCATGTATGCAACCCACCCATCCCTGCATCTACCCAGTCCTCCAACCTACCCATCCAATTCCTGCACTCACAGCACGTTGAGCTTGGCATAAGACATGGCATCAAGCACTCTCTCTATCTCCACCACCGGGAGGAAATGCCGCGCCGTGTCTGCTCAACGCAAGGGGGATGGGGAGTGGGGGGTGAGGGAGAGGAAGAAGGAAGGGGAGAAAAGGTCAAATCGTGTCTCCTCAACGCAAGGGAAGAGAGGGCGACCGTGGATAGTCACAAGGCGAGATGGGTGGTGATAGGTAGGGTAGCAACACAGCTGCCTATGAGGCGCCCTACATCATCATCTCATCACTCCCCATCCCGCTGCAGGGTTTTTTTGGGAATTCTCCAAAAAACCCGATAGGTAGGGTAGCAACACAGCTGCCTATGAGACGCCCTACATCATCTCATCACTTCCCATCCCACCGATGAGAAACCCTGCCAGCCCCCGGTGGTGGAAGCAGGGAGCATCTTCCACTGTGAGAGGCACACCGTTCATTGTCACGAGGCGAGATGGGTGGTGATAGGTAGGGTAGCACACAGCTGCCTACGAGGCGCCCTACATCATCTCATCACTTCCCACCAATGAGAAACCCTGCCGCTCTTCATTCACCAATGAGCAGCCCCCGGTGGTGGAAACGGGGAGAATCTGCCACTGTGAGAGGCACACCATAGATAGTCACGAGCCGAGATGGGTGGTGGTATTGCCACCGCTGCTGCTCATGGGGTCTATGAAAAAACCCATCTCTTCACACTCACCAATGAGCAGCCCCCGGTGGTGGAAACGGGGAGAATCTTCCACTGTGAGAGGCACACCATGAATAGTCACGAGCCGTGAGGGGTGGTGGTAGCGACACAGCTGGCTGAGCGTCTGTCAGGGCAAAAGGAGATATGCAGAGACAGAGGTTAGAGGTTGAAGAGGGTGTGTGGGAGGAAGAAGAGGGGGGCACAGTTGAGAAAATGAAATTGAAGCAGGAAGCAACTTTTACCACTCTCTGACGGCACCAAACGATGTGCTGGCCTGACGGACCTGACACGAGCGTGGCATATGCCTTACCTTCTAATCCATTACCCTGGTACCGCCTGCCTGCCAACAACGCTCACCGCTAACGCTCTGAGGGCAAAAAATGATGTGCTGGCCTGAGGGGACCTCACCTGAGTGTGGCATATGCTTTACCTTCCAATCCTGGTACCGCCTGCCTGCCCCTGAGCCTTACCTGCTTGATATACTTCCTACGTGCTTGAATGTATCAGCCCCCAATAACGCTTACCTCTAACGCTCTGAGGGCACCAAACGATGTGTTGGTCTGAGGGACCTGACCGGCATATGCCTTACCCTCTCCTCCTTATACCGCCCGCCTGCTTCTGACCCTGCCTGCTTGAATGTATCAGCCCCTAACAACGCTTACCTCTAACGCTCTGAGGGCACCAAACGATGTGTTGGCCTGACGAAAGAGGGACGGGGGAGGGAAGGGGACGAGGGCGGAAGAGAAGGCAAGGGGATATGGGAGGGAGGAGCGAAGAGGACGAGGGAAAGCGGAATGTGGTGAGAGGTTTGGAGGGGCTGGAAGGGTTGGAGTGGGTGGAGAGGTGGGTGGTGGGTGGACGGAGCAGCAGCAGAAGCAGCAGCAGCAGCAGCAGAAGCAGCAGCAGCAGCAGCAGCAGCAGCAACGGCACAAGACTAGCACCACCTGGCTTGAAAACTCTCATAGATCGACGTACCTTTATCAGAGCGGCACCTGGCTCTCTTGTTCCTCCGAGCGAGAGAGAGTAGCTCTCATCCACCCCTACATCCAGCTGAAAGTTGGCACGAAGAGTGAAGGGATAGAGAGCGATAACTTTCTGAGACTTCTCGAATGTTGTCTGAATCAGAGAGCCGCCTGGCTCTCTCGTGCTCCAAGCGAGAGAGTACAGCTCTCATCCACCCCTACGTCCAGCTGAGAGTTGACAGGACGCTAGAGAGAGGAAAGAGAGAGAATGAGTATTTTCAGTTAACAAAAAAAACCTCCTGCATTCGTCGAAAGCAGATACACGCACTTCTGCCAGAAGTCACTCTCAGTCTGGCCTTCCCTCGTTAGAGTGCCCCCTCACATCCTCACCGGTTCTCCTGGCCGCGCTATTTGCACATCGATTTGCTCTATCACCACCACCGTCGCACGGGAGTTGGTCGCAGCTTTACCCCCCTGCGACGTCCCACTCGCAAACGAATCGTCGAGCTCGGAATAGTCGTCGCCATACTCGTGCGCGAAGATAATGCGATGGTACCGGTTGTACGCTTTTGTCACAAGGTCACGAGAGGAATCCTCGTCGGCCGCTGAGGCTTTACCAAATGAGACGGTCAACTGGCTAAATGGGCTAAAAATTGCCGGCCTGACAACATCCTTTCCATTGGACGACTTAAACTGACGTGGCATGGGCCAGACGCGCATTTTCGGGTCCAGCAGGCCCGGATATTTCGTAGCCAATAGATCGCCGTCGCGGTTATTCGCTCCCTGTCGCACGAAATCGTCAAGCCGCCGCTCCCATTCTTCCATGCGGCGCTGATCCATTTCAGGCCCTGCATTGCCAGGAGCTTCGCCGTCATTTCCGGAGGTGGAGACCGGTAACAATTCTGAATCATACATTTTGTGCGGGATCAGAAGAACTATTAGCACGCAGAGGATAAGGAGGAGGAGGATGATCAAGAAAAAGGAGGCTCGGGCAGGATGTGAGAAATTTGTAGCTGTTGATATTGACCCGGATTTAGGCTGCGCCGAATCGATGAACGACTGAGTTTCTAGACTGGAGTGGTCGTCGTCATTTGACATCATTGGTCGAGACTCGTTGTCATTGTTCATGCTAACAACGGCCTCGTCGTCTGTCCGTGTCCGAGCCGACATGTCGATCTAGCGTTTACGCTCCGACTAGGAAGTTCCGAGTAACAAAAACAATCACGAACCGCGGAGCTACGTCACTGCCTTCGTGACTGTAAGACTGCTTTAGCGCAAACGAAATTGCAGTCAATCAGTAGTGCGTGCTAGCGGAGCCATTTGTTACTAGCATCAGCGAACGAGCTTCGCAGTGCTTTTTCCAAATTAGTCGAATGTGGTGGCTAACGGGGAGCGGAAGTGCAGGCAGCTGGGATTGGAAGGAAAGGACATGACCATTGTCAATAAATAAAGAGAACTGCTGGTAATAAATTACATGTGACTTGAGCGAAGACATCACCAATACATTTGACTAGGGCGAGCCTGGATGACCAGGATCATCTAAGGGAATGTGGTGCTTGTAAAAATATTGACAGGTAGCCACGCTGTACCGCTAAGAACCGCTTTCAATGTCTCTGCACCATCTGACATCCATCTCTCCCAAGGCTCTGGTTTGTAACTGGCACTAGCAGGCAGCGAATGTGACTTTGCTGTAGCTAAAGTGAAGAGACGAATGCGGAGGTTCACTTGGCTCTGGAATTCATGGGTTGCATAGTGTCCTTCGCTAAAAGACCGCCTCAAATTACAGTGGTTCGAAGGTGTGATATACGGTTTCATACAGTTTCGTGCGATTGTATGATGATAGCTGATTGGGCGTCCGGCATCGTCGCCTCTCTCCGCACCATCAATCCTGCCACGAGAAACTCTCCTCCAGTTGAGAATGGGGAAGAGTAGAGTAGAGTTGCGGGACACTTGAGAAAAGGCCAGAGCTCACGCAAATGATCAGCGAAATCGTTCGTTCGCAGAGGCTCTGTGATGGAAAGAAGCATACACCAAGCCTGCTCAGTCCCGTAGAACTTGGGAGGCAACTAGGTAACCCGAAACAAAGAGCCAATAACGGCCTGTGTTTGAATAACGCGTGGCGTGGCTGTGATTGGTAGATAATGTTTTCAGCTTTATCCCGTTGTCGACATCACCGAGGTTGACTTCATCAGAACCTTGGGATTCTCAAATGAGAAATTTTCCCGACTTCCACGACCTCGAGTCGAGAATTCACTTATTTCTTTGGTCCCTCGTCACTTTTGGGGAATTCTTCTGCCTGGGTTCCAGGCAGATCAAACCTCAAACCTTCGAGGGGAGGACGTGGCGCCGTGGAGTTTGACACGCAAGTATCAGGATTGATACAGATGCACAAGCACAACACACAGATACGCCTCACAAGTAGCTCTCCGTTCCAAGTTTCCTCGTCGTCGACCCTATCTCAGGTGGCCTTTGCTCAAGGCGTCGTCGTTCACCCGTGCATCCCTCGATCTTATCCCCACTCCCTCATTCGAACTTCAATCGAGAGGACCCGAGACGATGTCGCAAGGAGGATTCGTTCCCATGCCTGGCTCCGCTAACCCTCCAGCCGTAAACGGAGACTATAATAATGGAGATTTCGAGTCCCAGTTCCTTCTTCCTGAATCCGAGCTGCTGCAAGCTCTTCCTGAGGATATTCCTCTGGAGCACCTAAGAAAGTCTTTTAGCGTCGACACTCTCCTGACTGATTTTCAGCGCACTGGGATTCCAACCGCAAGCCCTTATGCTCCGAGACACGCAGTCGCTCCATCAGCTGCTGACGGGGTAGACCAGGGAAAGCACCGAGAAGGAACTACTGGAAGAGCGTTTCTAGGAGGTTCAGAAAAAGCGGACAGATTAGGAGCATCTGGAAAATCTCACGAGCGCGATTCAGAATCTACCATGGCAGCGGCGCCTGGGACACTAGCGGTAGCGCCGCCGCATCTTCTGGAATCCATGTTTCCCGGCATGGAGTTCCCTAGGCCGTTCGCGAACGGCGACGTCGCGAACAGTCTCGCGAACGGCGAGAGCGCTAGGCTCGCGCAAGCGGATGTAGCGAACAGCTTCTATGAAACCGGCAAAAGAGCCGGTGACAACCGGCGCGGCGGTAGCAGCAGCGTTGCCGGTAGTTCCGCTGCTGCGACGTCTTCATCCGGTGCCGTAGACGCTGCTGACGTGGCCGGGTTACACGCGCAACGGGACGCGGTTTTGCGTGGGTTCGAGATCACGGAACCGGCGAGAGACGACAAGGAAACGGGCGAGAAGGCCAAGTACATGGCGTCGATTCTGGAGGCTTATCAGAAGCTGCTAGAAGAACGGACCCAGTACCACTTCGGTACGTCAAAATGGACTTCATGTTTGGTTTTGAGTTGGGTTTTTGAAGGCAGTGAGAGGGGGAGAAGGTGAAGTACATGACGTCGACTCTGGAGGCTTACCAGAAGCTGCTGGAAGAACGGACTCAGTACCACTTCGGTACGTCAGAATGGGGTTTAAATTTGGTTTTGAGTTGAGTTTCTGAGGCAGTAGGAGAGGGAGAAAAGTAGGCTACATGGCTTCGGTCGAGGTGTACCAAAAGGTGGTGCCAGAACGCACTCAGTACCACTTAAGCGAGTCGGGATGTTGTCAGAATGGAGTTGATGTCGGTATTTAAGGTGTGGCGAAGGCAAGGAGAGTGGCAGTCGGGATAGGTAGAATCATTGCGGTATTATGCATTAATGCCCATCTGAAGCTGCTGGGAAGGACGCACTCAGTACCGCTTTGGTGCGTGTGGGTGTTCGGGCTTTATGTATAGCTGTAATGAATAAAGCGCGGAGCTACCAGCTTGTTGACTTTTTTGCATTCATTCACCTTTCGGTATGGGAAGGTGGTGGGAGGGTGTTGGTAGATTGGGGGGCCGGGGGTTTGTGCCTGGCGGTTATTTTTAACGTTTAATCACTATCTGAAATTATTGGAAACAAGAGCGAAGAAACCAGCTTGGTAAGGGGAAGGGTGTTGGTAGAATGGGGCAGAGCGCATATGTATGCAACAACTGTCACGGTGCTCGTTTGTGGTTGCTGGATTGTATTATTGCGCCTAGAGCGCCTAGAGAACTGCATCATTTCCATTTGCTGTTTATCTCCTTCCATTTACATCGTACAACCTTGATTCTGGCATATATAGCACCTGATTACTTCTGTCGTTTCCATTTCTTGTCTTCTTTTTTTTCTCCTCCCAGGCTACCCATACAACCTGGATTTTGACTATGGCGCCCTCATAGGTCTGCAGCACTTCTCCATTAACAATCTCGGGGATCCCTTTATCGAGAGCAACTATGGCGTGCACTCCCGTCCGTTCGAGGTATACCTGAGTCGACTCAAAAGTTTTTACCATAAACAATCTCGGGGATCCCTTTATCGAGAGCAACTTTGGCATGCACTCCCGTCCGTTCGAGGTATTTCCTTCTGCCTCTGCAAAACCCTGGTTAAGCCCCTAGGCTTTCTTTTCTTAGGCACTAAACCTTCCCTTACTCCACGCAACTCCTGTGTTTCTGCCTATGCCAGGTGGGAGTGCTCAACTGGTTTTCCCGCCTGTGGGACTTAGACGAGGGCGACTACTGGGGCTACATAACCAACTGCATCCTAACATTTCCCCCCGTGCACCCCTCTTCACCACTCTTCACCCCTTCCCCCACCTTCGATGCCAGGTGGGAGTGCTCATCTGGTTTTCCTTCCTGTGGGACTTAGACGAGGGCAACTACTGGGTCTACATCACCAACTGTGTCAAAAGTCATCTATAAATGAAGCAGGCCTCCTTCTGTCCACCGCTCTGCACCGCTCTTCATTTATCCTCATCACTGTCCTTTACCCATCTGGCAGGTGGGAGTGCTTAACTGGTTTGCTCGCCTGTGGGACTTAGACGAGGGCGACTACTGGGGCTACATCACCAACTGCGGCACAGAAGGGAATCTCCACGGCATCCTGGTTGGGTACGTCTTGCCCGTCTGCACCGCTCTGCACCCCTCTGCACCCTTCTGCACCCCACTTCATCATTCTTTCTCCACTCATCCCTGTTCGCCTCTCCTCATCCCTTTTCATCCATTTCCAGCCTTCTTTGTCCTCTTGGCCCTCTTCCTCCCCTCCCCTTGCGTCTCTCCTCCTCCCATTGCCCCTCTTCCTCCCCTCCGCCTACCTCTGTTCCTTCCTCCCTCCCCTCTCCCAGTCGAGAAGTCCTGCCAAAAGGAGTCCTGTACGCGACTAGGGAGTCCCATTACTCGGTCTTCATGGCAGCTCGCATGTATCGCATGGAGTGTGAGAAGGTGGCCACTCACACCGCTGGGGAGACAGGGACTCAGTCATTCCCTTCCCTACTCACTCCCTCTCTTCCTCTCCGTCCTCCCAGGAGGGAGGTCCTGCCAGCCGGGGTGCTGTACGCATCTAGGGAGTCCCACTATTCGGTCTTCAAAGCAGCTCGCATATATCGCATGGAGCGTGAGAAGTCATGTGGAGACACCCATAAGCATACTCGCTCTTCCCCCCTCCCTTGCTCCCTTTCTCCCAAGAGGGAGGTCCTGCCAGACGGGGTGCTGTACGCGACTAGGGAGTCTCACTACTCGGTCTTCAAGGCAGCTCGCATGTATCGCATGGAGTGTGAGAAGGTGGCCACTCACACGGCCAGGGACATTGAGGTTTGCTTTTCTCAAGATGGCACTTGCCTCTCTTTTTCTCCCTCTCCCCTCTCCCAGGAGGGAGGTCCTGCCAGACGGGGTGCTGTACGCGTCTAGGGAGTCCCATTACTCTGTCTTCAAGGCAGCTCGCATGTATCGCATGGAGTGTGAGAAGGTGGCCACTCACACGGCTGGGGACATTGAGGTTTGCTTTTCTCAAGATGGCACTTGCCTCTCTTTTTCTCCCTCTCCCCTCTCCCAGGAGGGAGGTCCTGCCAGACGGGGTGCTGTACGCGTCTAGGGAGTCCCATTACTCTGTCTTCAAGGCAGCTCGCATGTATCGCATGGAGTGTGAGAAGGTGGCCACTCACACGGCTGGGGACATTGAGGTTTGCTTTTCTCAAGATGGCACTTGCCTCTCTTTTTCTCCCTCTCCCCTCTCCCAGGAGGGAGGTCCTGCCAGACGGGGTGCTGTACGCGTCTAGGGAGTCCCATTACTCTGTCTTCAAGGCAGCTCGCATGTATCGCATGGAGTGTGAGAAGGTGGCCACTCACACGGCTGGGGACATTGAGGTTTGCTTTTCTCAAGATGGCACTTGCCTCTCTTTTTCTCCCTCTCCCCTCTCCCAGGAGGGAGGTCCTGCCAGACGGGGTGCTGTACGCGTCTAGGGAGTCCCATTACTCTGTCTTCAAGGCAGCTCGCATGTATCGCATGGAGTGTGAGAAGGTGGCCACTCACACGGCTGGGGACATTGACTGCCGGGATCTGGCTGGGAAGCTGGCCAGGCACAGAGGCCGACCTGCAATCCTTAATGTGAACATTGGTACGTATGTAGTATGTGTCTAGCACGTTTGTAGTGAATCCCACTACTCCGTCTTCAAGGCAGCTCGCATGTATGGCATGGAGTGTGAGAAGGTGGAGACCATACGGCTGGGGACATTGACTGCCGGGATCTGGCTGGAAAGCTGGCCAAGCACAGAGGCCGACCTGCGATTCTCAATGTGAACATTGGTGAGTGCGCGACTAGCAAGGACAAAATAAAGCGAGAGAGAAAGGGGTGGATAGGTAAATAGTAGAAGACTCACATGCGGCTGGGGACATTTGCCGAGATCTGGCTGGCAAGCTTGCCAAGCACAGAGGCTGACCTGCAATTCTCAGTGTCATCATTGGTGAGTGTGACTATAGATGACTTGAGCTTGTTATGAAAATTATAAAGTTAGACGACCAATTTTCTCATTGCATGCGCATGCCCTCTCCTCTCCTCCTCCCTTCTGCCCTTCCCCCTCATGGAGCCCTATCTCTCCCGCTGCTCCACACGCAAAAACCACATCAAAGGGAGCAGTGGACGATTTGGATCTGGTCATCACCACACTGCATGAGGCAGGGCTGTCAAACTCACCCAGGGGGCTCGCTTCTGTCTCACGGCCTCCTCTCCCTCCCCTCTCAAGCGGTCCATGTATTAGCAACCAGAAAGTACAAAGCAAGCACGGGGGGATATAGCACATGGGACATACATCTCAGTTACTAACCAGGGTTTAGGGTGAAGGGAGCAGTGGACGATCTCAACCTGGTCATCACCACACTGCACGAGGCAGGCTTTTCAGACTGACTCAGGAGCTCTCTTCCTCCTCACTCCCTCCGCTCCCTCTCTTCTCTCTCCCATCTGCCTCTGTTCCTAACCCCCCCCCAGGCACCACGGTGAAGGGAGCAGTGGACGATCTCAACCTGGTCATCACCACACTGCACTGCATGAGGCAGGCTGACCGGATCACTAGTTTCTCCCCCCACGCTTGCTGCCCCCACCCTCCCCCCCCCAGGCACCACAGTGAAGGGAGCAGTGGACGATCTTGACCTGGCCATCACCACGCTGCACGAGGCAGGCCTGTCGGACCACCAGTTGTCCCCCCCACGTGTGCTCCCATCACACGTGCTCAACCTGCGCTTGCTGCCCTCACCAGGCTCTCTTTCTTCCTCCCCATGGCTTGTTTCCCCTCCCTCACCACCCCCCCCCCCCCCCAAGGCACCACGGTGAAGGGAGCAGTGGATGATCTCGATTTGGCCTTTACCACACTGCACGAGGCAGGCCTGTCAGACTGGTGACCGGTTCTATACCCAGAGGCTCTCTTCCGAGTCGACTCAAAAGTCAACTTTTGAGTCGACTCAAGAGTCAACTCTGGTGACCCGTTCTATACCCAGAGGCTCTCTTCGTCCCCACGTCTTGTTTCCTCTCCCTCACCCCCCCCCCCCCTCTCCACCCCCAGGAACCACGGTGAAGGGAGCAGTGGACGATTTGGATCTGGTCATCACCACACTGCACGAGGCAGGCCTGTCGGATGAGCAGTTCTACATCCACTGTGACGGAGCCCTCTTTGGCCTCATGCTGCCGTTTGTCAAGAAGGTAAGAGGCGGGCTGGGCACCGTGCAGACAGCAGGTCATGGGTGCTGCCGGTACCAGTAGCGTTCCTCCACAAGGCGGGTCCCTCAGGCGAGCAGTTCTACATCCAATGCGACGGAGCCCTCTTCGGCCTCATGCTGCCGCTTGTCAAGAAGGTACCACATGGGTAGTATGCAATCAGTAGTGCCATACGGTACAGCACGGCAGTGTGTCTTGAGACGTCTCAAACAGGTACCACATGGGTAGTATGCAATCAGTAGTGCCGTACGGTACAGCACGGCAGTGTGCAGGGTGTGGTATAGTGTATCAGTAGAGTCACTCCACGAGGCAGGCCTGTCGGACGAGCAGTTCTACATCCAATGCGATGGGGCCCTCTTCGGCCTCATGCTGCCCTTTGTCAAGAAGGTACGCTCTTCCTATTATGCTCTCAGTAGTGCCATACGGTACAGCACATCAGTGGTGCTGGTGTGGTGTATCAGTAGAGCTTCTCTTGAGGCGTCTCAAAAGTCGTTCCTATTATGCTCTCAGTAGTGCCATACGGTACAGCACATCAGTGGTGCTGGTGTGGTGTATCAGTAGAGCTTCTCTTGAGGCGCCTCAAAAGTCGTTCCTATTATGCTCTCAGTAGTGCCATACGGTACAGCACATCAGTGGTGCTGGTGTGGTGTATCAGTAGAGCTTCTCTTGAGGCGCCTCAAAAGTCGTTCCTATTATGCTCTCAGTAGTGCCATATGGTACAGCACATCAGTGGTGCTGGTGTGGTGTATCAGTAGAGCTTCTCTTGAGGCGCCTCAAAAGTCGTTCCTATTATGCTCTCAGTAGTGCCATACAGTACAGCACGGCAGTTTGCTGGTGTGGTGTGCCAGTAGAGAGACACTCCACGAGGGGGGGCTGCCAAACAATCAGTTGTACATCCACTGAGGTGGGGTGGGGGCTACTTTGGCCTCATGCTGCCCTTCGTGAAAAAGGTAAGGTGTGGCTAGTGGCTAGTGTGTTGGGCAATCAGCAGTGCCATACAGCACATCAGTGGTGCTGGTGTGGTGTGCCAGGAGAGACACTCCACGAGGCACTCCTGTCACACGAGCAGTTCTACATCCACTGCCACGGAGCCCTCTTTGGGCTCATGCTGCCCTTCGTCAAGAAGGTACGTTGTGGCTACTGTGCTGTGCGATCAGCAGTGCCATACAGCACATCAGTGGTGCTGGTGTGGTGTGCCAGGAGAGTCACTCACACGAGGCAGGCCTGTCAGATGACCAGTGCTACATCCACTGCGACAAGGCCCTCTTTAGCCTCATGCTGCCGTTCGTCAAGAAGGTACGCAGTGCTGAGTATGCTGTCAGTAGTGCAATGCAGCACACCAGTGTGCTGGTACCAGGAGAGTTACTGCACGAGGCAGGCCTGTCGGACGAACAGTGCTACATCCACTGTGACGGGGCTCTTTTTGGCCTCATGCTGCCCTTCGTCAAGAAGGTATGCCTTAGCAACAAATGCCTTTTCACCTTGTTTGCCTTGCACCACATGCTACTTCAACAGCACCTAACCTAACCCTCATCCCTGGTCGTCACCCCCACAGGCCCCCTGAGTGACCTTCAAGAAGCCTATCAGCAGTGGATCAGTCTCAGGTCACGAGTTTGTCGGCTGCCCCATGCCCTGTGGGGTGCAACGTGTATGCATCAGTCGCATCACTCCCCTCTATCCTTCCCACCTTCTTGCCCTGCACACCTTTCGACCCACCAGGCCCCCCTTGTGACCTTCAAGAAGCCTATAGGAAGCGTGTCAGTGTCCGGTCACAAGTTCATGGGCTGTCCCATGCCCTGTGGGGTGCAGACTATTCATCAGCCTCTTTATCCTCTCCCGCTTTTAACTCCCGTATTCACCCCCCTCTCAGGCTCCCCGTGTGACTTTCAAGAAGCCTATAGGCAGCGTGTCAGTCTCCGGTCACAAGTTCGCCGGCTGCCCCATGCCCTGTGGGGTGCAATGTGTATGCATCAACCCCATCTCTCCTATCCGCATTCTTCCCTTGCACACCTTTCACCCACCAGGCCCCCAGCGTGATGTTCAATAAGCCAATCGGCAGCGTGTCAGTTTCCGGTCACAAGTTCGTGGGCTGCCCCATGCCCTGTGGGGTGCAATGTGTATGCATCAACCCCATCTCTCCTATCCGCATTCTTCCCTTGCACACCTTTCACCCACCAGGCCCCCAGCGTGACGTTCAAGAAGCCAATCGGCAGCGTGTCAGTTTCCGGTCACAAGTTTGTGGGCTGCCCCATGCCCTGTGGGGTGCAATGTGTATGCATCAACCCCATCTCTCCTATCCGCATTCTTCCCTTGCACACCTTTCACCCACCAGGCCCCCAGCGTGACGTTCAAGAAGCCAATCGGCAGCGTGTCAGTTTCCGGTCACAAGTTCGCCGGCTGCCCCATGCCCTGTGGGGTGCAGATCATGCGACGCTGCTACCTCTCCGCTCTCTCCTCTGACGTTGAATACCTCGTCCCTCGCGCCGCTACCATCATGGCCGCAATGCCTCCACCATACCTTGATCTTGTGCACATGCGCTCACCAGTCCCCTATATCCTGCCCCATATTTCACCCCCACCAGGCCCCTCGAGTGACCTTCAAGAAGCCAATCGGCAGCGTGTCAGTTTCCGGTCACAAGTTCGTCGGCTGCCCCATGCCCTGTGGGGTGCAGATCATGCGACGCTGCTACCTCTCTGCTCTCTCCTCTGACATCGAATATCTCGCCTCTCGCGATGCAACCATCATGGGCTCGCGCAACGGGCACGCACCCATCTTCCTATGGTATACCCTCAACAAAAAGGGTTACCGCGGATTCCGGAAAGACGTGCAGCGGTGCCTGCGGAACGCGCTCCACCTGCACGCGCGGCTGCGGGCGGCGGGGTTCGGCGCGATGCTGAACACTCTCAGCAGCACGGTGGTGTTTGAGAGGCCGGAGGAGGAGGCGTTTGTGAGGCGGTGGCAGCTGGCATGCCAGGGGAAGGTGGCTCATGCAGTGGTGATGCCGAGCGTGTCTCCGGAAAAGGTTGATCTGTTTGTTAGGGAGTTCGTTGCGAGTCGAGAGAGGTGCCGAGCAGCTAAGGCTGCTGCTGATGATGATGATGATGATGATGATGATGCAACTGCTGCTGCTGCTGCTGCTGCTGCTGCTGCTGCAACTGCTGCTGCTGCAACTGCTGCTGACGGTTCTGCTGCTGGAGGTTCTACTGCTGGTGCTGCTGCTGTTGCCAACGGTTCAGCTGCCACCAGCACAGATGCGTTAACAAGTGATGTGTGTGTGGCAGACGTGATTGGTCCTGAGAACTGCTCTTGTGCGGCCCACGTTGCCATCTGGCGCACTCGTATTGAGCAGGATGCTGTTGGAAGAAGACGGTACAGCTGCTACAGTGACACGTCTGGGGACGATGCTTCCTTGCACGGAAGCAGTTCTGTGCAAAGGCTAAGCAGTTCTGTGCAAAGGCTGTCATAGTGTGAACAATAATCCACAAATCGGTGTGCTTGAGTGGGGCAGGGTGCTTTGCAGCAAGGAGGAGCGATTTGTGCGAGGCAGATGTGTTGGGTGCTGCGACCTGCTCCTGTGCCGACCACGTGGCCATCTGGTGGACACAAGTGGGGCAGGATGCAGGGAGGAGACAGTACAGCTGCTACAGTGATACGTCAGGAGACGACGCTTCCTTGCACGGCAGCAGCAGCAGGAGTGTGCAAGGTATGCTATGATGCGTACTCTGATGCTCAAAGTGTTCATGGAAGGTACAAGACTCTAGAAAGCTTAAGTAGTGTGGTGTGATACCAACGTACCGTACATACTACGGTACCAACCTGACTACCATTCATTGGGAGTAGGCATGGTCCCCCTAAGGAGACCTCGGGTTTGCTAGGCTGTAAGAGCAGCACTATACAGAGGGTACCGTACTACTGCAGTAAATCTTGGGATTGGTATAGATTAACTACCATACAACACTGCGACACGGGGAAAGCAAAACGTCGGTAGTATTGTCGGTAGTGCCTAATTGTTATACCTACATTACACAGGCGCGCATTATTGCATCAAAGGTTCCAACCAAATTAAGATTCTTTTTGCTCCTCCACAACACGTAACACACGTCCCTGCTAACTGCACAATGCAGTAACACGATCATTCGAACCTACAGTACGGTACTTATGCCGGCAAGAACACGGCATGGTACGGTACAATTCTGCAATGCTCTTTGCAGCCCTACCTATCTACTACGGTTTTTACCATGCCAGAATCCCACTGTAAAATGGTCATGCTTCAACAGGTTGCTGCTTCATCCTCCCGCAAAGTGCATAGTTACTTTTCGGATGAGTCACGACTGTATACAAGCCTGATGCTTTACCAATCTGGTATCCAATGATTTCCCGAGCATCTGCCTCTGCCACCGGTCCTATAACAAACGAGGACTTGAAGCTGTAGCGATTCGGCTTACCACCTCTGGCACTCGTGGTGTTCCCCCAAATGTTGCCGTCAAATGTCTCCTTGTACTTGCCGGCAAGGCAAGATTTGAAGTAGCTCATGTGGGGCATGGCTCCTCCAGACTTGATGTTGTTGACGCGTGCGTTGATTACAACATAGCTGTCACTTTCAGAGGCCCTGTCACCGACGCAAGGGAGAAAAGGAAGGAAATTACTTTTGAGAATTCTCAAAAGAGGTTCGTGAGAAGCTGGGACCCTCCAGACTTGATGTTGTTGATTCTTGCGTTGAGCATAATGTAGCTGGCGTTTGCAGAGGCCCTGTCACCGAGGAAAGGGGAAAACGGGAGAGACAGGAGCACCACGTGTGTTGATTCAAGGATCCTCACATTATATTTGTGCGAAGACAGGAGAACAAGACACGTTTACATTCTTAGACGCGTTTAAAGCACATATTGCAACCTGTTCTTCTGCGTTGAGCTTAATTGGTTAAGGCTTAACCAGTGTCACCATTTGCAGGGCTGCACTAAAGCCAATTATGGTTTGCAAGGACTCACTTCACTCCCAGTATAATTGATAATCCAGTTGCTCCTAGGTCGCCAACTACCGTTCCATTTTCACGAGTGGGAGTGAGCTTGGCTACATATCGCACTGGAAAGAGGGAAGGCAGGGCAGGGCAGGGCAGGGCAGGGCGGCAGGGCAGGGCAGGGAAGGGAAGGGTAGGCACAAAGTTAGATACCCAAGATGTTTCCGTTTTTGGTAGTATTTGGGTGATTGGTGCAAGGGAGCTAGGTGCGTTGACTCGCGACGTGCGTGAACGAGGCTTACTGTTGCTTCAAAGAACTTTTGAGACGTCTCAAAATTTTTGAGACGTCTTTTGAGACGTCTCAAAACGCGACGTGCGTGAACGGGGCTTACTGTTGCTTCAAAGAACGTGGGACCCTACCCTACGCAACTGGTGGATCGAGTGGTAACGGAAGGGTGACAGCCCAACAACCTCGCCGCTGAAAGCTGACAGAACTGAAGGATTTCATATGAGTCACTCAACGAAACTTTCGAATTATCATGGCACTTGACGCGTTCTAAAAAATTATTCCGAAAAAAACAACACGCTCGGGTGGGAACACGTACACCTTCCCTTCACCAAAGGAGCGGCCTGAGCAGAGGACGCGACAGGCAGCTGTCCGCCGCGGAGGAATGCTGCGAGGCTCTGAAGGTGACGTTGGGGGGGTTGGTTGGGAACCAGGCTCAATGGGAGCACTTACAGAAAATCTTCCCTTTCACCAAAGGAGCGGCCTGAGCAGAGGACGCGACAGGCAGCTGTCCGGCGGGAGGAATGCTGCGAGGGGCTCTGAAGGTGACGTTGAGGGGGAATCATCGGTTGGGAGCGACGACGTTGCAGGCCGCGCTGCACCAGCCGTGAATAGTGTTACAACTGCACAAGGGACAATAACACCCAAGATGAGCTTTAATCAGAAGGTGTTTGACTCAAACATCACTCGTTTCGGAACGGCAGATTCTGACTCAGTGGATGCAGTTGCGGAAGGCGTCTGTGGGCGCTCACATATCAGTACCCAGCAAAGCACAATTCGCTCCATAATAAAGAAAGTCAAGGAGACGAGCCGTTGATAGTTCTAGTGGCCGTGAAATATGTAGGTTTCAGAAGCGAGTTAGGCGGGACTAGATAACGTGACGTTGTTCAACGACAGCGAAAAATGTTGCTAGTAGTTATGCGGCGGGGTGCGGCTCGTTAGGGCAGTTGAAAGTCATCGTCCCGACTTCCGAGTCCCAACAAAGAAATATTTCAAGAAATATCTCACATGTCCATGACGGTGCCACCAGCACGACATGTCATCCATGCACCAGCACATACAATTCGCGCTACGGCCAACTCGGCGGCGCGGGGGAGGAATGGTCACATCTGGAGAGGCACCTGACGAGCCCGAATCTGACGCTAGGGATGGTCACATTTGGGCACCTGACATTCCCGGAACTGACGCTAAGCTCACATAAACACATCTGGGGCTTCTCCGAAACGCATTTCCCGCAAACATAAGGGCGTGTCCAGCGCGTACATTTACCGTTCATAAATCCTGTCTGTTACCACATTTGGAGTTGTAACACTGCATTTTACTGAAAGGGTGGACATGACCAACAATTGTACATGAGACGGCACGTTTGCTGCCCACTGCGGCCCAGCAACACCTATGTCAGGAGCACTGGGCTAAGGCTTTGGCAAGATTACTATTTAACAGTGATGTGCTCAGACTACCGGCTCATTGTTCTCAACAACTCCGTCTGTCAGAGTTTCGGCCGGCTTCTTGTCATCATTGCACGATGCCTCCTAAGAACTCCCGCAAGGCAGTGGCTGATGCTGCCTTGGTCAACCGTGCTGGTGGTTCTGATCCTGCGAGCAAGTCAGCGCCAAGCAAGCGGTCAGATGTGGACATTAATCTACCGTCCGAAGCGGAAGTTACCGCTGGGAGCTCAGGCCTTTCTGTCGAGGAGAAGCTGAAAGCGTTGGCCACGGTGGCTGCTGACGACTCAATTATCGAAGATGACTCTGATGAGGAGCTGGAGATTGATGCGAGGAAAGGATTTTCCCCTCACCTGCGTTCGACGGTGATTCTGATTTTTCCAGTGATCCCGTCACATGAAGTCGCTTATGTTATTCTAATTGTGCGAACGCTTATGAAGCGTGTTTTGGGCAAACCTCCTCTCTGATGACGTCTTGGCCACGGTGTGAAGTTGCTTCCCGCCTTTGTTGCCAAGACCCGCTTTAATCGTCTCCAAGTGTCATTCCTGCGAGAGTCCGACGTTGTGAACATTAAGCAGACATCGGTGGATCATAAGCGTCCCAACGAAATTACGATTCATTGTTTCTGGCTGCACCAGGAGGATCCAGCTTACCTGCGTATGAAGGCGACAAGTCCGCAGATGCTGGAGGTGTATTTCAAAGGTGTCCCCGCTGACATTCCCCCGGAGCTGGTTTTGGAGGTGATGGTGAAGCATCCGCTCAAGATCCGGAAGAAGTCGGCCTTCAGCGAAGGTCACTGCTTTCACCGCGTCCTTCATCCGGTGACCGGCGCTGACACGGACAAGATCAAGGGGCTGGTTTGTTCAGCACGCTGGCGACAAGCACCACTGGCGTCACGAATATCGTCATCAGCTGCTGGGTGGCACGACTCTGCTGGCCCACTTCCCCCTGCTATCCTGCTCGCTCTGTGGTGGGCACCATTATGACAAGTTTCATAATGCGTTCGTCACGGAACGTCAGAATAACATAGGGAAGTGGAGTTTGACAGTGGGGTCGGGTGGCATAGGATTAACGGTAACTCTGCTTTCTGGATTTGCAGTCGTTTATTGTACTCACCGTCGTCGGTCGCTAACGTCGCGTCTGTCCCTCGCAGCTGCTTCTCTCTGCGCTTCTCCGCTTGTTACCCCGCTTCTGCTGGATGCGGCTTTTGTTCTCATCTCCACTGGAAGCAACCGGGAGGAGTGGTTGTGCACCCAGGAAAGCTGTGGGAAATCTCATGGCAAGACCTTCATGGCTGCTGCGGACCATGTTACATCGGCAAGTCACCTGTTAGGTCTCAAAAAAGCTGGGGGTGGCCACGCGTGTTTCGCTGGAGAAGTGAGCCTGCACGTCATCCGCAAAGATCATGGAATCTGAGATCAGGGTCCAGACCACCTGAAGAGGAGCTGTGTGGTTGTCGCTGTTGCCTGTTCTTGTGTAGTAGTATCCTGTATCACCGGCCTGTGGATGCAAGGGGGCCTTCAAGCAGTGTTTAAATCAGTATAAAGAGCTTAATATCATTTGCAGGCCTGAATGTCAACGGCCTGGGGGATGGTAACAAGCAACAGCGTACAAAGAACTGGTTGAAGCAGGCAGCAGATATCGTCGTATTGTTGGACTCTAGGCTCAATGATTATCACCCTTACTGGAACTCGCCTAGGCAACCGCAGATCCTGGTAGCCTCTCCTACCGCTAAAGCCGGCGGGGTTGCTTTAATCTGTCGGAGGCACGAACTGTCATTG